CTTGAATCACAAGCTCACCCAAGCCGTCTCCCTGTAATTTGCTTAAAGCTTCTTGCATAATAGGAACTCATAAATTAAGGAGGAATGTCTTATGTTATCTGAATAAACACAAAGGAGTGGGGCAGGGGGAACGAGAGCTTATGTTGTCATAGCATACAGTGTGAATTTGTGATGGTTTTATCCGCGGAATATATGATGGTTATGATAGTTTGGACTCGTTGGTGTACAGGAAGTTGGCAGCCTGATGGGTTGGGCGTTCCATCATAATAAGGTAACATGTTGATTCGACTGGGTAATGTGTCAAGCTCATTGATTCTTCCCACCGAAATATAGCTGCAATATTGCTTACAGCGATATGAGGTCAGCAACTGCTGCTGTGTGTGTCATGGAGATGACAGAAGCAGCTGTCCACCGATTGTGTGTACTGTTCTGAAATCGAATGATGTATATGTATAATCTGACTTGAAGCGACTGCGATGCGTCTAGCCAGCGGTTTGTGCTGGCTGTAGTCGTATCCAACGTTATCCCACTGCATAAGAGTTTATTGAAAGTTAATATAGAGATATATAGTATGTTGTTGTGTATTAATATTTTAACCTCATACAGTTTGTCATGATGTAAAACTTTCATCCACTTTTCACCGTCATTGAGATACTGGCCCAGGGAGATATAAGTTCCACAAATTATGAGATTTTTTTTAGAAAATTGATTTACCAAGTGTGATATATTAAGCGCTTACTTTTGCATAAGTTGCATCAAATAATGTATTATTACAGATTTATGTCATATGATTGATAGGATAGATTTTGTTATTACCATCTTTGAACATCCTTGTCATGATATTGCCAAGTAATACTCACATATAAAAGTTGTAATTTTAATATCACTGTTTATGTCCACATTACATGTTAACACGGTGTGTGGTCTCCGATGTTAGTAATAGTGCTTTTGATGGGGATCTTGTGGCAACAATGGCTGCCGAGTAAGTGTGGATAGAGCCAGCATGTTTAGTCTATCATGTTGATGGGTGTATTTGCGAGCTATCATTTATTATGGAGTCTGGGTGGAGAGATTTGGGGAGGGTGACCCAGGGGGTCGGCAATTTGTGAAATACACAGAGATCTTCAACCATCATTTGTCACAGTCTGTGTGGAGAGATTCAGGAAGGGTGCTTCTAAAAAGTCATGAAAGTTCGAGGACGGTCCATCCCCGATTATCTGTGTATTATATCTCCATCCTATTTTGATAAATACCCTTGAACCTTGCCTCCATAGCTTCACTTTGGAAGTGACATCACCAGCTCAGACTCTCCCCATCTTGCTTGAAACCAACAACCAATCAAAGTGACTCTTCTTACTGATGGTTTTGCATGCATTTGCTTTCAAACTTGAAGCCTCGCATGAGCAAGCCCTCCGTACATTCAATCAAAGACTAAAATTGATCCTTTAACTGGAAAAAAAGTGTATTCTTGAGTATTAACATTGGGGCCTATCCTTGAGTGATCAGGCGTTCCCAGTTGTTTTAGGGGCATTCTCATCCTGGTGACATATCACCACTTGATCCAATCATGAAAGCACGGTGTATTTGATTGGCCGGCTATGTTTAGCATTCATTCAAATCTGTCCCAAAATGCATCTGTGATGGTGAATCAAGGGTATTCATAGAAGGATTGAAATGTAATACACTGAAGAATCTCAAGGATGGGCCCTGGGCCCCGTTCCACAAAGCGATCTTAGCGCTATGATTGTCGTAAGTCAGTGGTAAAGAATGGGAGTTACGATCGACTTAGTGCTAAGATCGCTTTGTGGAACGGGGCCCTGTTCCACAAAACGATCAATGACATTTTATTCCTGTTTTAGGGTATTAGAGTTATGAAAGTCAAAGCATTAATATCACTAGGTGGAAGGGGCCATGGTACAATATTAGTTACCTGTATTGAGTAAATATTCAGTTACAGTTTAGACTTTAGGAACATATAGCCAAGATATTTCTCAATACATCAATAACAAGCATTCACTTGGACCCTTAATTGTTGAGTCTATAATCCTTTACAGCGCTTAATACATCAGATTTGGTATTCCATGTTCAAGGTGTGCGAGATCCTGCAAGTCGTTTGTCTGTTTCTCTAGTGCTAATTAGTGGGTATCTCTATTTATGGTATGATTGACCTTCGTTTGCTGTGACCTTGGTGTCGACAGAGCTGTAGAGAGATGACACACTGCATTTATTTCTCTGTGTATATTTTGTTGTCAGAAATATGCATGCCTTATTATTGAGTTGATTACTTACGTATGATGCATAATCAAACAATATTTTATCCTGTAGCAGAGTATGATTTCTTGATGCATGTCGTAGCTGATTGATAGTAGCATTGTTAATAATCTTGTTACAGAATATTTAAATTGAATATGCCATATTATATTTTCAGAACACATTTATAGATGAGATCTATTGACTGTTTACTTCCTGGTGAAATATACTAATATTGGGAAATAATATTTTCTGAATTCAAAATCAAAAGCAGGTCAATGTCTCCCTGAATGATATATTTTCAGGATTCTAAATCATGATCTGTGTAACTATTATTTTGTTACTAAAACATAAATTGGTGTTTGGACATTAGATCTGTAATATTGTTTATATACCCTGCAGAAGAAATCACAAAGCGTACATTATTTTTAACAAACTGCATGTCCTGTGTGAATTACAATTAGATTGACAGAATGACGAGACTGCCTTCCATGCTTTCAACAGGGAACCTGATACGACAATCACTAGGTCAAGTTAGCATTATTAATATCTAAATTCAATATAGTTATCATTTTCTTTACATTGGAAACAAATTGTTATTTCTTTTACAAGTTATATGAATTCTAGAGATATTATTTACCAAAGTAATACATACATGGTAATAATTCGTGAGTTAATAAATAGATATGTGATCATTATGCATAATTAGAATAGAATAAAAATAATTAAAATTCTGCTGATTCGCCAGAAGTATTACAAGAAGTTAACTGTTTACATTTCTTCTAATTTTGAAGGCATAGTCACAATGTTTTGTCCTGGATCAAGCTGATACATGCAATGCGTGTCCATCAGTGGTATTGTATAGGTTATTTAGATGCGTAGTAAGTAGTCCAACTAACATTGCCAAAATACACATTTAACACTTTGATTTTTTGATGGTGCATAAAATAACCAACAAAAACATACTTGATGTATTATTTTTATCTTGCAATATAGCCTCATATCATTGAATGGAACCTTTGCAATAGCAGTGAAAATGTTTAGTAAAATTGAGAACAACATTCCTGAAATGTTATATGTGAAAATGAATTACTCAAAGTATATATAAGAATCTCATTGTGTTTAGAAAGATTGTGTAGGTATCTTGGCTTCTGATAGATTGGTCTCTTTTTATGTAATTTTATTGGAGTGAAAGTATCTTCATTCATAGAAACAGTACTTCTCATGATTTCATTGTGTTCCAGTCTTGACATAAAGAATATGAACTATTTGTGTGTGTGTTTTCTTTTCCATCATTTCACCATCACTGAATTGAATCGCTGAATTGATTCACTGAATTCATGTTGTTAATGTTGCAATCAGCAATATTACAGATATATCATGGCGGACCAGACAAACCTGTGATTGATAGTGTTGTCAATGTCACACACAGTCAGGGCCTGACTACCCAATTTGTTTGTCGCTTCTAATGACAAATATATTTTGTTTGTTTGTTTGTTGTTTAACGCCGCACTCAGCAATATTCCAGCTATATGATGGGGTCTGTAAATAATTGAGTCTGGACCAGACAATCCGGTGATTGACATCATGACCAACGATCCATGCAATTGGGATCTATGACATGTATCAACCAAGTCAGCGAGCCTGACCACCCGATCCCGTTAGTCGCCTTTTATGGCAAGTATGGGTTGCTGAAGACCTATTCTACCCTGGAATCTTCACGACAAATATAGGTTACTGGGGACATATAGAGAATCTCACCCGAGTGTCTTTTGATATCAAATATATCAACACGAGTTGAAAAATTCTGAGGCTTGCCAAGGATTTTTGCCACTTTTATCAACGGGTGTTGATATATTTGAAATCAAAAGACACAAGGGTGAGATTTTATTTATCATCCAACATCATTCTTCCAACTTTTTCAGTTTGTAGACAGTAATTAGCAGTGTCTTCACTGTAAAAAAGTACTGCTAACAGCTTCAGTAGCAGAGCCATTAGTGATGTCATTTGATTGTGACGTCAATGTAACCAGTGACGTCACAATGGTTTGCAAAGCATTATGATGTAATTTCATTGCAGCGATATCTACAGTGTAGATATGGCTTGATCTAATCCAAGCGATATCTCCTGTTTTGGATGATAAAACCTGGTATGCCCACAGGGATTTTAATGGTTTAAGAATACAGTGACGAGAATGGATATTTCCCTTTTCAGCTGGAGAGTGCTCCATAATTTGGGGGTGTTTATGAGGGAAGCCATCAGATTTTAACAAATTTGTGGTCACTAATATTTGCGGAAATTCGCGGATCCGCAGAAGATTCTCATCCCTGAGAATACCCAGTACCTGATTTACCCCAATTTGTGGTTATTAGCACTGTATCCATGCTCATGGGTGTCACTAAACTAGTATCCATCTATGACCTGCCTCACTTCCAGTTGACAGACTGTGTGTGATAGGTTCACCTCACTCACTCTTCAGCAAGGACTGAAGCAGGCTTTGACAAATGTAACTTTTCAAGGTAGTCAACACTCAACCACTGCCCTCACAGAAAGTCTTCTAGTGACTTGGGTCTTATTTCAGTTACATATTGTATGTTGGCTTTATGTGGGATGAAAGCTCGAAGTGACACTGTTTGCCCTTTTGATTAAACCTATGAGCATGGGATAGTGCTGACAAACCAAGAAACATGATCTGGACTTCGATGGCACGAACAGCGGATCCTGGCACAACTAAGGGACACAAGCCAATCTTTCCCTTTTGGAGGCGTTTATTCTCCTTTATGATATTTACACATGAATAGACATTCACAAACATTCTTCATCAGCTGATGATTTCCCTTTTGCCTTTGATGTCATTAAAATAATTTGGCAGTAAAGATTCACTCAAATTGTTTGGACATTTGTACCAAAAATTACAATTTGATAAATATTCCCCATACATGTCCTGACATTCCTCTTTGGCAGGCATAATTCTATTTACCATACAATGTTATTATTTGAAAAATATGAAAAGTGATGATTGGGTACCAGAATTTCTGATCTTGTTGGAGCTCCTCTGGAAATAGTTTATGATCAGGATCTGAATTTTCTGAATATTTTCATTGTCATACACTATATGTCATAAAAATATACTTCAAAACAAGCAGAAACAGATTTCCACTCCTCGAGGTACTCTTATATATATATAATCCAAGACAGCAGACATACAGTAATTTGATCTGGTTAAGGTTGGCATGAGTGGCATCCATTTTTCCTCAATTTAAGAATTACGAAATTTCTTAGATCTACCTGTCAGATATTGAACAATACATCATTAAAAATTACTTTTTCAACATAGCAACTTCTTCGAAGCAAAGGGAAATTAACAGTGACAAACAGCTTTACACAGGGTAGACACAATTTTATGGATAACAACTTCTTTAATCCTGTAAAAAGCGAAGTTTCGGTATAGATCCTTATACCGTTGTCAAGCCAGTCTTGCTTGACAACAGTATAAGGATCTATACCGAACATCGCTTTTTAAAGTATTAAAGAAGTTGTTATCCATAAAATTGTGTCTACCTTGTCATCCGGCAACTTCTAAGTAATGCCTATCAAACAATTTAGCTTCACACAGTCTGAGACTGGTCATGGAGACGATGACAATAGAGCACCACAGCATAAGCAATGTGGAACATGACGAGGCTTGCACACTCAATTTCTGACAAAAATCCAAGCTTCATACAAATGATTTCTTCTGATTTCAGGAGAAGAATAAATCAAAACGATGGAAATGCTGTGAAGTTAATTTGGTACATGATCAGTATCGGGCAGCAAATACACATACACCAAGACAAGCATTACGGATAAAATCTGTGTATCAAAACTTGAACTCCTTGTACTTCTTGGCTGACTTGCCACTGTCTTGCTGCTGCTTTTTCCTTTTCTGAAACAGATAGGAAAGAGAGAGATGTGAAACAAAATCTGACGGAGATATACCGTATATCGATGTGTATAAGGCGACCCCACGTATAAGACGACCCCCCTGTACACGCCTTCAAAATCAACCCAAAATCCTATACTCCGTGTATAAGGCGACCTGGAATGAAGCACATCACAAGTGCGCACACAAACCTTATATATGCAATAAAAATATGTTTATCTTGCGTTGTTTTTTCTACGATGATTGGTCGCGTGTGTAACTCCAGCACATGTTGCCATTTTGTGTTTACACGGTACGACACCAAATTGGTGCCCGTAAAATAAAATTCATTTATGAAGTAATAACATATAAGAGACAATGGTGAGTAATTAAAACAGCGGGAATTGATTTCAGCTTCACCGGTTATCACATGTTAGGTCACATGTGCAATATGCAAATGCTTACCAGTACTTCTGGCTCTCTACTCACGGATGTTGATTGGAACAGTGCAGATATAACACCGATATGAGTGACTGAGTGAGTTGTGCTTAGCACTGCTTTTAACAGTATTCCAGTTAAACCACAGTGTGTCAGCTTAATGTAGGAGGAAAGCCCGAAGTGATTTAAGTCTCAGACATTTACAACTTTGCTGAAACCCACGAGCACGGGTATGGTGCTGAGAAACCAAGAAACAATCAGGGTAAACTAGGAATCGCACCCACAATCAAATGTTTCTACCATGCTGAAGGGATGCAACTCTGCACAGCAAATTGTGGTAAAACAGACATGACATATAGCCATGAAACAGGATGAGATATGAAACACTAAACGCAGGGCTGTAATCTTACATTTTGTAGCAAAATCTATCTCTATAGTAAGGTTGCAATAAGATACACAATACAGTTCATGATGACTGACCACTGTCCATGAATCAAATGCATCATATTCTACTACCAATGACAAAAGACTCTTCTAATACAAATTTAGAAATCCTTCATAACAATGGCTTGAGATCTGTTCTTTACAAAATCAATGGTAGAATTTATTTTTATATCCAATAACATGTCCTCATTATTGATACTTGTACCACCACCCTACCTGTAATGAAGCACAAAGCACAACTACCATGTACCTATTTGATGTAAAGTTACAGCTACATTTTTTGGGAAAAAATACCAGTTGGCATGTTATGCCTTGAACAACACAACTATACAGATCATGGATACATGCAATATACGTGTAGAAAAGGCTTAAAAATTAAACATCTTTGTCAGTCATCTGAGAATTATTAACTTCATGACCATAAGTGAAGGTCTTTTTAGATAGCATGTCACCGTTTTGAAGTACTGTCAAATTCTCTCAAGTTTAGTGCATTTCAAAGCAGATCTCAAAGTCATTATGTTTTTTTCCAAATTCAATGCATTTCCAAGACAAATATCCTAACTTATAAGATATTTCAAAGAGATTCTTCGAAAGACAAACAATTTTGTACAAATCCCTTTGAAAGACAAGGTCCCTTGAAAGAAACCATATTCAAGGTCCTTTGAAGGTGAGTGAGGGAGTATGGTTTTACGCCGCTTTTAGCAATATTCCAGCAATATCACGGCGGGGGACACCAGAAATGGGCTTCACACATTGTACCCATGTCGGGAATCGAAAACCGGGTTTTCGGCATGACGAGCGAACGCTTTAACCATTAGACTACCCGACCGCCCCTCCTTTGAAGGACAGACCTCCCAGTTCAAGGCCCTCCAGACTCATTATTCAATGAGCTCTGAGACCCGTCTATGCCTGCGTCTGGCTCACCTTCTGCTTGGCGGCGTGTTCAGCCACCATGTCACTCAGGTCCTCCTTCTCCAGCTGCGACTGCTGCTCCCGTACTGTCTGGTCGTACTTCGCCTGCATCGCCGCAGTGTCAAGGTCAAGCTCCTCAGGGTTCAAGGACACTTCAATGCCCTCTGTAGGAACCTTATCGCCCACCTTCTTGGCTGTCACCTGAGAACAAATGTATCATAACAATCACACACAAAAAAAAAAAGGGGGGGGGGGGGGGTTGAATCTACTTGATCCAGTGATCCCCTTAACTTTCAACATAATGGCTATGTCAAAGATCCCTTGACTTTCAGTCTTGATCTCAAACACTGGCAATCATGGTGTCCTAGGCATGGTTACAGCCTGTAAGTGGTAGTTTCCTAACACAGTCAACATCCATGGTGCTGCTACAACCTTCATCTTACACAGAATGCATTAGGCTTAAGAAAATTAAAGAAGTGCTTCTCAGGCAATGACTTTTGAAATATAGGGTGGGTGGCAGTTTCTTTTTTGTTTCGCTTGTTCAAACTAGTATGTAACCAAATAAACAGTTGTTAAACCTGGGAAAGGGCCTCCCTACATAAACAAGCATACAAACTCATATTGCCGCCATGACCATAACACGAGATGTGCAGTAAAGCAGTGCGTATGTAAAGGGAAGTAACTGCGTGCTATATTGGATTGCATTTATTAGGATTTTTTTAATGTTTTTTGAAAATGGAAATAAAAACAAAACGTGCAGCAGACTTTGCGAAGATGCGGTTGGTGCCTGAGAACCAAGACTATTATTTTTTTCAGCCTTATGTCAGGATTTATACCTAGAGTACTGGGGTTTCATTTCTTCAAATATTTGTCTTTGAAGGTTAAGTTTGGGGATGAACTAGTAACAGTATGCAACATATGACATAAAATTTGAATGGAGTCTGAGCTGCTTTACTTGTGACTCCTGAACTTCGTAGTCCCATGAAACTGCTGATTTCAACATGCGTGCTGACAACACTCACCCCTGTCATATCATACACATGTGCGGAACCCATCATTGCTCCGCCCACAGCTGTCTTCTTCTCCGGCAGCACAGTGTAGAGAGCAGGTGTGTCACCTCCCTGGTCCATCGCATCCTCGATACGCCGCTTTCTTAGCTCAATCATCTCCGGTGTCTCCACACCGATAGGTACTGATGTCATGCCGCTTGGAGTCACCAGACTGGAGGATACAGATGGAATGACACACTACATTCAATAACAGACATCTTGCCAGCTGATTTGTCTGTGTTCCTCTACAGACATTCAATACATCTTGTGAGTTGGATGGCTTATTTCTATTTATGTTTTATCTCATTTTCTCAGTTTCTGTCAACTGATTTGAAGAATCTCAACAAGTGCTAATTTTCTTGCATACAGTTAAAGTTATATGTGGATCAGTGGATGAAGGCATGTGCTGTAATCCATAGTTATGATGGCTGATGGCATGTGCTGTAATCCATAGCTATGATGGCTGATGGCATGTGCTGTAATCCATAATTATGATGGCTGATGGCATGTGCTGTAATCCATAGCTATGATGGCTGATGGCATGTGCTGTAATCCATAGTTATGATGGCTGATGGCATGTGCTGTAATCCATAGACATGATCACACCAACTCGCATTATTATCCCCCTATTCCCATCGTCACCGGTTATCATGTGTCTACGTACCCCTCGGCTGGCGTCACAAGGCCTGTCTGGTCATCCTCGTCTGACTCTTCCTCCGACTCTTCTTCCGACTCTGATTCTGACTCCAGCTCTCCCCAGTGACTTTTGTCAATCTCCTCCTCCTCTATAGGGGCCTACAACAGAACAACATTCATCTTGAACAGTTCCAACACTAACGCATCCTCTCTCATGTCTACAGGGGTCACTGATACAAGACATACACCTGTGCGTCAGGTAGACCGTACATCCTGGCCAGGCAGGGAAACTAACAATGAGACACAAAGGCAAATCCATGTTGCTTTCACTCTTTGCAGCCATGAAACAATGAACTGTTTGTTTGTTTGTTTGTTTGTTCGTTTGTTGCTTAACGCCGCACTCAGCAATATTCCAGCTATATGACGGCGGTTTGTAAATAATTGAATCTGGACCAGACAATCGAGTGATTGACATCATGAGCATCGATCCACGCAATTGGGATCGATAACATGTATCAACCAAGTCAGCGAGCCTGACCACCCGATCCCGTTAGTCGCCTTTTACGACAAGCATAGTCGCCTTTTACGGCAAGTATGGGTTGCTGAAGACCTATTCTACCCCGGAATCTTCACGGGTCAAAACAATGAACTGATAATAGTGCTATGAAGACTGAGCTGTGTAAAAGGAGGGTTGAAATTAACACAAGTCCACCAGTCAGAGACTACAGTAGAAATCCTTGTGGACTATACCACTTTTGCCATTAGGTAGATAGCAACATTGTAGCAGATCATTTCTGTGGACAAGTGAAAATGAACCTATTATTTTTAACCCTGAAAAAAAAAACCCTGATCCTGTCTTCTTCAAGGACTAGGGAATTTTTCCTCATGACAAATATATTTTGGGTTATTTATTCAACATTCCACAATAAGTGTCTAAAGTTGTCTTTGACACAGAAAATAGTAAGGATATTTGGGTCCCTTTGGAAATCATCTTATCTATGTCCATGTGAAACAAAGTTATTATTAACTTGGCTATTGTAGTTCTTGGATAACATCTCAGCAGGTTCAAGTAAGCAGAAGTACATGTAATGATTGGTTGGTTGTTTAACGCCGCACTCAGCAATATTCCAGCTATATGACAGTGGTCTGTAAATAATCGAGTCTGGACCAGACAATCCAGTGATTGACATCATGAGCATCGATCCACGCAATTGGGATCGATGACATGCATCAAATAAGTCAGCGAGCCTAACCACCCGATCCCGTTAGTTGCCTCTTATGACAAGCATAGTCGCCTTTTACGGCAAGCATGGTAACCGGAAAACCTATTCTACCCCGGATCTTCACGGGTCGCATGTAATGGAAGCATGGTGAGAAAAGACAGGAAGTGACTTACTGGGAACTCTCCTCCCTGGGTACCAAACACATCTCCATACAGCGGCTTTCCGTTCTCGTCTACTGGAGGCTTGCCCCAGCCACCTGCGTGATAGCCGAACGAACAGCCCTGCAACACAGCGTGGTGTATAACATCATACACTCAATGTTTAATGGGGACAAAAGAATTTCTAAATGTTCATCAAGTGACCAGAAGAAGCCCGCTGATGTGTGCAGACAACAATGATGAAACTGGACAGTAATCTTCTTTGATGCCAGATTTCTTTCGATGACATTCCACACCATGTCCTCAATTCTTTTCATTGACTAAAAAATCCTGGTTGTTAGGTGTTGGGTGGAGATAAAATATAGCCATATCTGAATTTATCATTGCAGTCTGTGCAAATACGTTAGGAGAAGCCTAAACTTGATTCTTGGCATCATTTTCATCAGATTTCAGATATTACTATAGACTATTATTTTTATTATTTATTATTTGTTTGTTGTTTAACGCCGCACTCAGCAATATTCCAGTTATATGACGTCGGTCTGTAATTAATCGAGCCTGGACCAGACAATCCAGTGATTGAAATCATGAGCATCGTTCTACAAAAATTGGGACACGATAATATGCATCAACCAAGTCAACAAGTCTGACCACCCGATCCCGTTAGTTGCCTCTTATGACAAGTGTAGTCGCCTTTTACGGCAAGCAGGGTGACTATTATTAGCTGAACTGACTTGACTCAACACAATGTTTCTAGAGAGCAGTGGCTAAAGTCACAGACTGTCATGGTCATGAGGCGAGCACATCAGTCCTTTTGTTTACACATGGTATGTCCTTTCTTATAAGAAATACAGGATTCAGACAAAAAAGTATCGCTTTATAATGACAATGAGTTATATATACAGACCAACCAACAAGAAATGTGGAATTACATTCACCCAGGGCATTCTTTGTTCCCCATACTTGATATAACATATTCTCTAATTATCTGTCCATGGTACCACCGTTTTTACACTTGTGTTGGCTCAAGCTGAGAGCAAGCATGAAGGATACATACCTCTGGAATGGGAGCATTGAGTCCTGGTATTTTCAGATTAGGGTAGGATGGAGGAGGGCCATATCTCTGCATAGCAATCAGCCATGGTGGGGGAACCTTGTCCGAGTTCTGAACAAAATACATTCACACATACAGAGATCATCTACATCAATTGGAAAGGTTAGTATAAATTGTATATTTATATGCATAGTGTGAGAAAAAAATTGCAATTTACAATATGTATAGAGACAATAATCCTTCAAATATACCCTGGTGCATAATAATCTGCTAAGCTTATGTTGTGCAGGATATAGATGAGCTTAATACAAATGTGCTTGATTTACAGACAAGGTGAACGAGAGAGGTAGATTTTGATATTCCTAAGGTACATTCCAAGACTCACCGCTCCCACTGGCATTCCAAGAGCAACTTTTAAATCATCAGACAGGTTGCCTGGCTTTTTCTCCTTCAATCTGGTCTCAAACTCCTTGCCCTGCAAAGAAAGACCACAAGTGAGTGAGTGAGTTGGGTTTAACGCCGCTTTTAACAGTATTCAAGTTCTATCGCGGCGTGTCAGCATAATGTGGGAGGAAAGCCCAAAGTGATGCAGGTCTCAGACGTTTACCACTTTGGTGAAACCCACGAGGTATGGTGTTGACAAACCTAGAAACATAATCGGGGCGAACCTGGGATTTGAACCCGCAATCATAGGTTTCTGGCATGCCCAAGTTAAGTAACTCTGCACAGCAAATCGCGGCGCCTTAGACGACTGGGCCACCTGTGCCCCTCACAAAAAAACATTGTAGAGTGTATATCAATCATCTAGGAACAACGTATTCTGTTCAATCAACATCAACCATCATAGGATAGACTATGAATAGGGCCTTTGTTTTACCACTTAATCTCAAAGAAGGTGTGTGCTTGAGATAAACAATGATAAAAACACAAAGGAAATATTGAAAAAGAAGAAATCATTATTATGTGAAATTTTGGGTCTGTGGATATGGTCAAAATAGTCTAATAAACTTCAGGACATGAAATAAAATGAGCAACTTTGTTTGTTTGTTTGTTGTTTTACGCAGCAATATTCCAGCTATATGACGGCGGTCTGTAAATTATCGAGTCTGGACCAGACAATCCAGTGATTGACATCACGAGCATTGATCCACACAGTTGGGATACGATGACATGCAACAACCAAGTCAGTGAGCCTGACCATCCAATCCCGTTAGTTGCCCTCATGGCAAGCATGGGTTACGGAAGACCTATTCTTCCCCAGATCTTCACAGGGCAACTTTGTTTGAAAACAGGCACCTCTTCTTTTTTTGATTGCTCCTTAACTTGTATGTGTTGTCTTACCTCATAGTAGAGATCTCCATGTATTGTCATCTTGGGTTTGGTCTGGAACCTGAAGAAGGCATCGTGGAGCTTCTGGTAGTCAATGTCAATCTTGCCCATCTTTGGTCGGACTCGTTCTCGCATCTTGGCCTTCAGCGTCTTTTGATCTTCCTGATGGACAAAACATTGACATATATAAGCTGTATTGCCTTATACAGGTGATGCTCGTATGGTGCTGGCAAACCAAACATCAGAATCAGGGTGAATCTGGGATTCAAACCTATGCTTTTGGGATCCTTGAACACTAAGGGACATAACTCTGTCTTGTTAGTAGTTTAACGCCACACTCAGCAATATTCCAGCTATATGACAGCGGTCTGTAAATAATAAAGTCTTGACCAGACAATCCAGTGTTTGACATAATGAGCATTGATCTATGCAATTAGGATACAATGACATGCATCAACCAAGCTATCCCCCTTGAGGTAACGAGTAATGAATGTGTGGATTCCCCTCCATAGGAGGCATGATCCCTTCAGAACAATGTATACCAAGGCTTGTTCTGTTTTCAAACTGTTTCACAATCACAAGCAGGTGGAGATTATGAATACCTTGGTATCAGTATCCTATGGTAATTGTAGGAGTGGAATACATCGGAATTGGGTAACTGCAATGTGTGACCTCGCTGATGATACATCACAGTACTCAGATGTAGCAGACTGCTACATCTGATGAGTTCAAGCTCCGTGCAAAAAAGTGATTGAAATTCAATTATTTATTAACTCCTATAGTTAACATTGGCATACAACATTCACAGATGACATTTTTCTTATCATTTTCAATTCAAAGCTACTTTCTACCTTTACTTCATCAAACAGGAACCCCATTCAACAAAACAATCTCAATTCAATTTCAATGTTCAAATACTGGAGTTGATAGTCGTACCATTACAGTAGCTGTCTGGACCATGGCCCACTTGCACAAAGCAACAGTACAACTACAGTAAGTCTGGGTCAAAGTACTAGTATCAACAGTCAGTGCCAAGACTGTTTTGAGCAAATGGGCCCAGGTTTAAGTATATATCTGCACTAGGTGTGAGTGTGTTGGGTTTAACGCCGCTTTTAACATTATTCCAGTTATATCACAGCGTGTCAGCTTAATGTGGGAGGAAAGCACGAAGTGATGCAGGTCTCAGATGTTTACCACTTCGGTGAAACCCACGAGCACAGGTATGGTGCTGACAAACCCAGAAACATGATCGGGGCGAACCGGGATTTGAACCCACAATCATAGGTTACTGGTGTGCCCAAGGGATGCAACTCTGCACAGCGAATCGCGGCATCCTAGACGAGTGGGCCACCCGTGCCCCCTATCTGCGCTAGGACCAAACACTTACCTTCTCTGCCAGTGCTGCTCTCATCTCCTGTATGCCGGTGGCCTTGATAAAGTCGGGCAGCTCGAATGGTGGCTTCTCAATACCTCTCTTGCCCTGCAGGTACTTCCTCTTGTATGACCAGTGGCGGGGAACCGGCACGGTGTTCCTTGTGGCCTGCGTGCAAACAGAGGATCTTTCTGAGTGTGTGAGGGTGTTAATGTGATTTTTCTTAACAGGGTGTGTGAGGACGTTAACAGGAAATTTCTCAACTGAGTGAGAGTGTTAATGTGTCATGTAGCATCAGCCATAGTTAAGCCATAAGTTAAGGTGAAATAGGTTTAACGTCGCTTCCAAGATTATTGTACACACATAGCGTGTGTGCGTGCCTGCATGTACAAGTCTGGATTGATGCCCAATTATAGTACTAGCTCACTGAGATACAATGCTGCAGTTGAACATGAGTACCCCACTCAGACACAGTATACTGAGCCAACCAGTCTTTGTTTCAGCTCTTAACGCCGAGCGCAAGGCAGGGTAACACCAAGTACCATCTTTTAACGTCTTTTCGTATGATGCGGCCTGGGATCGAATGCTGGACCTTCAGGTCTCTGGGCGGATGCTCTACCACTAGGTTTAAGCCATGTGCAATTTATAAATACAAAAAAATATTCTCATCCAAACAATTCAAACAACAGTAACGTAAATAGTAAACTGCTTTAATCTTAATATTTTCAGCAACATATTTATCATTATCGATTCATTTCTGAATGTGACATGTACACAGTGACATGCTATGCCAGTTGGGGGTAGCGTCTGTAGACAGTAGCTGGGGTAGTTACCTTCAGATGGACGAGGAGTCGGGGATCTCTTGCTGTAACATCCTGCATCTCCACCACATCTGGTCGTGTCACCAGCTGTAACATGTAACACACTGTTGTACGTACTTATACCAGGGGAAAGGGGAGACTACACAATAAGTCACAGCTGTAACACATGTAACACACTGTTGTACGTACTTATACAGTGATCGCTCGCTATTGCGCTACCAATGGGGTCCAAATAATTGGTGGGCGTTATAGACGATGAGCTGTTTAACCGAGGCCGAGGCGGGGGAGCGCGCTCGGCAAATCTCAAATCATCAATAGGCCTATGTGTTTATCTCACGTCACGTCAAAATAGTATATATTTTTATGGACCTAGATCTACCTGTAATATCATTCATTTATTAAATCTGTCATATTTCACAATGTCTGAAATACGTATTCCATTCTAATTTATCATTTTTTATCAATAAATTAAAAAATTATTCACTATTTCCCGCGATGTTATTGAAAATAAAATTCTGGGACACACATTTCGACAACTGGTCCGCATCGAACATGTCAAAGAGCAAAATAAAGACTATTTTAAGCAAATCTTTAAATATATTATACAAAGTGATAAATAAAATCAACAAAAATATATCTAAAAGTAATCAAACTTACATCTAAGTTATTATTTCCATCGTTTCGTGCGATCGCGTGTAATGTAGGTCAAATGACATCTCGGCTTTCGTCGCCTTGAATTCTCGGCTCGGACACAACGTTTAATGCAAAAATATATGCATGAAAAATCTTTGTCACAGCTCGTAACCTAGCACTATACATTCGCAAAGTTCCATATTTTTAATATATATCGTGATTTCCTGCTTAAAACGCTCAGAATAACACGATTTAACAAAAAATCTTTCGCTAACTTCTGAAATTTATCAAACACGAGCTTTGTATCAAAGCTTGATTGGCTGCCTGAGGTCACGTGCTCAAAATTGACCAATCACGAAACTTGTAGCAGATTTTGGCAAGAAAGCGTCATTAGAAACAAATTTTAATCCAATGAAATCGCTTGTTATAACTACGGGGAAAAAACAGGCGATGTTACGAAAGCGCGATTACGAAATGAATGACCGCCGTGTTGTGACAGCAACTACATTTGTGTGACAGTTTAGCCTTAAATTGGATTGCCCACTAATTAAGAATATAAACTTCACTTGTGGTTCTCTTTTATTGCATGCATGCGCTTCTAAGATCAAAGGATGTATAGTGTGAAAAGTTAACTAGTTGAACAATCGTATTTCCGGGACTTGCCACGGATATTTTCAAACAGATTATTAGAACTCCATTCAGCGATAAACCGTTGATTATGCAATGAGAAGCGCTATGTGCAAATAAACAACGAACAACAATACAATCATGTCTGTGTAAAACTCTCAGTATTAAAAGTGTACATAAATTTTGGGAGCCATGCGTTACCGCGCGTAATAACCGAAGTAGCGCTTTATCGAAGAGCGCAATAGCGAGCGATCACTGTACCAGGGGCAAGGGGAGACTGCAGAATAGGTCACAGCTGTAACACATGTAACACACTGTTGTACGTACTTATACCAGGGGAAAGGGGAGACTACACAATAGGTCACAGCTGTAACACATGTAACACACTGTTGTACGTAGTTATACAAGGGGAAAGGGGAGACTACACAATAGGTCACAGCTGTAACACATGTAACACACTGTTGTACGTAGTTATACCAGGGGAAAGGGGAGACTACACAATAGGTCACAGCTGTAACACATGTAACACACTGTTGATTGTATGTAGTTATACCAGGGGCAAAGGGAGACTACACAATAGGCCACAGCTGTTTCACATGTAGCACACTGTTGTACTTAGTTATACCAGGGGCAAGGGGAGACTACAGAATAGGTCACAGCTGTAACACATGTAGCACACTGTTGTATGTATGTAGTTATACCAGGGGCAAGGGGAGACTACACAATAGGTCACAGCTGTAACACATGTAGCACACTGTTGTACGTAGTTATACCAGGGGCAAGGGGAGACTACACAATAGGTCACAGCTGTAACACATGTAACACACTGTTGTACGTAGTTATACCAGGGGAAAGGGGAGACTACACAATAGGTCACAGCTGTAACACATGTAACACACTGTTGTACGTAGTTATACCAGGGGAAAGGGGAGACTGCACAATAGGTCACAGCTGTAACACATGTAACACACTGTTGTACGTAGTTATACCAGGGGCAAGGGGAGACTACACAATAGGTCACAGCTGTAACACATGTAACACACTGTTGTACGTAGTTATACCAGGGGCAAGGGGAGACTACAGAATAGGTCACAGCTGTAACACATGTAGCACACTGTTGTATGTATGTAGTTATACCAGGGGCAAGGGGAGACTACACAATAGGTCACAGCTGTAACACATGTAACACACTGTTGTACGTAGTTATACCAGGGGCAAGGGGAGACTACACAATAGGTCACAGCTGTAACACATGTAACACACTGTTGTACGTAGTTATACCAGGGGCAAAGGGAGTCAACAGAATAGGTCACAGCTGTAACACACTGTTAAAGTAGTTATACCAGGGGCAAGGGGAGACTACAGAACAGGCCACCAGCTGTAACATGTGTAACACACTGTTGTAAGGGGAAACTACAGAATAAGTTACCAGCTGTAACATGTAACCATGTGATGACATACTATAATACCTAGCTTACCTAGGCATAGAGAGGCTACAGAATGAGTCCCAGGGAGCTTCAAGAGTGAAGGTGATATTAAAGGTGACAGAGGTGGGTATAAATAATAAGGAAGGATAAACTGTATCAGCACTGTAGATCACTTCAAGGAACTGACCTGTTTGAGCTGTGCCACACTCAGTCGCGTCAGTTTCTTCATCTTCTTCTTCGACAATTTTGGAGTTTCTTCCTCTGGCGGAGCATCCTGAATGACATGAGGAGAGTTAGTGAGTTGGGATCCTGACTAGTGTTTCAAACAACGCATGGCGTATCAAAATAATGTGACAGGACAGACAAAGTGACACTAAAGGAAATCCATGAGCACAGACATGGTACAGACATACCAAAGGCCATAAGCTATGGGATTCGAGCATGATCAGCTTGGCTAGAGCATGTAATTCTGCAGCTCATAACAGAGTGCCAGATGGTTGAATGAAAGAGTTGCGTTGTCATCTGAAATAATAACCATGATATGCAGAAAGACTAGAATTTGTCAGATTGACCTTTTGGGGTAGCTAAATTTGTCATGTCGCAATGGAGAGAAACAGAATAGTATCACAATATGACGTACAGTAAACTACGGTTATAACAAACTCAAAGGGACTACTAATTTTAGTTCGTTATAACCGTAGTTCGTTATAAGAACATATACAGCATGACTACAGCAAGTAGTCGGGACCAAAAAGTAAGTTCGTTATATCCGTGAGTTCGTTATAAGCGTGTTCGTTATAAGCGTGTTCGTTATAAGCGTGTTCGTTATAACCGTAGTTTACTGTAAGTGATAACAGTTTTCCAAATAAAAATAATGTGCCAGGCCGCCATCTTATTGTGACAATTAAATCGAAACATAAAGTTACTGCAGGCCATAAGGACCACTACAAATTTGAAACTATGAGTCCGATATGAAATCTACCTGCCACGGGCCTACAGGCAGGCACTTATTTAAAGGACAAAACATCAACACAAACATTGATTTCAATTTTGTTAACATGGTAAAAATAAAAAATAAAAGTGTGATCATCATATTACATAGTAAAGTTTTTCAACTTCTTAAACATGCTCGTACGTAATGAGTATCCTGCAGACAGATAATCGAACTGTATAACATTTTCACCAAACTTCACTTCTACCAGAAAGTAATCTGTACTACAATGGTAGCATCACCTCCAGGACTAAGGCAACTCTGTGCAACAGGGCCTCCATCCATCCACTCACCTCATCATCGCTGTCGCTGTCACTGTCATCCATCTTCGGCACCATCTTCTCCGGCTGTTTCTGCTCAGGTTTCTTCTCCTCAGCTCTCGGCAGTTCCTTGGGCTTCTCTGGCTCAGAAATCTGGAACATACCGGCAGCAACGATTTGAAAAAAAAGCTAAAAGGGAATGAGTCAACCAGTGAGGGAGCTACCAAAACATGCACCTTAAATTATTCTGTCTCCCAGTGGGTACCTAAAGTACTCACGGAAATGAAAAAAACCTGTCTTTTCGATCTCAGATTTTAAATAAATGCAGTTATTATACAAAATATATAAATATTCAAACAACTCAAATAGTACTAATTGGCCTTGGCACAAATACAGCGTATCAAAGGTTTTTACGTCTTTTTACACGTAAAAGTGTGTAGAAATATGAACAAAACAGACTATTGTGAAACTGATATTAACCAGGTGTTAGTAGATCAAGGTGAATGTCCATGACCTATGACACCTTGACGACAGGTGAAAACAGGTGCTTGAAACCCACGTGCATTTGATTTGTCAGTGGTTAGTGATTTGTGAGTGACATTGTGGGATAGTGAATCATCGTCAAAATATCAAAAGGTAAAAGTAACATATTCCCTTCTCAAACAACAACTTACATGTCATTATTATTATGTACATAAACATAGCTATTATTTTTATTGTTGTTTTGATAACTTTTTTCCAGGCTAATTTGCATAATGCCTATAGCCTGTTTCTGCCATGTCAATTTGGACTTAGTTTTATTTTTGAATGTTGAAAGTGCCTACAAATTACCTCCTGTAAAGTACATTTTGTATTGAGCACTGAGATAAAGCTAGCAAATCCAGACTAGTACTTTTCCAGTTGTTTTGTTATTTCGTATTTACATCTACGTAATGCTTTGTGTCGATTATTAAATCCAGCAAAACAGGTTTTTTTCATTTCCATGAGTACTTTAATATTATCTCCCCTATCACATACCGTATTCGGCGTAATAAGGGCCCAGGGCGCTCTCAAAATAAGAAATAGGGGGCTCTTAATAGAGTATTATTTTAGTGAAAGAATCGAGTTAAAAGATAAATTCTGTGGTTTATGCTGACAGCCTGAAATATTTATGTACGACAGATATATTTTTCAAGAATTTAATTGCCCATAATTAGGTGTGCATATAACACATGAGTGCGTATTATACGCGAATAAATAAGTCTTGTGTACATTGATCAATCGGAAGGGGTGCTAATTAGGATTGTTCACTGGCCAATATATTAGCAAATATCGCTTATTAGAGCGGGGCGCTTATTACGTCGAATACGGTAACAGAAATTATCAAGCCTGGATAATTTCATAATTCAGTCAGTCAAAGAATTGTACGAGACAACTCCATGAGGAGATGGGGAGAAACATGACTTTACTTTAGTTCACAATCTGTTTTTATTCTAAATGCTAAGAAAAAGTCAGTATTTATTCTAAATACTGAGAGAAAGTCAATATGATCACCTTGAAAGCATCAAATATCATGGCGAAGGTGTGATAGTTAGGATCCATGGGGTCCAGGTCCAGCTGCTCCTGAACGTACCTACACAAAACACAGGACAATACAGACATGCTACATATATGAGCCTTGTGTACATGTAAGGCACTTCTCACTAGTGACAGCAACTTCATCGCTAATGCTCCAGTGCACCATGGCGTAACAAGGGAAATATGATGATAATATCTTTTAAACCCACTTACTCTATATGTAGAGATCCCCATATACTCTATGTTTAAGCCCTCATTACTCAAAGGGGGCACGGGTGGCCCAGTCGTCTAAGGCGCCGCGATTCGCTGTGCAGAGTTGCATCCTTTGGGCACGCCAGAAACCTATGATTGTGGGTTCGAATCCAGGTTCGCCCTGATTATGTTTCTAGGTTTGTCAGCACCATACCCATACTCGTTGGTTTCACCGAAGTGGTAAACGTCTGAGACCTGCATCACTTCGGGCTTTCCTCCCACATTAAGCTGACACGCCGCGATATAACTGGAATACTGTTAAAAGCGGCGTTAAACCCAACTCACTCACACTCACTCATTACTCGAGCTCCTTATGTAGTTGAGGCTAAAAAATAACAGTCTTGGTTCTCAGGCACCGCCTGCATCATCATAAAGTTTGCTGCTCGTTTTGTTTTTAATTCCATTTAAAAAAAAATCCAAAAAAAACCCATTAATAATTCGAAGTCCAATGGTAGTCAAATACTGCATTCCAGTATTTTACTCATCAAGGAAATACATTAATGTAGGGAGGCCCTTTCTCATTGATTGTACACAATTGTTTATTTGGTTAAGCTACTGTTTGTTTGGTTACATATCATTTTGAACTAGCATTACTCTAGTGGTTAAAGCGTTCGCTCGTCACGCCAAAGACCCGGGTTCGTTTCCCGACATGGGTACAATGTGTGAAGCCCATTTCTGGTGTCCCACGCTGTGATATTGCTGGAATATTGCTAAAAGCTGCGTAAAACCATACTCACTCACTCACTCACACCCTAGCTCCCTACTTAGTGTGTGCAGGTCCCTCCTTACTCTAGCTCTCTACTTACTGTGTACAGCCCCTCCTTACTCAAGTATCCAACTTCTCTGTGTCCTCCTTACTCTAGCTCACTCCTTACTCTGAGTATAGCCCCTCCTTACTCTAGCTCTCTACTTACTCAAGCATCCTACCTACTGTGTCCTCCTTACTCTAGCTCTCTACTTACTCTGAGTATAGCCCCTCCTTACTCTAGCTCTCTACTTACTCAAGCATCCTACCTACTCTGTGTCCTCCTTACTCTAGCTCCCTACTTACTGTGTACAGCCCCTCCTTACTCTAGCATCCAACTTCTCTGTGTCCTCCTTACTCTAGCTCACTCCTTACTCTGAGTATAGCCCCTCCTTACTCTAGCTCTCTACTTACTCAAGCATCCTACCTACTGTGTCCTCCTTACTCTAGCTCTCTACTTACTCTGAGTATAGCCCCTCCTTACTCTAGCTCTCTACTTACTCAAGCATCCTACCTACTCTGTGTCCTCCTTACTCTAGCTCCCTACTTACTGTGTACAGCCCCTCCTTACTCTAGCATCCAACTTCTCTGTGTCCTCCTTACTCTAGCTCACTCCTTACTCTGAGTATAGCCCCTCCTTACTCTAGCTCTCTACTTACTCAAGCATCCTACCTACTGTGTCCTCCTTACTCTAGCTCTCTACTTACTCTGAGTATAGCCCCTCCTTACTCTAGCTCTCTACTTACTCAAGCATCCTACCTACTCTGTGTCCTCCTTACTCTAGCTCTCTACTTACTCTGAGTATAGCCCCTCCTTACTCTAGCTCTCTACTTACTCAAGCATCCTACCTACTCTGTGTCCTCCTTACTCTAGCTCCCTACTTACTCTGAGTATAGCCCCTCCTTACTCTAGCTCTCTACTTACTGTGTAAAGTCTCTCCTTACACAAGCATCCTACCTACTGTGTTCTCCTTACTCTAGCCCCCTACTTACTGTGTAAAGTCTCTCCTTACACAAGCATCCTACCTACTCTGTGTCCTCCTTACTCTAGCTCCCTACTTACTCTGAGTATAGCCCCTCCTTACTCTAGCTCTCTACTTACTGTGTAAAGTCTCTCCTTACGCAAGCATCCTACCTACTGTGTCCTCCTTACTCTAGCCCCCTACTTACTCTATGTGAACTAGTTCTTCATCTCTCTTCTCGGAGTCCTGCTCAATCCTCTTCTGCAGTTTTTGCTCCTGCAAGCGACTTCTCTTTGCCTTCTTCTTTTTCTTCTTGCGCCGCTTGTTCTTGGACTGCCAGGGGAAAGTTACAGTAAATACCAAACAAAAGCATCATCAGTGAAAAACCTCAGAACGAGAAAACCTTTAAACACCAAAAATCAAAACGATATAAACACAATAAAAGTTGACCTGATCAGCCACATATACTATGCAAACTTAGTAGGGGATATTTTGTTTTGAGCTGAAACTACAGGAAAATACAGAGATGTCTGGCAATGAAAGCAAGTGATTTATGTGGCAAGAACATTTTCAAAGAAATCATGCTCCCCAAATCAGTCATTAAGCATGTGACCTCAGATTTACCATTGTCACTCAGACTTGGACGTGAGCAGACGCATATTGTCATCTTGGAAGCAAATGCTCAAAGACACTTTATGAAACACATTTAATCATTAATGAAGCACAGATGGAATTTGCGTGCACAAAGTCCACTTGTCATCCCACAACTTACAGCATGTCACTTGAATCAGAGGCGTCAGATGTCTAGGGAACATCAGCACTGGGATAATCAAGGTTCACTCTCGACTTCCATGACCGAAGGAAATGAGTTTGGAGATGTCCTAATGAGCATTTTGAGCACGTTAACGTTGTACAGCATGATTGTTTTGGTGTATAACAATGACTTGCCGAACTGCGCTCCATACTGTCTATGGCAGATTCACATGTCAACGCTATCAGGAATACAACAATGCATCACAACATGTTGGGCAACGTTTCATCTTTCAAGATGATAATGCCTGTGTTCATCATGCCAGAGTTGGGACCCAATTCCTCCAACAGCAAAACATCCATGTCATGCCATGGCCAGCACTCAGTCCTGACCTTTTGCCTAATGAACATTTCTGGGATGCCAGTGGCAGACTGTTGGGTGGAGGTGAGGTGAGGTGAGGTGAAATTGGGTTTAACGTTGCGTCCAAGATTATTGCACTTATATAGCGACGTGCATGTACGAGTGTGTGTTTGGGTGGCTGCTTGTACTAGTCCGGACTGATGCCGATTTATAGTGCTAGCTCACTGAGATACCATGCAGCAGTTTAACATGAATACCCCACTCAGACATAGTATACTGACTCCGAGCCGACCAGTCCTTGTTTTAGCCCCTAAATGCCGAGCGCCAGACAGGGTAACAACAAGTACCATCTTTTAACGTCTTTTGGTATGACGCGGCCAGGGATCGAACCCCGGACCTTTCTCTCTGGGCGGATGCTCTACCACTAGACCATGGAGGCGGTCCCACTGTGGAGTGGAAGAACATGAGTCATGCCTCTATGAATGTGTGCCTGTCTGGCCAACAGATGTGGTTTTACCCAATACTAGTGATGTTGGCTGCAAAAGGCAAATTTTGAATTTGACCCGTCTTCTTTAACGACCTAGAGCGCCACCATCTCATCAGACCAACCATTAGAACCCATTAGATCTGATGGCCTACTCCCCAGCAGATATGATCATGTCATTTCCATTTGCCAGTACCATGTAGATCAGAAAATATGTCTTGATGATTCCCACTATCCCATACTGTTTTTCCATAGTATATTTGGTGGATCACGTCAGTCCAAATATGGGACAATAGATATCATACCTCCTTGGCACTCTTAGACGGCGCTTCCTTGACCTCCTCCTCCTCCTCCTCCTCCTCGTCAACGTCTGCCTCCAGATCCTGTCTCTCATCCTCATCATCATCATAGTCTTGGTCATCATCGTCATCTGGGATATACACGAGGAATGGGCATGATATATTCCTACAGACCTCAGCAAAACTGAACGTTTGCATCATACCAGTCTTAACATAGGCATAAATGTTAAATGTCTTCTCAGGATACCAACAAGTGGACACAGACTCACCATCTGGCTTGTCTAACATGTCGACACAGACTCACCATCTGGCTTGTCTAACATGTCTACACAGACTCACCATCTGGCTTGTCTAACATGTCGACACAGACTCACCATCTGGCTTGTCTAACATGTCTACACAGACTCACCATCTGGCTTGTCTAACATGTCGACACAGACTCACCATCTGGCTTGTCTGACATGTCGACACAGACTCACCATCTGGCTTGTCTGACATGTCGACACAGACTCACCATCTGGCTTGTCTGACATGTCGACACAGACTCACCATCTGGCTTGTCTGACACGTCTACACAGACTCACCATCTGGCTTATCTGACACGTCTACACTCACCATCTGGCTTGTCTGACACGTCTACACAGACTCACCATCTGGCTTGTCCAACATGTCTACACAGACTCACCATCTGGCTTATCTGACACGTCTACACTCACCATCTGGCTTGTCTAACATGTCGACACAGACTCACCATCTGGCTTGTCTGACACGTCTACACAGACTTACCATCTGGCTTGTCTAACATGTCTACACAGACTCACTATCTGGCTTGTCTAACATGTCGACACAGACTCACCATCTGGCTTGTCTGACACGTCTACACAGACTCACCATCTGGCTTGTCTAACATGTCTACACAGACTCACCATCTGGCTTGTCTAACATGTCTACACAGACTCACCATCTGGCTTGTCTGACATGTCAACACTCACCATCTGGTTTGTTGAGGTGCTCCAGCTCCTCTGGGGTGACTCCCACTTCCTGGGCTCGCACGGTCTTGAACTCAAGAACCTTCTCCAGAGCTTGGGGCAGGCGGATTTCCTTGGGCAGTGGCTGGGGTGGGCGTTGCTCCATCTGAAGTAAACATGACTTGTTCTGTTTCCATAATTTTACACATGTGATCTATGATCTATGAGATCTATGAGTATTGCTAGAGGGCATCCACAAACTTAACTGTCATGGCAAAACATTAGTGGACAGGCCTCTCCATAGTGAATAATTGTGTATTGACAATTTTGTTTTTTGTTTATACTTACCCACTCCCACCTGATATATTAGTTGGAATTGTTTATAAATTAATCATGCTTTGCAAATGTTCCTCAATATGACAAATGGCAGAAGTACTTTGAATAGGCTTCTAAGACAAGAACGTAGATTAAAAACCCACCACAGCACAGAATACCCCTGGATGTAAGTACAACATCATATTTATAACTCACAGGCGTCATCGACTGTTTGTCATCCAGCTGAGGAGGTGGCAGTCTTGGGGGAGGTCCACCATGTTGTGGAGGAGGTCCACCATGTTGTGGGGGAGGTCCACCATGTTGTGAGGGAGGTCCACCATGTTGTGGGGGAGGTCCACCATGTTGTGGGGGAGGACCACCATGTTGTGGGGGAGGTCCACCATGTTGTGGGGGAGGTCCACCATGTTGTTGGGGAGGTCCACCGTGTTGTGGGGGTGGCTGTTGACTCCCTGGGGGGCCTCCCATCATAGGTGGTGGTCGCACTCCCTGTTGTGGGGGTCCTTGGGGAGGGTGGGGCGGGATGCCCTGTGGTGGGATGCCCTGTGGCGGGACACCTGGGGGTCCTGCTGGAGATGAAGAAGGCATCCCCATCGGGTGTGGCGGCATCTGCCCCTGGGGTGGGGGGCCTGGCTGAGAGACTGGAGGAGGCGGCTGTATGGGGGCCGGGCCGGGCTGGGACATCTGGTTGGGATGGGGCATGCCTTGATTAGGTCCAGGTCCTGGGGAACATGACAACATGATGATGGAATGTTTCATACAGCCTCAGTCGGCAATATCAACCTTAAATGTCATCACACTGTGAACAGACAAACCAGTGGTTGATGGTGGGAAAACCAACTTATTCCATTTGGGTATGATGACACATGGTCAACGCTGACTGCTGGTTTCTCATGGTGGTGGTGGTGGGCACAGGTGGCCCAGTCGTCTAAGGCGCCGTGATTCGCTGTGCAGAGTTGCGTCCCTTGGGCACGCCAGAAACCTATGATTGTGGGTTCAAATCCTGGTTCGCCCCGATTATGTTTCTAGGTTTGTCAGCACCATACCCATGCTCGTGGGTTTCACCGAGGTGGTAAACGTCTGAGACCTGCATCACTTCGGGCTTTCCTCCCACATTAAGCTGATACGCCGTGATATAACTGGAAAACTGTTAAAAAGCGACGTTAAACCGAACTCACTCACTCTCTCACTCATGGCGGGCACCTATTTACTAACACTTCACATGCAGCATCCACTAAATCTTGAAACCACCAAATCAACTTTTCAGTCAGTTTATAGCATAAGCACAGAGTAGAAGGGGCCTATTTAGCCATTACAATCCAACAAAGGCAGAGTACATGGTGTACAGCAATGTTAGTTATTTATAAGGAGCTGCACCACTTGTCTTGTTGACATTAGGCATTCATATCATGCATATCATGAGTGAGTTTGGTTTTTCGCCGCTTTAAGCAATATTCCAGCAATATCACGGCGGGGGACACCAGAAATGGGCTTCACACATTGTACCCATGTCGGGAATCGAACCCGGGTCTTCGGCGTGACAAGCCAACGCTTTAACCACTAGGCTACCCGACAGCCCCATCATGCATATCGTCGGCTGCAGTATACTTCCACTTCTTTGCTGTGTCGCCATACTTTTCCATATCAGTATTCACAGAATATATAACCAACACTCTCCACTGACCTGATTGTTGATTTTCCATCATCACCATTGGCTGATGAGGTCTGTCAAAATGGATCTGTAATTGAGAAGGTATATAATTACGTACCAAACATGCCAAAAGATAATAATGAAGAGGACATCAAGCCACATGAAACGATTAGCCAATGTAATGTTATGCTGAAGCAGGCAATATTCCAGCTGGGATATGGGCCAGGCACACAAGTGGTTGATAGCAGGAGCAACAACCCATGCCTTGAGTTAGTTTCTACCGCTGAATATGTGTGACAAAATGTGTGTCCCACATTTTTTATCCACTAGTCCTTATAATGATAACATATACAGAACCCTTAAAAATGGCAAATTTCTACTAGTCCTTATGATACCTTAACTTTTGGGCAGTTTGGCAAGGACTAGAGGACTAGTGCCAATTTCTAACGCTGCATATTGTGACCACCCAATACCCAACTCTGTTGGTCCTAACTTTGGCTGTGGTGGACTTACTCTGCCCTGGAATCCAAAAACTTAGTTATCATGTCTGGACCAGAAAAACAGTGACTTATATTTGGAGCATGCCATTGGGTTACAATGACACGCTATCAACCACGTCGCCAAGTCTGACTCATGATCCATTAAAACGCCCCGTACAAGCATAGGGTGCTGGGGACCAATTTGATTAAATCTATTGGTGAAACAGCATTATAATCCAGTAGTCTCACCACCTGCTCCCTGATCTTCTCGATCTCCAACATCTGCTGCTGCTGCATCACCTTATGCATCAATTCTGGACTCATCCCTTCCTCCATACCTGGAGGTAAGGCTCTGGGGATATTTGGAGGAACGCCTGGCGGCATTCCCTGGGGAGGCCGCGGAGGAACGCCAGGCGGAACACCTTGTGGGGGAACACCGGGAACGGACTGCGGCACACCTTGTGGTACGTTGTGTGGCACCTGTGGAGGAGGCATACCTGGTGGCCCGGGGGGGCCAATACCCTGACCCATAGGCTGGGGGACAGGCGGGAGACCCTGGGGGCCTCCTTGAGGCATCTGTGGGGGCATCGGTGGGGCAATCTGCTGGGGTACAGGGGGAGGCCCAGTTGGTGGCATCCCCTGGGGCATACCTGGAGGCACACCCTGCATTTGCTGCTGCATGGGCTGTGGGACTCCAGGGGGTGGGGCGAACACCATCATGGTTGCGTCCTTCTGACGCTCTGCTTCCAGCATCTGTTGTTGAAGCATTACTTTCCTCTGCAGGTCATCATCAAACCGACCAACATTCATCTCATCTTCCATTTCTGAAATCAATCATGTTATTTCTCATCATGCTCATAGCATGTAAAGCCTCAGTGTTCAATACATAGTGTATGTCATTGGTTACAGTTTCTGGTTTTCACAGCTTCACTGAAGAACATAATAGCTTGTTTACTTTTACAGTTGACATGAGGGGACGGAGACATATGAAAAGCATTTGCTAAAAGACGTCAATTCCAAGAGGGGTGAGCCAAACGATGTATATAATGTGCAATGAACAGAAGACTTCATAATGTTTTCATTTTCTTTTATCTTTTTATTCTTTATAGTTTCAGCAATATTCCAGCAGGGGACACCAGGAACAGGCTTCTAGCATCATGTGGGGAACGGAACCACTTGGATATAATCATGACAACGCTTGGTTATCAGCCCGTAACATACTTAAGGCCATAGGCATAATGTTGTATATCTTTACTAAGTAGAAAGAATATACAACTTACTCTGACTCCCCAAGAAGTAAAATCTCTACAAATAACGTAGGCACTGTTGTTCACTTTGAACATTCAAAGTGACCGGAATGTCACTGTACATCTGGAAAGTGTTGCAAGCAGCAATGTACTGTGAAAACTGCGAGTGGCACATATTTGCAACACTTTTTTGACATAGTTATTTTTGCAGACCAACAACCAACAAAAAACGTAAGGAGGCATATTTCTTTGAGTCATTTCCATATATTGTCAAACCAGGCAGTACATGATTAAATACATGATTCCTCATATTATGTTTCCTTAACTATATCTTGTGACTTTGCTACCATAGTCTGATCAGGAAAGTTCACCTACCCACCAATCTTGTCAAGTTGTCAACACTGTGAAGGCCTGACATACGCCAGACAAGGTGTCACAAAACATTCCAGATGAACTTAAGGCCATTGTAAGCCACTCCCAATAATTTCAAGGTGTAAAACTTTCCAGATTTACAATATTTGCAGTGAAATTATACACACAATGCAGTAATGTGATTGTCTTCCAAGTTTTCTTTTGTCAATTCTTCTAGTTTTTATTATATTTTTTTTAAAAATCACACAAATCTCATCTTAATCTACATGCCATATCTGAACTCCACTGAAGTACATATCCTACCAAAATAACATCTCTCTGAGGATTTTTTAAAATATATATTTTACTGGCATGAACAAATCCGAATCCCATTAATTTGTATTGCCACACATCATACCAATTTTTTGTCTTCCTAGTTTCTCAGTAGACGATTCTCTAAGAGTTTTAAGGCTTTTCCTTTAAGGAGTTTGAAAACAAAGAGCCATGACATAAGCTCACTAGGACCTTCGGTCCTCATCAAATGAAAATGTTAAGATAAGCTATTAAGTACAATAGTCTATAATTGATCTGTATCATGGTATTGAGGAAAGTTCTTATTATATTTTGACACCATTCATTTGATAACAGTATTATCAGCATAGTATCACAATGATTTCAAAAAGTACTACCACAGATAATACACATAGGTTGCAGGTTTACTCACCATCCTCTGGAAGATCATCCATCTCATCCATTCCCTGTGAAAAAAGGTACTGAATTATTCTTAGTGATGGTAATCATGGTAATCAATGGTACTAAGCATCATGTTTTACTTATATATCAAGTATACATGCAGTGTTGGTCAGATCAATTTGATTTCTTGCCTTGAATTTCTAGGCTAAAAAAATAAAACAGTCACATCTAATACTGACCAGAATGCAATTCCACAATGTGTTTTACCACTTTGGCATGACTTGGTCATTGTGTGGTTTTTATATTACTTCATGAGTTACATGGGGCACAAGTGACAGAGAAGTGTCCCCTGGGCACGCCAGAAACCTATAATAGTGGGTTCGATTACTGGTTTGCCTGATTATATTTCTAGGTTTCATGAAACCATACCCATGTGCATGGGTTATTCCAAAGTAGAAACCATCTGAGACCTGCATCACTTCATGCTTTCCTACAACATCAAGCTGACATGCAATGATATAACCTGAATACTGTTCAATGTGGCATAAAACTCAGCTCACTCACTCTGTCATAAGTCACTGACAGTATTTATATCAACTGATCATTAGGCAAATTAATTAATTTCCAATTAAAAGACTCTACTCACAGCCATTCTGTTATGTGATTCTTCTTTAATGAGTTTTCAATTCTGAAAATAAAAATGAGTATGATCATTAACATAATCATATTTATGAAACATTAGTGTGTGTTTTAATCAAATAAAGTACCACATGTACTTGTCATATCTATGTGTGCAGGAGGGTTTCTTGTGCTATTTGTATTTCAATCCGGGGTAAATGTCTGGGCATTTTCTGAAGAGGTTTCAACCAAATTATTCATCCTAAAAACCTGTATTAACCTCCAGTTGGTCTAAACAAAAACAGCAGTAAATAGGCCACCATTTTCTCCATCTTTGTCCATATCCAGGTTGTATCAATTTGGGGTGTATTCCACTTTACCAGGCACACATTTCCATTTCAATTAGCTAGCATGGACGATCAAACTTACACTGCCAGCTTGAAGCTAAGCTAGGCAAACGAGTTAATCAGAAATAATAAGTGCTCATTAACCAAATAATTAGCACTGAGTTGTTTACATTTGTGTGCATGCACACAGCCATTTTCTCTGAAAAACTTGAAACTTGAAAAAAGTTGTACAGATTTTCCTCAGAATAACCATGATTACATCAGACATGTCAGATTAATTTGTCACAGTTGTTGTTTGATTGGCAATTGGAAATGTGTAAACACTGGATAGTCTCCAGGCACCACATGAACTAGGATGGTAAGATGTTTTTCAAACATTTTTGTCAAAGTTCAGACATTGATGCTTTAATGAGTAAGTGGGTTGGGATTTACACCGCTTTCGGCACTGTGGAGGCAATCTCAATGTCTTCAAGCATTGTACCCACGTGCAGAATTGAACACGAGTCATTGGTGTGACAAGCAAACACTTTAACCACTAAGCTACCTCATTACCCAACAATGTTGCAATGTTATTACAGTTGATCACATTCGTTGAACATCTGACTGATAGGCGATAAGTTTTCCTACAGGGTTATAGTCAGTAGGACGTGATCTGTTTTCCCGTTTGGGCCATGCTTCATTCAAACACCAACGACTGCACTTTTCAATGACAACTCAATACAGGATTGCATCAATCAAACGACACGGGCTAGTTCTACTATTTTGAGAGAGGGGGGCCTTGGTAGGCAATATTTATAAACGATAGAATACTGGTGCGCCCACCAGTAATAAACAATACACTTCCACGGTGTTGCAGGTGCGCGAAAACTGAGACTGGAGTCACGAATAAAAACAATGAGATTGCTGATGTAGCATGTTCTCTGTAATCGCAATATATTAATAAAGTGATCAAATGTTTCGAAAATCTACACCTACCAATGCCAGAGAACCCAATCTGTATTATCCAAATCACTGTATTTGTCAATAGCTCGTTTCACGTTTTCCCTACGACGCCATTTTACGTTTGGTTACCTCGGTTCATGATGGTCGTCAAAGAAAACCTTTTCTAATTTTTTTTATCTAAAACTTACATCGTATTGTATCAGAATACACAAAATAAAAAAGAATCAAATAAGGAAAAAGGGTTTCCAGGTATACCCCCCTCACCCATAGGAACTGATGTTTTCTACTTACACGCGCGGCCGCAACATACATACGATATCAACTATGATACTAGACAAGTGCCTAGTCCTAAAATTATTCTACCATGGAAAGGATGGCCCCTTAAGGTGAAGGGGAGCTAACTCAGCGCACATGGCGTCGAAAGGAGTGAGAAAGGTTGCTAGAGCAGCCAAAAAATTAGGACCAAAAGTTTTTCACCCACCATTTTTGAAGACAGACATACCCGCGGGTCAGGCTGCAGCTGCTCCACCTTTAGGACCCCAACTTGGTCAGGTAGATAGCAGTATTTTGGATGTCACTTTAATGTTGGTCTAAGTGATGATCGCAATGACATTTGTTTGACATTTTGAGTTTGTTCATGTTAATGCGTCAATTGTCGTATTTAATGTAGAGTATTAAAAATTAATTAAAAATTGGTTCGTGAATGTCGATGACCGTTTATATTTTACTCATTGGTCTAATGCTGCATAAACGAGTATCGCTCGTTGAAGAGGCCGTTGTCGGCACAGATACTATACAGATATGTACCCAAGGTACTAGGGCTGGGACGAGTCCAGATTTACTACCTGGGTACCCACCAGACTATTACCTGACCCTACCCTACCCTGGTACCCGCTGTAGGTCTCAAAGAGCTAGGTACAAATGTCCGATTGGGAATAGTTTGACTGTAGCCCTTGCAAAATGTCTTTAAATACTCGTATGAAGCGATCTGGTCATGTATACACTGAAGCAGACTGAACGTGATTAAGTTTTATCGCAATTCAAATTTATAAAGTCATAAAGAAATACGAACATTCTCTTTCAGATTAAATCCTCCTTGGGGCACTTATTGCATTTTCCTGGCTCAAGAAAATCTACATGACATAGTTGTAACCATTTTCCTTAATAAAAATTGTTACCACACAAAAAACTTTGTTTTTGTATGATATACGTCCACCCTTATGGTGCCTCACCCTCCACGGCGCGTCACGCCAAGGGAAGCAACTCTCACCCAAATCACTTTCCTTATGTCATCTGACAAAGACAGACGTGCTGTTTTTTTCAAGACAATATAAAGACAAGATAATCGTTCGTACAAGAACCATGGCAGACCAAACTGTATGTATGGTACATTTCTTTCATGCAAAGGCGTAATACCTCGCATTGTAAAGTTATAAAGTTGTAATTATGTGACACGTGTACGATACCTTTGAAATAAGGCCGTCGTAGCGTCCATTTTGTAGTGCCACGTATGATATATGTAACACCAGGGCCATCAAAAACGGCTTCGGTTTTTTAATCTATATCATCGGGCTTTAGCCTACAATCTTTTCCTTTAAATAAACCCAAGGTGGTGTGTTAATCATTTTAAATTACACTTACCTTTTTTACGGGTTTTCTACACCTTCGCGCGTAACACGCCCACTTTGGTGTTATAATTATACTACGACATTGGCTATTAGTATCGCGTTACCAATCGCATTCTAAATTACGCCTTTGCTTCTAGTTACACAATTTATGCACGTATCTTTCCGATCTTTCAATCGCACTGATACACTTTATTACCCTTCCCGCCAAACTCAAAAATTACGGTCTTTTTTACAGACCTTCAAACTGTGTACGGGGTGCTCGGCTTCGATTCCCCCCCAAGACAGGCATGATACCTGCATAAAGTGTTTGGCCGAAGACGGGCATGACGATGGGTCATGCCCGATCTGTGTTGCATTTACACCACGGGCGCAAAAAAAGAGAAATGTGGACCTCTTACACTTTAAGGGTCTATTGAAGGCGGGGGTGGACATTAGATCGGCAAAGACCGCCCCGCCCCCCTCAAAAAAAGTAAGAAAGGGCAAAAAGGCAGCTGAGACTGTCTCCTCCGCTCCCTCCCCGGGGGCCGGGGGAGAAGGCTCTAGGGTCCCCGTCACAATCACTGCACCCTCTCCTGCACCGTCTTTGGCAGACATCTCTGCCTTGTTGAGGTCGCAGATGGCGTCGATGATGGAGGAGGTAAAGTCTCAGCTCCGAGAGGAGTTGCGGACCGAGCCTTCCCCGTTGTCGGCGCCGGACGCGGCTTCGAGACCTTGTGATATGCCCGGCGTCGGCCGAGGCAGGCCACTTGGTCTCGGGGACGAACTCAGACCGGGCTTCGGCGCCGGCTCGAGGTCGCTCCCCAGCGGAGGGGTGGCGGGCACTGGCCCGTTCACTACCGACGCACAGTTCTCCCTAGCGGAGCCAGACGCCTCTTCCGAGGCCGAGGCTTCCTCTAGCGGATTTCTAGCCCAGAGCCAGGTGGGTTCCCTTGAACCCCCGGCACCTCGGGACCGGGACTCGGCTTCGGGCCGGGTGCAGCCCAGGGATGCGAAGGCCCAGGCCTTCGGGCGTCCCCTTCCGACTTCGTCTGCCTCTTCTCTCGGGGAAGAGTCGATTAATTTCGGCTCGGAATCGAGAGAGGAGGAGTGGATGGAGGAGGGGGGAGACGACTCGGAGACCTCGGGAATATTTTCCTTCGTTTCCTCGTTGAGGCATGTACGGGACAAGATTGTCCAGGTACTGCCTCAGGTGGCTGCGCCCATGCCCCAGTCGGATCCGACTGAGTTCCGCCTTCCGGGGGACGCTTTTGCTCCGAGCAAGGCGCCCCAGGTGCGGCTCCGTATTCTGTCTTCATTGGTGCATGAAGTCATCAACCCTCTGTTGTCGGGTGCCCGCAGGAAGTTCGACCTGCCCGAACTTATTAAGCGGTACCCGTTAGCAGAGGATGGTGATTTTGAGGTACCGGTGGTGGACGAATGCGTCTGGACCTCCGTTACCCTGGGGGGGTCTTCGACCCCCAACTTGGCTAAGGTCAAGCAGGGCCGGCGGTTGCCACCCTTTCCCGCGTGCGGTACGGAGCTGAAGGCTGCTTACGTTTGCTTTGAGGAGCAATATCGTAACGCATGTCAGCAGCTCCGGGTGTCCGTACACTCCGCTTATCTGTCGGCCGTACAGAGGGAGTTAGCGGGAGAGGGGCCGGCCGACTCTTCGGAGTTGGCCGCGCAACTGACGGAGGTACATAGTCATCTTGCGAGGGACGCTATTCGTAGCTGTGCCTCGCAGATGATGTGCGCAGTCATGGGCATGCGCAGGCTGTGGATGTCGGTATCCAAATACTCGGCTTCCACACGCCAGGATCTACTTGCTTTGCCTTATAAGATGGGTGCCACCCTCTTCCCTGGGGCTCAGCAGGTGGTCCGAGAGGCCGCACAGTTGTATGCCTCCATCAAGGATTCTAAGGCCTTGTTGGAGGTACCATGCGTTAAACCGCGTAAGCGGACCTCTCCACTTGCTTCCTCCTACGCTGACGCGCCGGGTCAGAAGTCTGCACCTGCTTGGAAGCAGCCGCTTCCTTCAGGTAAGGGCGCCGGGAGGAGCAAGAGAGGCAGGGGTCGGGGCAGGGCAGCTGGTTGAGGCCAGCAGCCTTTTCGCGGGGCCGGGAACCCATCGGGTTCCCATTAGCGCCCGAAGCGCCCCGGGCGGACCCACGGTCGCATGTTTTCGAACTGCCGACAGCCGGGGTCCGCTGCCTCAAGCCGGATGTCCCCGTAGGCGGCCGACTGGCTCTATTCCTGCAGGAATGGGAGACAGTCACATCCAATCCCTGGACCCTGTCCACTCTAAGGGATGGCCATTTGCCTCGGTGGAAACATCATCCGCCCCCCTTCTCCGGGATAAAGCACACTCCGGTGCCTGCTACCCTGGAGAGGGCGGAATTCCTCCGTGCCGAGGTCGACGCACTTCTTATGAAGGCTGCGATCGAACCGGTTCCCGTGGGACAGGAAAGCGAGGGCTTCTACTCGACATATTTCCTAGTCACCAAAAAAGACGGAGGGTTCAGGCCTATTCTCAATCTGAGAAGGCTGAACAAACTTATAGAGGTACCGTCCTTCAGGATGGAGACACTGCGCTCGGTGATCTCAGCTGTCGAGACCGGAGAATGGCTAACGTCAATAGACCTAAAAGACGCCTATCTCCACGTACCCATACACCCCGAGTTCAAGAAATACCTCAGGTTTTCTTTCGACGGGAGGTGTTATCAGTTCAGGGTTCTACCATTCGGGATCGCTACGGCCCCGAGGGTGTTCACCAAGCTGATGTTGATTCCCGCCCAAGTGGCCAGGTCAAAAGGTCGGTTCTGCCATCCGTACCTCGACGACTGGTTACTAAGAGCTCTATCGCAATCCCTGAGTCAGATAGCTACACAAGAAGTGCTAGATATTCTGATCACTCTAGGGTGGATAGTCAATCTCAAGAAGTCAGATCTGAGCCCTACTCAGAATCTAGTCTTCCTAGGGGCGAATTTCAACACGGTGAGCGGACTTGTATCTCTGTCACAAGATCGCATTACCAAGGTCAGAAGTGTTACTTCCCAGTTCCTTCTGTCCGCCAGTCACACTGCTCGTACATGGCTCCAGTTACTGGGCAACATGGCGGCGACAGTGGATGTGGTTTGGCGGGCGCGCTTGAGAATGAGACCCATTCAACAAGCGCTCTGTCGACTTTGGGTGAACTCGGAAGATCTCGAGACTGTTCTCGAGACTCCGCAGTGGCTCAATGCACACCTTCAGTGGTGGACCGAGGTCGGGAATCTGTCCCGGGGGCTCCCCCTCGACACTCCCGTGCCGTCTCTCACAGTTCAAACAGACGCGTCACTCTCCGGCTGGGGAGGCGTTCTGAACGATCACACTGCCTCGGGACTATGGTCCCAGCAGGAGATCAAACTGCATATCAATGTGCTAGAACTGAGAGCGGTCAGGTTGGTGTTCCAACGCTTCCTGGATCTGCTTCGTGGCCAAGTGGTGCGTCTAGAGATGGACAACCAAACGGCGATGACTTACATCCGGAAGCAGGGGGGAACGGTGTCTCCGTCGCTTCTCCAAGAGACGTGGCAGTTCCTCCTATGGTGCGACTCACACGTTATCAGGGTGCTACCTGTTTATCTCCCGGGGGTAGACAACGTCCGTGCGGACGCTCTGTCTCGCCGGATCCTCGCTCCTCACGAGTGGAGGCTCGACCCGGGGATATTCGGGATTATCTCCCAGTTATACGGGTCGTTCCAGGTGGATCTGTTTGCGTCTGGGGTGAATCACCAGACACCAACGTTCTGCTCCCGAGTCCCCGACCCGAGGTCGGTGGCACCGGACGCCTTCCAGCTAGATTGGACGGACAGAATACTGTGGGCATTCCCCCCAGTACCTCTGATTTCCAAGGTCCTGTCTCAGCTAGCCACTCAGCCTGCGCGACTACTTGTGCTCCTGGCACCCCTTTGGTCGGCGCAGAGTTGGTTTCCAGTCATACTCAGGTTTCTGGCTCAGCCTCCTGTTCTATTACCTTTACGACCGGACCTCCTATCCCAGAACGAGGCCCTCCACCCGAATCCCAGGATTCAGTGGGTGGCTTGGCCACTGTCCGGAATCGCCTCCAGGAGAGCGGTATTCCTGCACGAGTTGCAGACACAATACTGGCTTCGCGGAGGGATTCGACAAACGTTCAGTACGAGGATAGATGGGCCTGCTATGCGCACTGGTGTGTCGATAGAAGGATTGCAGATCCCTTTTCTGCAGATCTCGTAGCCGTACTTGAGTTCCTCCAGTCGCGACTAGATGTCGGCCTGGCCGCATCGACAGTCCGGGGGTACTCTACAGCTATCGCTGCCTTTCACGTACCCGTCGACGGGGCACTTTTGGGTGCGCACCCATTAGTGCAGCGTTTTTTAGCAGGTGTGGACAGGATCCGACCGCCTGTCCGGCGGATCAGTCCCCCTTGGGAATTGTCAATCGTTCTTGATTGGCTGTCCGGTCCTTCTTTTCGGGATCTGTCGTCTCTCTCTCTTCAGCTGTTGAGCTGGAAGACGGCGTTCCTTGTGGCGGTAACGTCCGGCAGACGGGTAGGCGACATTCACGCAATGTCAGCCGATCCCGAACTAACTGTCTTTCACCGGGACAGGGTCAGTATTCGCCTGCCGGACTCTTACCGTCCTAAGGTCGCACACGCCTTCCACGTGACGGCTTCATTGAGCTACCTGCTCTTTCACAGCCTTCCTCGTCGGGGACCACTACAAGACATGCTCATGTATTGGATGTCCGCAGGACCCTTAAGTCCTATATCAGCAGAACTAAGGGTATCCGTAAGGATAATCAACTATTTTGCTGTTATGGCGGTAGGAAGGCTGGCTCACCTGCGAGCAAACAAACTATCTCGCGGTGGATAGTCTCTACTATATGTACGGCGTACACGCTTCAAGGCAGGGACCCCCCTACCAAGTTGAAGGCTCATTCGGTTAGAGCAGTGGCTACGACACAAGCGTATGCTGCGGCTCTGCCCATTGAGGAGATCTGCTCCGCGGCTATTTGGAGCCAGCCGAGCACGTTCATCAAACATTACCAACTCGACAAACACTCAAGCGAGCGTGCTCGGTTTGGTCAGTCAGTTCTCCGAACTGGGCAAAGTACTACATCTCTAGCCGATTGAGCCTTCGAGATTTTAGACCGCCCGGACCGGTTATAACACTGCTCAGTAACGGTCCGGATTTTATCTTCTACGGTCGATACAATACCAGCCATTACTAGTCGATAATCATCGTAATTGCACATGCACTCCTTCGATTACGGGGACCCTCTGGCCTAGCTCTGTGCGGGTTTATAGTCTCTCGTGATCTGTGCCCCCAATATCACTTGTTCAAAAAAGTGGGTGGGGTGGGGGGTGTGTGTGTCTCGAGTTCTCGATATGATGAGCCACAAAGAATGGCTCTTTTCATTGTGTATGGTCGATAACGCCCTGTCTCCAGCCCCCGCCTTTCGACGGTGGTGCCTCACGATAAGGTTGGTTCCATTTATTGAACTCTTGTTTATTCATTGAAATAATCAAAATACGATGTATTTTATGCACGCTTGTTGCTGACGGATGCCACTTCCTAGATTATCTTTAGGAGTCTATCTTGATGCAATAAGTGCCCCAAGGAGGATTTAATCTGAAAGAGAATTTTACAAACCTGTAGAGGTTATGAATTCTCTGATGAAATCCTCCTTGGGGCACGGCCACCCGCCTCCCCACATTCCGTCAGCATTAGACATATGGAAAGTGATTTGGGTGAGAGTTGCTTCCCTTGGCGTGACGCGCCGTGGAGGGTGAGGCACCATAAGGGTGGACGTATATCATACAAAAACAAAGTTTTTTGTGTGGTAACAATTTTTATTAAGGAAAATGGTTACAACTATGTCATGTAGATTTTCTTGAGCCAGGAAAATGCAATAAGTGCCCCAAGGAGGATTTCATCAGAGAATTCATAACCTCTACAGGTTTGTAAAAATTTTTGCCATTAAACAATATATAACACGACTAACCATGGGTCCGGTTCTCAGGAACAACCCAACCTGAGTACCTGAGTTTCCTGTCCAAGCCCTACAAGGAACGTTTCTGTATAATGGTTGCAGAACCGATTCATTGAACGCTTACGTATACAACACATCCTGGATGCCAAACTACAGTGAAATTCGTCAACAGTGCAGTTTACCGGGCACAGCTTCGCCATCTTCCAACAGCTCTTACAGCGCTTTAGCACTACCGCTGTCTCACTTTTACTGTTACCATGGCTCACACTCGAATGCACTTGCTCTTGTCTCAGGCAGCTGACGGGCGGTCGGGTAGCCTAGTGGTTAAAGCGTTCGCTCGTCACGCCGAAGACCCGGGTTCGAATCCTGACATGGGTACAATGTGTGAAGCCCATTTCTGGTGTCCCCCGCCGTGATATTGCTGGAATATTGCTAAAAGTGGCGTAAACCCAAACTCACTCACTCACTCAGGTAGCTGACACATCAATCTTTGGGAGCTGACACACCTTTCTGATCCAACACTTCTTTTGATCTTAGGGAGCCGAAACGCCTTTCAGATCCAACACCCCTCTTCGATCGTTAGGGTTAGCATAGTTAGGGATAGGGTTAGCCATAAATTCTTACCTTTTTATAGTGTTTCCAATAATTCAGTGTGGGTAATCCTATTAGAGTGTAGTCCGTTTTAACATGTTTTGTCTCTCAATTGGTTACTCATCACTCATTGATGGCCAATGGTAGGTGTGGCTTCTTCAGAAAGATGAATAGAGAGGGTGTGACATCAATAACATGCATGCACTAATAAGCCAAGTCGGTAAGCCAGAGAAGCGCTTTCGAGCCCCCACAGGGCTAATTGGATCTGAAAAACTGTGCCCGATAAAGTGCACAACTCCATGTTGTATAATGCATAATGTTGTATGAGATGCATTCCAGTCTGCTATACAAGAACAAACAAACACAGTGATGTACGTACGTTACTTTAATATTCCACGATGCACAACATTATCCAGCCTGTACTCGTCATTAGGCAAACCGAACTACAAGGTGAGCTGGTTTCGGGTTGAGGAACATGGACTTGTTCATCGTTAAGTGTACCAGGTACCTATCTGGGTTTTGATTTTGGCTAGGATACATTTTTGTATGCAGAAAAGTACCTTGGGTACATATATGTAGTACTCTTATTATTATTATTATTATTCCCTGCTAATGTGTTTGGCCCCAGGAATAGCGAACTAAAAGTAAAGACTTATTTATAAATGCAAGATAAAAGGTGTGATGTGAATAGCTTTTCAAATGAAATGAAGCTCAAATAGTCACTATGCTGATCATGCACTTTAATCATGTTAATTATGCATAGACTGATGTTCATAAGTGTATGAACGACTCAATTTGATGTTCATTCCTTTTTCGCGAGAGTGTATTCTTGAAATATGAAAACACTGACACATTATTTATACAATCCTTCGAGGAAACCTTTGGAATTCCCTTGCACGAATAAACACAGAAGCGCTGATGCTGATTTAGACCCTTTAATGTTGAACTCAGTTGAACTCAAATTTTAGCAAAAATTGAGAAGCATTCGAGAGTTTGACTGCATGAACGTTCACAATTATCCTCACTTCGACCATCCTAGTGAAAAAAATGAAGAAATGCACATCCAAACTATCATAGTATCCACTCGATCTGTGTCTAGAATGACAGTGAAAGTCTACAGCAATCTATGAACTTACCTTAGTATCTACTTGACACATCTTTGTAATCACCCTTCAATGTTGGGCCAACTGATCAATGATGATTGACACGTGACCGCCACAGGTTCACTAATAACAACTTTTGAAACGACTTCCATCACGTTTATTGTGTCGGCCATTTTGACGTCTTGTACTTGATGTAAATGAATTACGATGCGCTGTCATTGTGACTGTCTCACTGAGGTAGTTCTTAACAGAACTTTCTCATCCAATGATGATATCATTTGAATACATTTGTAGTTAACAAACTACAACAGATGTTCCTTCAGAGCAAGTTGCATGATATGCTCATGTCACCTCTCTGTTTGAGGTACTATTTTATTCTGCAATACAGCTGTTTGTATGGCTGTCAGTGTAAACATGAAGTCACATGTAGAGATCTAGATACTAAATAAAATCGTGTATTGATATCGGCTTACATCCTTCGAGGAAAAATAGTGATATGAAAATGATAAGACTTGACTTTCACTTTGTGCGAGTCCATTCGAGTATGAAATGTCATATAGTGAGGGCCAAATATTGTATGTATGTCATTGCAAGCTCCGACGTTCATACAGTTTGGCCCTCACTCTATGAAGGTTCATACTCCAATAAACTCACACAAAGTGAAAGTCAATTCTTAGTTTGTTTGTTTGTTTGTTTAATGCAGCACTCAGCAATATTCCAGCTATATGACTGTGGTCTGTAAATAATATGTTTGGACCAGCCCATCCCGTGACTGATGTCTTGAACATCAATCCACGCAATTAGGATACGATGACATGTATAAACCAAGTCAGCGAGCTTGACCACCCAATCCCGTTAGTCGCCTCTTTCGACAAGCAAAGTCACCTTTTGCAGCAAGCATGGGTTGCTGAAGACCTATTCTACCCCGAATCTTCACTGGTCCAATTGTTACCATGTCTTTTTTTTTAATGTCACTGTTACACAAGTGACAGTGACAGTAAAAATAAAAAAGACATGGTAACATGGATTATGTATTCTCTGATTCCAGGTTGGCATCCAGATAGCTCCATTCTGCAAGGATTTCAATGAAAGGACGAAGGATATCAGACCTGGCATACCATTGCCAACTCGAGTCACGGTTAATGTAAGATGTTAACATATTTTCAAACTGTTCAAAGAAAACCCCCGACAAAGTAAGATTGTAGTTTCAAAAGCAGGCCCCTTACATGCCTGATGTGATGATCATGATGATGTGCCAGTAAGTTGCTACTGCTAGATGAGACTTGAAATATACTATTCAACTTTTGATAGGGATTGGGAGTATCAAGGTGGCATCTGAATGTATCTGATCGCTCGGGTGTTTTCATATGGATAGTAGTCTAATTTGCCATGAAACTGAAGCATGCTGCTGCTTCATTTTAAGTTGATTAAACCAAAGACGTATATAGAATATGTACGTCCGCGATTAAACATAAATACACAGTTCAGTAAGTTAATTGTTGTTTTCACGTTTCATCACAGTTTGAAATATTTCAGTATCCCTTCAAAAGTTCAGTAGTATAATTTGTTTTCACTGAATAAGTAAGTCTGGTCCTACTAATAACTGTCTGGGACTGCTGAGTGAAGATTATCTACCATCCGGGACTACACACATTAATATTTACAGTAGTGGGTGACCTTGCCGAGATGAACACTGCCAAGCGGAGTGTCATTCATTTCCTGACAAACATCAGGGGAATTGCTCAATCAAAAATAATATCAGATCATGCAGATAGGGACGGTATCATCATACAATTTAGGCTATGAATGATGCAGGCTTTGAAGTCAGACTGATCATTATGTGTCGTTACCAAAGCGTCCATTCGAAGTTACAACAGAGAATGCTCTACTTACCAAACGTATGACATAAACAGTAGACAAACACACACCTAAAGTTTATTTTGATCCATTTTCAGAATCAACCAGGTCTGGATTTCTTTCCAACTCTAGCTTTACTGGGTGCAACTTGTTTTTCAAATGATTGACAATGCCGTAGCCGCTTTTTTTATGACTTTTGTAAAACTGAGTGACGTAACCCACATGGAATTTTTGGGGCAGATGACGTCACAACATCACTTTAAATAAATAAATGGATTGTTTTTTTCATGGTTTATGTGTCTGTCAGTATGAGGACTGAAGATGTATTTTTGCACACGCACGCACGCACGCACGCACGCACACACACACACACACTATTGTATAAAATTACATGATGTATATTGTATGGTACTAAACATGTTAAAGATGGTAATACGTGGAACCATGCCATTGGTTAAGCTATATACAAACAAGCTATGTACACACACGCTCACCTTGTTAATCATATATATTTCATGTAAACCTATTTTTTTTGCAGCCTGACCGATCCTTTGACATCGTAATCCACCAGCCACCAGTCTCTTACTTCCTGAAGCAGGCAGCAGGGGCCAGGATTGGAGCCAGGAAACCTAGTAATATGATTTATAGTTAGGATGTTCCCTATTGTTTAGAATATTAGCCATGAATTGGTTTTCAAGAGATAGTCTAGCTCTGAAGCTTTGTATTCTTTCTGCTCTGCTCGGATCCGCTAGCCAAGGGCCGGAGTCCCAGATTAACCCCAATTATTATCTTGTTTTCGTGGGTCATACACCAAGGTCTGTCTTATTTATCTCACGCTATTCGTGATATTCAAGCTGGTGGTAAGCCTAACTCCCATCAGATATTTGAATTTGCATTGTGGAATATGATCTAATTCAACTGTGAAACATGCACACCAATTGATGCCAGCTATCTTTCTAATGGATATGAGCCTGAGATTAGCTCATATTCCTTACCAACGTTTCAGAAGCATGTATAACACAGAGATACCAACCAATATGATTTTGAACCTAAAATTACACTATTGTGCTTGTCCTCCTCCAAATTGATTTTTGTAATTTTTTTCACAAATTGCATAACCTATCACAAAGAGCAAATCATTAATTCCCCACGACTATTCACATAGCGTTAAAGTATTCATATTCAGTTATACAAGATCTCTGATTGGTTGTTATGTTAACACAAACTAAAGTAATTTCATCAACTGATCTTTGCGGACTACTTGTGCTGTTGACAATACTCTGTTTTAACCCCACTGATTACTCCAATGCTTCAGTTAGGATTGGCATCTCTCATAAGGTCTGTTTTGTTGTTGCAGATCATGAAATAGCTGGGAAAGTATCTCTGAAGCATGTTTATGAAATTGCGCAGATCAAATCTCAGGACCCTACATTTAAGTTTCTGAGTTTGGAGACAGTATGTAGGTCAATAATTGGTCAGGCCCACAGTCTAGGCATTGAGGTGGTGAAGAAGCTGGAAGCAGATGACTACGCACAGTTCCTGGAAGAGCGGAAATTAGAAGTCGAGGAACAGGACCAGAAGCTGGAGGAGACGAGGCAAAGCAAGATGCTCAGGTTGTAGCAGACATCAAAGTTGTGTCAGATGGTAATGTCAGTAGCAAAGTATTGCTTGACCTGTTCAGATCCACAAGCTGGTTTCTTGGAATCCTTGGAGAATTGGGGGAAATTCATGACATGTTTGGGTTCATCAAATGTATCCCTTCATGACCAAGTATGTGTCAAGAGACGTATACAAGAGTACATTTCATGTAAAAATGACTTCTTCAGTGTTTTTTAGAACCTGTTCAGAAGATAGAACAGAAGTGTGTGTGTTTTCAGATGCATTTAGTATTAGCTGATCAGATTTGATATATTAGGATGTCATATAGTGTGCATCAGAGGATCATGTTTGTGTCATCTAATGTTTCAGCACTACACCGTGAATGACTGATTTGGATTTGTGTGATAATATTACAAAGATTCAGCTCCAGTGTTAAGGCTTGTTCTCTGAAACCGTTACATTTAGCTATCATTTCAATCACAAAGAAATGTTTCCTGATAATATGCTGTCATTCATCTAAACTATCTTCAGTATTTACCCTTACTAATTTTGTTGCTTAAATAGTTAAAACTCCAAGCAAGAGTTAAAATTGTAAGAAGATATATTTTCTTGAATCAGTAATAAAGATATGCTAATTTGAAAGACTTGTAAACATGTGGTATGAATAATGCATGGTGTTTGTGATTATTACTCAAGTTTGAAAGAATAGTATATGAGACAATAAATATGAAATACTATCTACAAAGTGATGTTTTCTTGTCTTTGGTCAATATACATATGTATGTCTTGTCAGTTTTTGAAAGTTCTTCACTATTCACACCACAAAATTCTGGCCCGTGTTATGTTCATGACATGTCACTCTGGCAATATAGCCTCTGTGGTCTAGTGGTAGAGCATCCGCCCAGAGAGTGTAAGGTCCGGGGTTTGATCCCCGGCCGCGTCATACCAAAAGACGTTAAAAGATGGTACTTGTTGTTACCCTGTCTGGCGCTCGGCATTTAGGGGCTAAAACAAGGACTGGTCTGCTCGGAGTCAGTATACTGTGTCTGAGTGGGGTATTCATGTTAAACTGCGGCATCTCAGTGAGCTAGCACTATAAATCGGCATCAGTCCGGACTAGTTCAAGCAGCCACACAAACACACACATGTACATGCACGTCGCTATATAAGTGCAATAATCTTTGACGCGACGTTAAACCCCCATTTCACCTCACCTCTGGCAATATGTCTGATGAACATCTGTTGACAAGTCTCATCCCACTCCAGAAGTCTGAACTAACATTTGATAATGTGATATTTTAATACAGGACATGCCTATATCATAGTAGATGCAAGTCAAATGAGAGTACAGTTGGTCCTCATTTAAATGATTTAGTGTGGTACACTTGCAAGGAACACGGACATAACAAAGGAGAATATCCAAAACACTGAATTTAAATGAAAAATGAGGATCCACTTGTCCAAACTGTGACTGAGTTAATAGCATGTCATCATACCCCGGCGGCGTGGATAGTTGCTCATATCAGCAATCACTGATTGTCTGGTCCAGACTCAATTATTTACAAGCCACTACCACATAGCTGGAATGTTGCAGTGCTAAAGAACAAACAAGGCAACATAGTGCCACTTAAAGGTGAAATTTCCATACAAATATCAAAGGCCAAAATGTCTAATACATAATGAATGTATCAAATTACTGTTATATTGAAGTCAGAAATTACAGTGTCTACAAAGTCACTATACACACATTTATATATTTAAAACAACTGTCTGAAATCACATGTCTATAATAATTTGTCAAATAATTTGGCAGTCCATGTTGGTATTGCATTCACCCATATCCATCAATCATAATATGATTCATTGGCTAGGACACATCTTTATTTCAAAACAAGAGCACTTTGTTCAGCCTTTCAAAGCCTGTCTTGCTTGATTTATGCAGTAACTCTTCTTAACAAGTACATGTTTGACATCTCAAACCAAGTCTGTTCTGTGGATCTGAACATCAATGTAGGTTTTCAAAGAAGTATTGTCACCATACATGTAGAGAATTTGAATACGGACCTTTTACCCAAAATTAATTAAGCAAATATGAACATAAGCATTTTCATCCCCTCCATAATATTAAATCAATACAGTCATATTTTATGACTGATTGGTAACAAACGTTCACATTGTTTCAAGTATCTTTCTTGTCCTCATATTTAACGTTTGTCATTATTAGAATTGTTGCACTGTCTGGTTCTTATTACACGTGCTACAGCACAATCGCAGTCCAGTGGTAGATGGTCTAGTCTGGCAGCTTCTTCTTCTCCTTGCTCGCGTTCTTCTTCCTCTTTTTCCCCATGTACTTGTCAAGTTTACCTGTCTTCTTCAGCTCCTTAAATCTCTCGGCCAGCTCCAGCTTCCGTAAGTCACCTGTTAACAGTGTTATCTTGTACAACATGCTTCTCAACATTTGCACCCCAACTCAGCTGGAAATAATCACATGCCCAGAAAGCCAATATGTACAATTAGATACAATAACTCTCTGTGTGAGGGACCTTCGGTAACTTTATGTCCCGTCCATGTCACAACACTCATCCTACATCAATTACTGAATTGTTGGGCTAGTTAACTTCTCATATGAAGTCAACTCTATCCCTGATCAAAGACGCTTGACATAAACTGAATAATAATTTAAGTCTGGGTCATATCCTGCCCTCACCAGGGGCATGGGTGGCCCAGTCGTCTAAGGCGCCGCGATTCGCTGTGCAGAGTTGCATAGCTTGGGCACGCCAGATACCTATGATTGTGGGTTTCAATCCCCGTTTGCCCTGATTATGTTCCAAGGTTTGTCAGCACCATACCTATGCTCGTGGGTTTCACCGAAGTGGTAAATGTCTGAGACCAACATCACTTCGGGCTTTCCTCCCACATTAAGCTGACACGCCGTGATATAACTGGAATACTGTTAAAAGCGGCGTTAAACCCAACTCACTCACTCACTCCTGCCCTCACCTTTCTTGAGGAAGTATGGGTTCTTGCCCTCCACCACCCGACCTAGCTCCTTCTTCTTCCAGTCCTTCTCCAGCTCTTTCCTCGTCTGCTTCTGTTTGTCAGCAGATGCCTGCTGGTCCTGCACACGACACACAAGACACGAGTGAGTGATATCATGACGTTACTTCGGCAATAATTCACCCTTGAAGTTACATGGTCAATCTGGGAGAGTTAGTGAATGTTGTTCAACATCACAGATATATTCCAGCTATTTTGGAGGTAAACCAGTGACTGCAAGCATGACAAACATTCCACACCTTCAAGGTACAATAACACCTTCTATGTAACAGACACCGACCACCAAATCCCAGAATCCATCTCGAAGAACCAATAGGCATGTGCATAAGTAAAACTCCACACCTCATAATATGAACATACAAACATATTAAATACATTGTTCACCCTCCAACCTATGCTAATAGGTCATAGGTGAGAAACGTGTTCCTCCAGTTATAATACATGTTCAGCAGACACTGTGTTCATTTGATCCACATTTAAGTGAGTATTTAGCTGTTTTTTTCATGGCCAATCACAAGGATGGATTACTGGAACCTTCCGATGGGGATCCAATGTAAGACACAACACAGGAACATACCATTCTGTTGATCAAGTACTGTAATTCCTTTTTCTTCTGGTCATTCTTTGTCTTCTTCAGCTGTTTCGCCAGTTTCTGTCAATGAAAGAGTGACACAATTTGTGACAAACCCATTAATACCCTAACTAGTAACTGAGGAGATACACATGTTCTATGAGGACAATCAATCTTTTAGGTAACAACTTCATTGCTCATACATACTCATATTCGTTACTTGCATACATCATACAATATGCCAAATAAAAGTTGTTTATTATTCATAATAGATAAAAAACAAAATCACTTTTAAGAAAGAGGTACTAATTATCAATTTACAAAAACACAATTAGAGCACAAACATAACAGGTAAAACCTCTGGGACATTGAAATTGAAAAGAAAGATGACATAGCCTTATCTTAGTTTCATATTGCATAGATGGATGGGTTTGTTTTAAATTGTATAGATGGACGGGTTTGTTTCATATTACATAGATGGATGGGTTTGTTTTATATTACATAGATGGATGGGTTTGCTTCATATTGTATAGATGGATGGGTTTGCTTCATATTGTATAGATGGATGGGTTTGCTTCATATTGTATAGATGGATGGGTTTGCTTCATGTTGTATAGATGGATGGGTTTGTTTCGTATTGCATAGATGGATGGGTTTGTTTCATATTGTACAGATGGATGGGTTTGATGGACACAGCAGTAATAATGTGACATCATGTAGTAATAATCTGTAAGGCAGCAGTTGAAATAAATTTGTATTTTTCACCTCTTTTTCCCTTTTCTTCACATCATCAAGAAATGCATACGAGCTCTTGAAGATGGCTTCGTTGTATTTCCCGGACATGTCATCAAACCTAGGATCCCGAGTAACCTTCAAGAAAATGACATGTCTTCTACATTTGAAAGGTAACTGTTTTGTTGATCTAAAAACATCTGAGACCACACATAGAGTTACACATTTGTTTAGAATGTTATCCATTACTATCCAAGCTGATACCAAACTTTCTTACAGTCAAACTAATACATTTGCTTTGAGCAAATCCAATTCATATTTTTCCTTACGAGGATGACCTCACAGCCTAGGGATATGGAATATGCTGTATACAGATAATGTCAGTTATCATTGCTGGAGCCCCAGCTGGTGCTGAGTGAGTGAAGTTTATTGCAACTTGGAACAGCATTTCAGTTATATCATGTGTCGGATTAATACAGGAGGAAGACCCAAAGTGAATCAGGTCTTACATGCTTCTATCTTTGTTGAACCTCCCGACCATGAATATGGTGCTGACGGACCAAGTGACATATAATCAGGATGAATTCATGACTGATAACTATCTGGCATATCTAACGGATGCAACTCCACTGTATTGGTTGTGCTGTGCTATGCTGTGCTGTGCTGTGCTGTGCTGTGCTGTGCTGTGGTACACTGCTGGAGGTACTCTTGGGCACATCTTTAAACACAACTATGACCATCAGTCTTTGAAGTTGAGATGGAACCAGGATTTGTTGCTGAACATGGTGTTGTGTCAATGGCGCTATGACACCACAAGTGTTACAGCTTGAGAAGAGTGAGTGAGTAGTGCTTTACTGCACAAACACAGACAAACACACAGTAACAGACAAACACACAACACAGACAAACACACAGTAACAGACAAACACATAAAACACAGACAAACACACAGTAACAGACAAACACACACGACACAGACAAACACACACGACACAGACAAACAGACAAACACACACAACACAGACAAACACACACAACACAGACAAATACACGACACAAACACACATGACACAGACAAACACACATGACACAGACAAACACACATGACACAGACAAACACACATGACACAGACAAACACACACAACACAGACAAACACACACAGTAACAGACAAACACACACGACACAGACAAACACACACGACACAGACAAACACACACGACACAGACAAACACACACGACACAGACAAACACACATGACACGGACAAACACACACGACACAGACAAACACACACGACACAGACAAACACACATGAGACAGACAAACACACACGACACAGACAAACACACACAACACAGACAAACACACACGGCACAGACAAACACACACAACACAGACAAACACACACAACACAGACAAACACACACACAACACAGACAAACACACACAACACAGACAAACACACACGACACAGACAAACACACACAAGACAGACAAACACACACAAGACAGACAAACACACACAACACAGACAAACACACACAACACAGACAAACACACACAAGACAGACAAACACACACGACACAGACAAACACACACGACACAGACAAACACACACAACACAGACAAACACACACAACACAGACAAACACACATGACACAGACGAACACACAACACAGACAAACACACACGACACAAACACACATGACACAGACAAACACACACAACACAGACAAACACACACGGCACAGACAAACACACATGACACAGACAAAAACACAGAGTAACAGACAAACACACACAACACAGACAAACACACACAGTAACAGACAAACACACACAACACAGACAAACACACACAGTAACAGACAAACAAACACGACACAAACACACATGACACAGACAAACACACACAACACAGACAAACACACACAACACAGACAAACACACACGACACAGACAAACACACACAACACAGACAAACACAGACAAACACAGACAAACACACAGAGTAACAGACAAACACACACGACACAGACAAACACACACGACACAGACAAACACACATGACACAGACAAACACACACGACACAGACAAACACACATGACACAGACAAACACACACGACACAGACAAACACACACGACACAGACAAACACACATGAGACAGACAAACACACACGACACAGACAAACACACATGAGACAGACAAACACACATGAGACAGACAAACACACACAACACAGACAAACACACACGGCACAGACAAACACACACAACACAGTCAAACACACATGACACAGACAAACACACACAACACAGTCAAACACACATGACACAGACAAACACACACAACACAGACAAACACACACGACACAGACAAACACACACGACACAGACAAACACACACAACACAGACAAACACGCACAACACAGACAAACACACACAACACAGACAAACATAGACAAACACACACAGTAACAGACACCATATTTACCCTCTTTTTCACTGGAATTACGTCTCTGTAAATGGACACTGGTTTCTTGGATGATGCTTCCATTGGTCTGCAAAATCAAACCTTTTCACATTCAAAAACAATTATCATGATCAACAAATAATTGAACCTGAATGATTGCATCATTTAATCAGGGAATATATCACAAACTACGTCACAATAGAAGAACAATGTGAGAAGTTAACAGCTCTGACCCACAAACAACAAACTACATCACAATAGAAGAACAATGTGAGAAGTTAACAGCTCTGACCTATTTTATTTCTCTTCAGGGAACAAAGCACAAACAACAAACTATGTCACAATAGAAGAACAATGTGAGAAGTTAACAGCTCTGACCTATTTTTATTTCTCTTCAGGGAACAAAGCACAAACAACAAACTATGTCATAATAGAAGAACAATGTGAGAAGTTAACAGCTCTGACCTATTTTTATTTTCTCGTTTGAAACTCCTCTTCGCTGTGGAAAGATGATGTGTTTGTTTTCTTTCACCTTTCATCACTTGTTTGTAGCTGGAACATATTCAGTGTAAGAGTGATGAGGGTCTAAAATCATCTGAGGGTTAAATGTTTAATTTCCTGGTAGAAATGTTTGTTATCCTCATTTTATAGATAAAATATACAAATTGGCATATCTAAAGTTACATACTTTACATATACTGGATACCAAAAACTTTGTTTTTGTAACTTATGGTGGCTAAACATGTATGCAGGACACTAACTTATCCCCTGCACATCTAAAAGTGAAACGGATAGTTACAGAAACCAAGGACGTGACACATTTCAAGTGTCCAGCTAATAAAATCCAAACAAGATCTCATGTTCAAATATATAAACACAATATCAGATCTATAACATTACCAAAATATAAAATACTTCAGGTAACCTATAAACAACAAGGATTTGTGGTTTACATGTCCCAAGTGTAAAGGGGATGAAATCCATACAACATAAGTTGCATCAATTTGATGTTTGCTTGTTTGTTTGTTTGTTGGGTGGTTGGTTTGTTGTCTAACGCCGCACTCAGCAATATTCCAGCTATATGACGGTGGTCTGTAAATAATCGAGTCTGGACCAGACAATCCAGTGATTGACATCATGAGCATCAATCCACGCAATTGAGATCGATGACATGCATTAACCAAGTCAGCGAGTCTGACCACCTGATCCTGTTAGGTGCCTCTTACGACAACCAAGTCAGCAAGTCTCACCACCCGATCCTGTGAGGCGCCTCTTACGACAAGCATTGTCGCCTTTTACGGCAAGCATGGGTTGAAGACCTATTCTACCCTGGATCTTCACTGGTCTCATCAATTTGATGTGTATTATGATGCAGACAAGACCAAAATTCACACTCATCCTAACCCATTGCCTAATAGGCAGAAGTGGGGTTTCTTCCCACACCAAACTGACACCAAAAAAGGATTATCAGTGTGTGTGTGAGAGAGATAGAGAGAGATAGAGAGAGAGAGAGAGAGAGAGAGAGAGAGAGAGAGAGAGAGAGAGAGAGATTTTTAGAAAGAGAGGTCACTCTAATTATGATCTGGACTATTAGATTAGACAAGAATAGTTCCCTTCTCGAATGTTGACGCATTCAAACCAAATCACTCACAAACTTTATGATTCACCATATACTTACACCTTTACTCCCAAGCGATCTCTCAACTTCTGTAGTTCCTCAAACGACATGTGTGACAACTCTGGAAATCAGTGGTATACATATTACCTGCTTAAAGCATCATAGGCTGCATACAGACAAAGTTTCAAATGCGGTTGCTACTGCAAGGTTTCCCAGAAGATATGCTGTGTTGACGAGTATAGCAAAATTATATTTTATTTACCGGTAATAGTTTTGGTACTTTACTTGTCGAAAGATATGGTGAAACTACGCTCTGAATAGAAGTTTTCAATTCTCATTCATGATCGATCATGAATTGATAATTAATTATGTTGAATGCTATTTTTTTTAAAAAGTCAATCTTGAAATCATTTCATAAGGCTACATGCAACAGCAGTGCATTTGTATTCTGGAAATCAGTATGCTTTATATATAAATGGACATGGATGTGAATTGATAGTATCTCAGAGAGATCCTTCCCCATGGCTGTCTCTATGCATACTACAAATCATTAACCATGTTAACTGGACAAGACAGTGAGAAATTGCATAGGTACTTTTTATTACTAATAATAGATTATTCTAACATGTTTGATGTACTTGTCATACTCAACACTGACTTATTACAAAGCAAACACATGTACATGCAATGGAAGTTAGACATCTCTAAGATATCTCATCATTAGCTGGAGTATCCACATACCTTCTCTTATTGCAGTCTGAAAAACAGAAAAAATGTTCAAATTATTGTTTCTTATCTCATAATAATTCATTTCCCATCTGCGAATACACTTTGTTTAAAATTACACACACATATATACATATAAACCATGCATGCTTTTACATTCTCTTAAAATCTTTCCACTTTTATCAACGAGTGTTGATATACATTGTATTTGATATCAAAAGACACAAGGGTGAGATTTTATTTATCATCCAACATCATTCTTCCAGCTTTTTCAGTTTGTAGACAGTAATAAGCAGTGTCTTAAGTGTAAAAAGTACTGCTAACAGCCTCAGTAGCAGAACCATTAGTGATGTCATTTGATTGTGACGTCATGGTAACCAATGACGTCACAATGGTCTGCAAAGCATTGTGATGCAATTTCATTGCAGCGATATCTAAACTGTAGATATCGCTTGATCTCACCCAAGTGATATCTCCTGTGGGAGCCAGTTTTGGATGATAAATTCTCTTAGAATACTGTTTCGATATCAACATCACATTGGGTAAACATCACACTAGATCAACTGGAATTATTAAGGTTTCTAATGCATAAGGATGGTGTATCATTTTATGTAATGAGTGTGTAATTGTTTAACACTGCAGCAATATTCAAGCTACCCCATGTTGGCCTGTAAATACTGTATTTGACTTAATAAGTGCCAAGGGAGCTCTCGAAATTAGAAATAGGGGGCTCTTATTCAAATTTTGGTGAGAAATGATACAGAAGAAAACTGTGCATATTATACACGACATATATTTTCCAGAATTTGATTGCCCATAATTAAGGGTGTATATAACACACGAGTGCGTATTATACACGAATAAATAAGTCTTGTGTACACTGATCAATCGGAAGGGGTGCTAATTGGGATTGTTTACTAGCCATTATTAGGAAATATCGCCATGGGCACTTATTTGAGTGGGGTGCTTATTACGTCGAATACGATAATACAAATGAACCATGCATTCAAGTCCCTGAAAGCATGAGCAACGATCCATGCAACAATCAGTCAGTCGTAGAGCCTGGTTTCAAATGGGATGAGATAGTGAAGTACAAAATCTACACCAGCATTACAGACAAACAGAGCTTATGAATCTCAGTCTGTCCTTTATAAATCTCAACTCACATATTCTTCCCCATCTTCAGGAGAAACCTTTTCTACGTTACTCATGGTAACCTCCTCAGGCTCATCTTCTGACTGATCAGGTTCCTCCTCTTTCATTTTCAACTTCCTTTTCGTTCCTTTCGTCACTTTATGTACTTTGGTATCATTTTTGTCCTTAGTTTTAGTTTTCACAGGTTTCAATTTCACTGACTTTTTATGCTGTTGAGTGTCAAGTTCTGAACTCTCAGATTCTGAAGACAATTCTTGTTTTGGTATTGAATAATTTGACGGAAAATCTGCTGACATAGCACTGTCTGAGTCATCACTGTCTGAATCATCACTGTCTGAATCTTGTTCCACTGGTCCTTTCTTGGAAATCTTACTCGATGTGGGGTTGATACTTAAAACTTTTTTTCGGAACACGTCTATTTCATCATCACTAGAACTCATCTCTGACAATCTATAACAGAACAGAACAGTGTCTATAAAACAAATTTAGCAACATCATATGGCCTGGAAGTATTTCTGAAATAAGAAAGTTTGTATGTGATTCTCTGTCATTCTCAGACCCAGTCTGTCCCGTAGTGTAGTCTAGTGTTATAGTCAAGGGTGAGCCCTTCTTTGGTGATAGAGTGTACTCAATCTCCAGTCTACTATGACACATATACATGACACATCTGCCAGCATACCCTCATTTCTGTGTTACTCTTTAGTTTGGTACAATGACGGAGTCACAATATGTTTGTCCCGCTACGATATTGCAGAGACATGCTTAAAGCAGATTCAACCCTCACTCACTGTCTGTAGTATATCTGCCAGTAATAGAACCAAACAGACTTCAACCTGAAGGTAATGACCGAAACTCTTCCAATGTTGAATTATTATTTATCAATTTTTGTTCAAACATGTAAAGTAGTGAACTACTTGTTGATCAATAATCAAAGCTGTAGCTTGGGAACACTTTCATAATCTCTGTGTACACATGCCCAACCTAAACGAGGCTCAGGTTGTTGCAATATCTGGTACTGACTGCTCCCTATCATATCACAATCCAGTACAATAACTGATCCCTGTACATCCGGGCTTTTTTAAGATCATGGCCTCTGAGAGTAAAGTGTCAAGTCAGAAGCGATTCTTGTTGTCTATATAATTAGTGTTTGGATAACACGGGATATTGAAACATGGTGGCAACGGTGCGGAATTAACTTGATGTTGATGTTTACCGCTAGAATTGACGCTGTCAGTAGTGCTGGGTGCCTACACGGATGAGACAGTTCACCAAGCGAGTGAGTAATGTCGGACCTCTGCAGTATCGCACGTGGTTTGCGACTACAGGATTTTGATGATTCTGGATTAATTATGCATTTTGGTGAATGAATGAACATTTCACACGGATTTCACATTCGATTTCCTAACTGATGAACATTATGGATGGTCAGGAAGAACGTGAACCGGGCGGACATGACGACCACGTGGGCTTGCAGATACCGCACGGCAGGAGAATGCCATTGCCGAATTTGACACCTCCATTGCCGCTGAAAATGTCGGGTGATTTGGCAGATAATTGGAGAATGTGGAAACAGGCGTGGCAGAACTTTGTGATTGTTTCACAACTAGATGATTACCCGATGAATTACCAAGCTGCTGCTTTATTGCATTCTATCGGAACTGATGCACTAAAAGTCTACAATGCAATGGAATTCTTGCCGGAAGAGCACAGGGATGTGACTACTATTATGGCCAAGTTTGATTCATACACAATTGGAGAAACTAATGAGACGTATGAACGATACATTTTGAACAATCGTGTACAGGCAGATGGAGAAAGTTTTGAGGAATACCTCACAGCTATTCGCACACTCTCAAAGAGCTGTAACTTTTGTGAATGTCTACGTGAATCACTATTAAGGGACAAAATAGTGACAGGGATCAGAGACCCTAACACCAGGAAAAGGCTTTTACAGGAAACTAAGCTGTCACTGAAATCTTGCATTGCAATATGCAGAAGTGCTGAAGCAACCAATGTAAGAATTAAAGCCATGAATTCTGAAGATGTACACCGTGTCAGCAGACATTCAGCAGGAAACAAGTCTTATAAATACAGAGAGAGGACTGGTAAATCTCAACCTGTACAAGGGCCAAGCATGTCACAGAAGGCAGGATCTTTACAACTATGCAAGTTTTGTGGATACAAACACATTATGGACAGACGCAAATGTCCAGCCTGGGGAAAGACATGTACCCTGTGTAAGGGAAAGAATCATTATCAGCAATGTTGTCGACATGGTAACAAAGCTAGCAAGATTCACTCTGTCTCAGATGATGAAGACAGTGGAGCAGAGGAAGATGATTGTCTTGAGGTGATCAGCAGTGTGTCATTGGATCCAGATGTTGAAGTTTGCAACCAGGTTGGAAAGAAAGCAGGCTCAGATATTTTCGCTCAGATGATTGTGGAGCATGAGACCAATGTAAAATTCCAGTTGGATTGTGGAGCATCAGTAAACATTTTACCACGGAGATTACTTAATGCTGATACTGATGTCACACCCACTTCGAAAATGCTTCGTATGTGGAATGGTTCACTGGTACACCCTGATGGTGTAACAAGACTGCTGATTCAAAACCCCAAAAACAAGAAGGCTTACAGTGTAGAATTTGTGATTGTGTCCGATGACACAAATCATCTTGTACCTTTGTTGGGTTCCAAAGCAGTGCAGCAGATGGGACTGCTAACAGTGAATGTGGACAACTTTGTTTCTGTTTGTTCAGTTTCACAGCCAGGACCAACATTAGTCAAAGAGAGGAATTCTGAGGCTATCATTAAGACTTACTCTGAAAATTTTGAAGGGGAACTTGGGACCTTGCCTGGCAAAGTACACCTGCAGGTGAATCCGGAAATAACCCCAAGCGTCTCACATCAGAACAGAGTGCCTATCTCACAGAGAGAGGAATTGAGACAAGAACTTAATCGTCTTATGAAACTTGGTGTCTTGGTACCTGTGGATGAACCAACAGATTGGGTTAGCTCGTTAGTGATAGCACCCAAGAAATCAGGGGGAATTAGAATTTGTATTGACCCCAAGCGCTTAAATGAGGCACTTCGTCGTGAGCATTATCAGCTGCCTACGATCGAGGAAGTGTTGCCCGATCTGACAAATGCGAAGGTCTTCAGTACATGTGACTTGTCTGCTGGATTTTGGCATCTTGAACTTGATCTCGAATCCAGTTTGCTGTGTACTTTTGGAACTCCGTTTGGTCGGTACAGATGGACTAGACTACCATTCGGGCTTAGTGTATCCCCTGAAATCTTCCAGAAACGCTTAATCCAAGCTTTGGAAGGACTACCAGGTGTCAAATGTATTGTGGATGACATCCTGATCTATGGTTCAGGGTATGACAAGATGACAGCGCAGGTTGACCATGACAAGAATCTGGAATGCCTTATGCAGCGTTGTCAGAAACTTGGTATCAAGTTGAAGAAGGAGAAACTTAAGTTGTGCAGAAAAGAGGTTACCTTTCTTGGTCACATCATCACTGATCAGGGACTTAAGTGTGACCCACAGAAAATAAAGGCTGTGTTGGAAATGCCAGCACCACAGAATGTTGAGGACATTCAACGCTTCTCAGGGTTCGTCAACTACCTTGCAAGATATTTACCTCGTCTGTCAGGGGTAATGCAACCACTTCGACAATTAACACATACTGATGTGGACTGGACATGGATGGAGGCACACGAGAAAGCCTTCACTGAAGTGAAAAAACTGGTTACGGAAGCTCCAGTATTGGCATACTACAATGAAGCTGAAGAACTGACACTGCAGTGTGATGCAAGTTCCACTGGACTAGGTGCTGTGCTGTTACAACAAGACAAGCCAATTGCATACGCTAGCCGTGCCCTAACACCGGCTGAGTCCAGATATGCACAGATTGAAAAGGAAATGCTGTCTGTTGTTTTCGGACTTCAAAAGTTCCACACATACACATTTGGTCGGAAAGTTACAGTGGAAAATGATCATAAACCACTAGAAGCAATAACCAGCAAACCCTTAAACTGTGCTCCTAGACGACTACAGTCTATGATTCTGGCTATGCAACAGTATGACGCCACTATCAAGTACAAGAAAGGTGCAGATGTTGTTTTGGCAGACACATTGTCAAGAGCATATTTGCCAAGCACAGAGCCAAAGATTGTAGAGCCTTTCAGTCAGGTGAACATGGCAAAGTTTTTGCCGATAACAGATGACAGGATCAAGCAGATCAGAGAAGAGACTGAAAAGGATGAAACTCTGCAGAAACTCAAACAAATCGTGTTAAGTGGGTGGCCAGAGGAAAGAGACGCTTTACCGATGGAGTTGTACCCATACTTCAACTGTAGAGACGTAGAGACGAGATCACAGTACAAAATGGTCTCATATTCAGAGGAGAAAGGCTGGTCATACCTCACAACCTGAGAACAACAATGAAAACCAGGATCCATACTTCTCACCTAGGGATCGAAGGTTGTTTACGGCGTGCAAGAGAGAGTTTGTATTGGCCTCACATGTCTGATGACATTAAACAGTACATCAGTACTTGCGAGTTGTGCTGCAAATACCAGGCAGACCAGCAGAAGGAGACACTACAGACCACTGAAGTACCAGAACGACCATGGCAAAAAGTGGCATCAGATTTGTTCACACTTAATGATAAGGACTATCTGATAACCGTGGATTACTACAGTAACTTCTGGGAAGTGGACTGCCTGTCAGACACCAAGTCTACTACAGTTATCAAGAAGCTAAAGGCACACTTTGCCAGATATGGGATTCCGGACCAGCTGGTTAGTGATAACGGACCTCAGTTCTACTCAGAGGAGTTTAACAAATTTGTCATTGATTGGGACATAGAGCACTTAACCTCAAGTCCTCACAACAGTCAAGCCAATGGAAAGGCAGAGTCTGCGGTAAAGACCGCGAAGAAACTACTAAGGAAAGCAAAAGACAGTGGAAACGACCAGTATATGGCAATATTAGACTACCGAAATACACCAACTCAGGGACTCGGCTCTAGTCCTGTGCAACGACTTATGAACAGACGATCAAAGACTCTCCTTCCAACAAGTGAAACTCTGCTGAAGCCGAGAACAGTGAATGGTGAAAGAGAAAGACTTTGTCTGAAACAGCAGAAACAGAAGTCAGCCTTTGACAAATCTGCAAAAGATTTAACGCCACTAGAAGAAGGTGATACTGTTAGGATGAAGCCATTCACTATGAATGACAAAGTATGGAAAAAGGGAACAGTGCTAAAGAGACTTGACGAGAGAAGCTATGAGGTAGACACACCTACAGGAATACTCCGACGTAACCGTGTACATTTGAGGAAAACAGCTGAACAACATTCTTTGAATCAACCACCTGTCAAAGTTGAAAGTGAACAGAGATTCAGAAAGCCATTAATGTCAAGAGAAAAGCTTATGCCATCTAACAGTCCTACTAGTAGCAGGAGTAATGAGAAGACTTCTCCTGTGACTCCACCTGTGACACCGATGAAGACGGACAGACCGACGACTATCATGAAGCAAGCACAGACTACACCACCTACTACCACCAGAAGTGGCCGTTCAGTGAAGTTGCCCAAACATCTCAGAGACTTTACTGTGTAGAGTACAGTTGTGCTCAAGTTCAACAATTATATGTTGAAGCCTCATTTAACAGTCATTCTATTCTGTTAATGTGAGTGAATGTTTACAGACCAGTAAGGTCATGGACACTAATTTGATTCACTTACAGTTATAAGGCCTTCATAATTTAATAGCTTTATTAATATGAAAGCTACCCTAAACGTTAATTCAAAATAATGTAAACTGACTTCCATGCCAGTATAATTTTGATATTAATAAGGAGTGTGTGCCAAAGTTTCCAATGGACTCGTGGACTCTTAAAGAAGAAGGGATGTTGCAATATCTGGTAATGACTGCTCCCTATCATATCACAATCCAGTACAATAACTGATCCCTGTACATCCGGGCTTTTTAAGATCATGGCCTCCGAGAGTAAAGTGTCAAGTCAGAAGCGATTCTTGTTGTCTATATAATTAGTGTTTGGATAACACGGGATATTGAAACACAGGTCATATTGCAGTCCCGTGAGAATTGTTTTAATTTTTCAAAATCCATTTAGCATTGTTGGCAGTGAATGTGTGAGTGCATGGCAATACATTGACTAGATCCATACAATAGACTCATGTTGCTTTAGAACAGGCGTGACCTTTCTCTTTGTAGGTAAAAAACAGTAACATTTGTTCCTTGTTACAAAATTGAATTGGCTTCAATGATGATTCAGGAGTACTGCACTTTACTGGGCACACTTGAATATCTGTTAGCACGGAGGATCAAACTTGCTTTGCCATCTTGAAGCTAAGCTAGGCCACGGACCTACAAGTCTGTGGCTAGGCTAACGTGTTATTCTATTAAATTAGCCAATACTTCATCACATGACTATGTGGGATGATAGCGAAAACGGCACCTCAGCAAAACGTCACCGAGCGAAAACGGCTACTATTGCCTGGCGAAAACGGCACCTTATTTTTTTTTTACCTTGATCAAATAAGTGATATTTAACTTATATGGTAACTTGCAGACACCAATAATTGTGAGATGCTAAAACAAGTTTACATTAGAAATTAGCCTACTCCAACTTAGCTTATACGCAACACAACTTATTGTGAAAACATGACATGCTTTGTTTGACTGGAAGGGATGCCAACTCTAAGGGGTAATTGGCCAGAAAGGAGTGTTTGATCGGAAAGGGGATCCAAGGGCTAAGCATGTCAAATGTCCACGCTGTTGGCGACTATCCGAGATCTTACACGGGGTGCAACAGTTAAGACATACATCTCGGCTCTCGGATAGTAGCCTACACAAAATAAAACACAGCAACTCATGTACTGTAATCAAAGCAATAATTTTAGACATATTGCTTGACAAACCATTGACTTCTTATGTTTACAAACAACACGTGCACTGACAGCAACAGGTATATGTAAATGTTGAAATGCGATTTCCAAAACGAATACTGTAACCAGTTCTTAACAAACACTAATACAAAATGAAACACGTTGCGATATATATTATTTCTAGTATTAACCTAAACTAGACGTATATTATACGAATGGTGTGTGAATATAATATATCACAAATTAATTAAATAGATGGATAATTGTATAACTGTTTTTTCGAACATGTCTTCACATTTAGCACAACCAAGAAAAGGTAACTCTGAAAAATGGATTCCTCACAGACAATAAAACAAAGTGTTGCTTCCCTATCAACTTTAATATATGAGCAGCATGCTCTACAGAACATAACCACACGTGTTCAAGATGATGTAGCGAAACTACAACAGGTAGACATTAATTTATTCTTCTTTTTCAACTTAAGTGATAAACAATTCTTTGTATTTTGTAACGTTTATTAATGCTGTCCAGATTTCGATCAACATGTTTAGGGAGCGGGTCAAAACTAGTTTTGACTGCATCCATCCCGAATAAGACCATCGGCAATTGTGTGTTTTTTTAAAGGGTGTGTTTATCTACAACAATAACAGTAGATAATTATCACCAGGTTGTCAGTAGCATACTCATTGTCATTGTCATACGACCATGTCTTCTCAGAAAATACTATTAGTGATGCATACCTATTGGAAGTAAGCTAATGACATTGAGACCATTTATAACTAATGGAAATCAAATGAGCCCTATACTTGTAGTGTATTTGTAAGACTGTACATCATGCTCAGGTACTTGTACGACCCGCACCTAGACTGGGAGGAACATCAAGCAACAAGACGTCTGAACTGAACGATGATTTATTCGTAACTGACCACAGGTACATGGTCATGACATCCCTCCTGATGCTGGGGCATGTGACGTATGACGTAGTAGCGCGTGCACATTGGCGCTCACAATATGTAAACAAATCTAACACAACAATACAAACCAGAACATTGCCTGTGAAAAAAACAACGTGTAGAGCAGGCAACCTCAAGCCTATGGCACATGCATTGTCAAGCAAGAAACATTGCGATGTAAGATGAGAATCAGGAACCAGGCCCTCACTTGATTTGTTGGGTTAAAATAGCAACTAAACCACATAGCGGTTGTATTATCGTGGGTGATTGAGGAGCTTTGTGTACTTGTGAAGTATTGATGATGGGTCTACTGTTAATCAAGTTAATAATTGTTCGAAAGGGACGCTGCAAGACAAGTATTTCAATGAATGTCATGATCATGATGATAATACTGGTATTTTTCTTTTCGACAGGAAATTGAAAAGTTAGAATTAGAAAAGCGGTGGTGCTTCAATGAGAGTGGAATAAGAATAATACCCACACCACACGAAGAAGCACTGCGAATTAGTCAGTCAACCGCAGAGAACCCCGACTCAGAAAATGGTTAGTACATTTATCTGTATTTTCCCACATTAACTGTAAACAATAACAGAAAACAATCAGCTGATCACTTTTCTCATTATCAGGGATTATAAATAGATATATAGAGATTATCTTTCGAGCATGTGTTGTTAAATGATGTCAACAACCTTCAGGTGTGACAGTGTTTCTAGTGTGATAACCTAGTAGTGTGATATCACCATGGAGTTTGTTGTTTAAGTTTTTAAGATTCAATTTTCAATCATATCGACATTATCAAGATGATGTTTTCAGACTTACATGATTGTCTTGTGTGTGTTGTGGCATATGGTACTTCAAACTCATAATAAACTTATTGACAATATTGGGTGGTGGTTAAGCCTAGTGGTTATAATCATTACTCATTATGCCAAAGATTTGTTTGTGTTTTGTGTAATGTTTAATGCTGTTTTCTGGAATATTCCAGCTTTTGTCGATGGCCTGTAAAAATTTAGTCTGAATCAGAAAAAAACAGTGATCCGGGCAGTCACCTGTTATGACAAGCATAAGTTGCTGGGGACCATTCTAACCCAGAATCCCCATGGGGGCCATTGCAAAGACATAGGTTGGATTCACCATCTGGGTACAGTGTGTGATGGTCATTCTTGGTTTTCCCTGTTTTATGGCTGGAGTATTGCTTGAAGTGACATACAACCCTACTCATGCCTCCCTTTCTCCTTCACTCACTATGTATTTTATTTTTACAGAAGTTATCTTGGCATTAAAACAGAAGAAGACATCGCTACAAATGGAAGTTTCTGAGCTGGAAGAAACTTTGAAGCAAGCACAGCAGCAGAGTTCTGTGAAAATGACTTGAGAAATATGTTTTAGTGCAGTGTTGATGACCACCAGACGAATCAGTCACTTTGAATCAAAATACCGTAGTCCCACTGAATACTGAATGACAAATCAAATTTCATATATGAGGCATTATATGATTAGAACTGTGAGCTGATTCAACAACTGATTCACAGAAATTACCAAGCTAGTTTTCACTTTAGAACTACACCGAAGTAGATAGTCATCCCTGTTTGTAGTTTTTCAGTTTAATAGAGATACTTGATTTGATTCTCATTATGATACACATGTGATACAATATGTTTCCAAATACACAATGTTTCCTTGTGTGTTTTATCTGCACAGAACAATCGCTGGCAACTTACTTAGAGCAGAATACCCAGGCTGATATGTTAATTCAGTCATGTTTTGTTTCAACTTTAGTGTAGCCTTTTTCTTTTGTGGACAGACTTTCCCTGATGTACACGTTTATGAATTCCTACAAAAGTAACAGTTCCATTTGTAGCTGTGTATGACAATACTGTATTGGTGTATCATTTCACAACTAGAGTAACAACATGGGACATACAGAAGCAATCTTAGCACAAAGATGATCATATTTCCCATATATTAACATTGACTTGTGACAGTCATCACACATCTTCCCAAGGCAAGAGAGTTAACTGACTTTAAAAGTCCAGTTTCCACCCTGGCCGAACTAGGCTGGTATTATGGAGTTACATTTTGGCTGGACTAACAAGTCTATGCATAGTCCAATCAAAATCGCGCAATGAAATTGAAATCCGGGTTGTAAATTGTCGTGCAGATTTCGGTTGATTGCAGGATTTGCAAAACATGTGCACCGCCAACTTGTTGTTTACAGATATTTTCTAACTCTTTTCATGTTTTTAATTAAGGTGCTCACATGATTTGATGCACTTTGCAATGTAAGATTGTTTTATCACAAAATAGATCTTGATTATGGATCAGATCGTCTTGACTTGGCACTGCCATTTTGTTTGAAGCAAATGCAGGTGATATGAGAGGTGGAATCTGATTGGTCCATAGGAGAGGCATAGAAGGGACATTACTCGTAATAGCCACAGGTGGGCTACGATCAAGCTCAGGAATTCCAACCTGGTTCGGCAAGGGTGGAAACTGGACTTTTACAGTCAGTTAACTCCCTCGCCTCGAGAAGATGGTCATAACATAAAGAACAGGGTCCTGGGGTTTGAGGATGACTAGAAATGTTAATTTCAGCTTGTTGACAAGCATGAAGTACAGTGGTCAGTGGAATGGATTCAGTTCAGTTTAATATTAATAACATGATATACACAGTGATTCCTGTGGAACTAAAGTCTTTGGGACAACAGAAACTTTTGTGTTATTATGAGTTCAAACATTGGGACAGTGAAATCTATTTGAAGTCCACAATGTAGCACTGGTATGGGTGACTCAAGGCTTCAATGTATCAAACATCAATGTTTGAAATTACTGGTGTACATTTCTAGAGTACCCATGCCGAAAACAACCCAACAACACCTCACAGAGATGCTTGCAAGATGGTTGGTTGTGAATTCAATAATCACTGACATTTATGTCCCATGAAAATGGCAACCTAGCTCAAAGGGGAATCATTACTAGACATTCTGATTTTAGATTTCAGAAAAACAGAGGTCTTTATCAGATATTTTTAAATTATCTGACTTGAAACAAATAATGATGAATAAAGGATTCCACCAGGATCATGACAATATCTTGTGATAAGCAATAGTCAAGAGTCAGAGTTTGAGATGAGGTTTCTGTGTGTATGGTTTTGACGCAGGGATTTCATTTGGTCTCTCAGTTTTCAGTTCATGGACCCGAGTTATAATGTATGGGGTCCAAGGCATAAACTTAGGGGACCCAGGCTGGCAACATGCTTCACTTGGAATTCCAGTAATTTTACTGATGTGTATTGCACATCCCCAGAAGCCTAATTTAGATGGGCTTCAACATGTTCAACATGCCATTGACACGGCAAAGTGTATTTCTTACCAGAATTGAAATTCATTTACCGTATTCGACGTAATAAGCGCCCACGGCGATATTTGCTGATAAATTGGCTTGTGAACAATCCCAATTAGCACCCTTTCCCATTGATCTATGTTCACAAGACTTAACTATTCGTGTATAATACGTGTGCTATATGCATCCTTAATAATGGGAAATAAAATTCATGAAAAATATATCTGTCGTATATAAACATTTCAGGCTGTCAGCATAAACCACGAAATTTACGATCTTTCAACTCTGTTTTTTTTCCACCAAAATAATATTCTTATAAGAGCCCCATATTTCTAATTTTGAGAGCGCCCAGGGAGCTAATTATGTCGAATACGGTATATGTCACAAGTTTGATTTGTGCAGGACGTTTTAGTAAAATTCATACATATTTTGATAAATGTCTATGAATATGCAATTTTTATGCTGAAAAGTCCTATGATTTGTGTTAACGATTAATTTGTTAACGATTCAAACTACGATAGCTTTTAGCTCCCACCAGGAATAGCAATGTAAATTACTTAGAATCCCAACCACCAACATAGTGCCTCCCTGTTTGTACTGCACTGATCTTATCTTCATATCATTCCTACAAAAGTAAAACCATTATCGTACAAATGCAGTCATGTTGTGTTGTGATGGTGGCAAGTCCTGTACAACAATGCTCGTGAACTCACAAACAGCATGCAGCATTTAAACTCACAGGAAAGTGGTGTCAGCCCTAAAATGGTAAAGTTGGTGGAAACGAGGGCTGCTCAGTCTCCATATTCATTACCTGGTCTTATATTTTATTGTTATAGCAGCCCCATGTTGACTTGTTAGACTCTCTGTTTACAGTTGAGAAGATGGAAAGAGTTTTAATTTGAAAGAAAAGGTTTCACGAGCACAGAAGACATCCTCAATTCAAAATAAATTTCTTTATTCCTTGCTTGTGAAACCTTCTCTTTCAAATTAAAACTCTTTCCATCCGGAATGGAAGTTATCTCCCTTTCATCAAAAGACTCTACCCATTCACTACAAAAGCTTCGTTTTGAGCGCGATTAAAATCAAATGATGCTAAAAATAGCCATCCAATCTAAAACTATAGTCATGAGCGAGAGATATTCTGTGGTAAGAACGTGATTGCTGAGATTGACATCCCTCTTGAAACAAAACTTGGCACATGGGTCCAGCATACTTATCATTATAGATCTTATACCCAGGATAATGAAGGGGAGGGTGATGGAAAGAATGTGAATATTGTTCAATAACATGAGACTAGTCATCTTTCATGTTGGATGTAACTTGTAAGAAATCCTTTGTAATCTTTATGATGTTTGCTATTAACTTCAACAATAAAGTTAATAACCATTCATGTTTAATGAAGCCAATATTTTACTGAAACCAAAGTTGTAATTTAGAATTATTTTTTATACTTACATTTTTGTCATATTCTGAACGAATGTCATCCAGCATTTATTAAGTTTACAGTCCAATTTAAATCAGTCCTATTGCTTATGTTATATCTTTATATGTGTGGTCCATGTACACTATCGTGTGAATGTTTTTCATGAATAAAGGCTTTATTTGTAAACTAGCTTCAGTGCTTGTAATATAATGGATAGTGTTGTCGATAAAATGAGCCAATCTGATAAAGTTGGCATCACGATCCCATAAATATAAAATGAGGTCACCTAGCAGAAACTTTTAATCTCCAGACAGACCCGTGAAGATTCCGGGGTAGAATAGGTCTTCAGCAACCCATACTTGCCGTAAAAGGCGACTATGCTTGTCGTAAAAGGCGACTAACAGGATCGGGTGGCCAGGCTCGCTGACTTGGTTGATACATGTCATCGATCCCAATTGCGTGGATCGATGCACATGATGTCAATCACTGGATTGTCTGGTCCAGACTCGATTATTTTACAGACCGCCGTCATATAGCTGGAATATTGCTGAGTGCGGCGTTAAACAACAAACAAACAAACAAAAATCTCCAGACAACGATTCAATGATTACTTTTTCAATAAACCATTGATTAACGTTCTCAGTAAGTTTAGATATGGGTTCTCCATTGAGTGTGTGTTTGTGAAGACTAACATGGATGCAAATCATTTGGCACTTATATGTTGATCAGGGTTGTTTAGTTAAACACTTTACTGATACACTGTTTCTGAGACTAAGAGTTACTTCATTGAGAAATATTACGTCTTAAATGATATTACATGATAAAGAGATAATCACTCGTGTGTTTTCCGTTTTGATAATATGAAATATAAGGAATAAATAATATGCATTATACATGCACATTTTTGTATAAAACATATTTTTCAGAGTTAGAAATTGGCACTAGTCCTATAGTCCTTACCAATCTGCCCAATAGTTAAGGTATCATAAGGACTAGTAGAAATTTGCCAATTTTAAGGGTTTTTCTATATGTTATCATTGTAAGGACTAGTGGACTATAACTGTTAGTTTCTACCCCTGATGTTTTCCTTATATATACACTTTGTCCAAAATATATCCCCCAAATTTGAAGTGTAATTGCGTGTTCATTTTCAGTGTAGAGATTTGATCAAATCTGCCTGTAGGATGGTAGCTGGCCAACCTTGTAGGTGTGTTTATGAGAGCCGTGTCCACACCTGAGGGGTTTCTATAGAGACGTTCATGTTTGATGACAGAAAGTTTATGCATCTTTACTGCTATTAATTTTGAATGAAAGTTCTCCAAATTTGAAAGTCTGTCTTTGGAATCATTGTAACTGAAATGCCTAAGCATACTATCCCAGAAAATGGCAAAGCATTGGCATTCACCAAACGGCATGTCATGTTGGGCAATTGCCACCATGTTGAACATTAACCATACTGTAATCAGTCGATGCATTAGAAAACACTCATTGATTGGACATGCGAGGGACTTGCCAGGGACTTGCCAAGATAAGGACTCATGTCTGGAGGCAAAGAGGAACGTCTTATCATATCATATAGAACTTGTGACAGGACATTTGGGGATGTATTTATTACTTAAATAACTGAAAAGTGATGTGTGCACACTGCAAATGTCAGAAAAATGTGCACTGACACCTGGGATAATACAGTCAGACCTCACATGAAACATGCAGCACAGTTGTATGTGCACTATATATTCCTCAGTCAGAATAAGTCATCAGGACTCCATATTGTGAGAGCTGTAGTGTTTGTGTAAAACAATACTCACTCACTGTTATCTGGACATGATGTAATATCATGACGTCACGTGCTATCATTACCCAGCGCATGGCTGTAGACAGCATCACCACCATGATGATGAGGTGAGGCGAGGTGAAATTGGGTTTAACATCGCGTCCAAGATTATTGCACTTATATAGCGACGTGCATGTACGTGTATGTGTTTGCGTGGCTGCTTGTACTAGTCCGGACTGATGCCGATTTATAGTGCTAGCTCACTGAGATACCATGCCGCAGTTTAACATGAATACCCCACTCAGACACAGTATACCGACTCCGAGCCGACCAGTCCTTGTTTTAGCCCCTTAATGCCGAGCGCCAGACAGGGTAACAACAAGTATCATCTTTTAACATCTTTTGGTATGACGCAGCCGGGGATCGAACCCCGGACCTTCCGTTCTCCGGGCAGACACTCTACCACTAGACCACGGAAGCGGTCACCATGATGATGAAGTAAACTGCTGACCTCAACACCTCGTTAGTCCAGCCTGTGGTTATTTTGGGTTAGATGGGTTCCCAGGTATATAATAATAATGATAATGATAATGATAATAATAATATTAATGGTAGTAGTCCATTTATTTGGCGCTGTACTCCATGCATAAGCATGCTCCAAGCGCTTAGACATTTATTACCCCGGTCAGTGGATCAGTGTTCACTAAACAATCATTCTGAGCTTCCTGGGGAGTATACAACCCAAGCTGCCTGTTAGGCGATAGAAGGTTAACAACCATATTGCCATCACATCCTACCGGGTACCCATTCACTGCCGGGTGAACAGAGGCACAATTCAAACAAAGTCACTTGCTCAAGGAGATGTCACATGTGCTTCAGTGTGGGGCAGGTCTGAAGCCCTAGAAACTCTCAGGAGCCAAGCTGCTGAACACGGTCGCCCATCCAAGGACTCTCCGCGACCAACATTGCTTGACTTCACCTGATTTGTGATCTGTGCTGTGCATAGGACCACATACCACCATGACATGACAAGAGCCAACTAGAATCAGGATGGAATTGTCAGGCTCTGTGATGTGACTGATTGGCTCTCAGCAGACCTTGCTGTGGAGACTGTTGCTCATGCTTTCAGTCACTGGTTTGCCTGGGTCAGGCTTGTTTATATGACTGGTTGCCATCATATAGGCTGACAGCAGCATTAAACAACACCCACAGATTCCTGTCCATTGATTCTGATATGAATGTACAACACATGATCAACTGACAGTCTCTCATTGGACAACATCCATTTACTGTAATTCTGTTTACCTTATTCGACTTAATAAGCGGCCAGGGTGCTCTCAAAATTAGAAATAGGGGGCTCTTATTAGAATATTATTTTGGTAAAAAAAAAACCAGTGTTGAGACATCGTAAATTTCGTGGTTTATGTTCACAGCCTGAAATGTTTATATATACGACAGATATATTTTTCCAGGATTTAATTGCCCATAATTAAGGGTGCATATAACACACGAGTGCATAGTATACACGAATAAATAAGTCTTGTGTACATTGATCAATCGAAGGGGTGCTAATTGGGATTGTTCACTAGCCAATATATTAGCAAATATCGCCGTGGGCTCTTATTAAGGCGGGGCGCTTTTACATCAAATACGGTAAACTAGACTATCAGAACATGTAGTTGTAGTGCTAAGATCACTTTGAGGCCGAGGTGTGGACAGTGAAAGACTGCAGGGAACAGGAAGTACACAGGTCTTCATTTATTCATTCAAAGCTGTACAGAAACATCTTTGTACATTTTTAACATTTGCAACGTGATAACACAGCTCTAATAATTAACAATAAATATCCTTACACATCAACAACAGCCCCCACATAACACCACCACAGGGATAGAAACTGGAACCTGTATCATGTATTGCCAGATTAACAGGAAATAACTCAAGAACGGCCCACTCTGCTACAATCAAGTCTGACTCCATGGAGAGGAACACACTGCATCTGCAGCAATCATTATATTATACTATTGATGGAGATCTTTTTATCTCTCTTAGGCATAAAAAATTAAAGAAATGGTTCTCAGGCAATGACTTTTAAAAATAAAGTGTGGGCAGGCGTTTTTTTTTGGTTTTTTTTTCCTTTTTTAAATTAGTATGTAACCAAATAAACCATCAACCTGGGAAAGGGCCTCCCTACATAAACAAGCATACAAACTCATATTGCTGCCATGACTATAACACGAGATGCACAGTAAAGCAGTGTGCATGTAATGGGAAGTAACTAGGTGCTATATTGGATCGCATTGTTTTTAAGTATTAGGATTTTATTTTTGTTTTTTGCCTGGGAACCAAGACTATTATTTTTTAGCCTTAGATCAACATGAAACCCCTTTAATCTCAAGTTCTTGGCTGGATTTGCAAATCATTGATATGTATTGTCCGGATGGCAGGGTTGATTACTGGGGTCCAGACAAGTGAGGTTTCACTGTAATTGGTACAGCATCAAAACAAACCAGGAACTCCATCTTGTCTGTTTATAAGCCAGTTCAATCCCTGCTAAATAAAAGTCTTGAACCGTGTACCCTGTAAAGCAGGAAGCATTGTCACTTGCTTCCATTCTTCAATGTTCTGCAATACACAGGTTGACAAAGTAGAGATAATTAATGGATAACAACTTCTTTATTAACTGTAAAGGCGACGTTTCGGTATAGCCTTGCTTGACAACTGTATAAGGATCTATACCCAATCGTCGCCTCTACAGTAAATAAAGAAGTTGTTATCCATAAATTATCTCTACTTTGTCATCTGTCAACTTCTAAGTAATGCCTATCAAACAAAATAAAACACAAGTTCAAAGTATGAATGATCTACACCAATACTACTCCCATGGATACTATTTGTATTACGTCATACTAGCTGAAAAACCGATACAACTTTATAATACCAGTCTCACTTTATAACCTGCATATAACCACTGCAATGCATCACTTTCATTTTCCTGCAACATAATCCTGGAGTTTACAAAATATTTTAACATGTTAATATCGACCCGGATTCAAATGTTTGTAATTATTTTCAATTCTGAAGCTGCACTTTCTGATGTAACTGGTCCTTAAGACTAGCATTGCTGTTCATTGCTGTTTTGCAAATCAGGAAAGGCTGCTCGATCTTGGAACCCTGGAGGGGTGTAACTCTTTGCATTTAGTAGAACTTTCAACTTTAGTTGGAGTTAAAAAATTACCAAAATTCAAATAAAGATTTGATGAGGAAATGATTTCTTAATGAAGTCTCATGAAGGACAGGGCCATGTTTTAAAGAGAGTGACATCACTCAGATTACACTGAAGGTTTATGTTCATCATGTCTTGATATCTGCAGAAAATCTATCCCAGAAATAGAGCAATAACTTGACCAATTCCATCATTCCTCAGATTATATGTAGAAGACACTGTCAGATGTTGATTTCATCAATGAAACAAACACAAGAATATGCAAAGTTACATATAATATAGAACGTGTCAATGATATGAAGGGAATCGATGTTGAGATGTAATAGAGAATCTATCTCTATCAATAACCTAGCATATCATGTATATGAGAAATTGAAAAGCTCTATGATACCATCTTCAATGATTGACATGTTTCGTTGAAGTCGAGCTCTATTGAAAAGGCTGCTTAAACAAAATCATGAAATCTTCATAGGATCGGGAGTGAGTGAGTAAGTGAGTGAGTGAGTGAGTTTAATTACATGCCACTGTGAACAGAGATATGTTGACAAGTGTGTTTTCACGTGTTGTGTGATCTAGCATGGTGTGATTTGGTGTGATGTGTGTGTGTGCACGTGTGTGCGTGTGTGCGTATGTGTGTGCACGTGTGATGTGTGGATGTGTGTGCATGCGTGTGATGTGTGCGCGTCCGTGCGTGCATGTGCGTGCGTGCGCTTCACTTGATGTGTGCGTGCGTGTGCGCGTGTTTCACGTGATGTGGGTGCTTGCGTGCGTGCGTGCGTGCGTGTGCGTGTGCGTGTGCGTGTGTGCGTGTGTGCGTGTGTGCGTGTGCTAAATACTGCACTCAGCAATATTTCAGCTATATGACAGCGGCCTGTAAAGAATCAAGTGTTGCTGAACATCGATCCACAGTGTCAGGATATTGATTAAATGCCATCAACAATGTCACCAAGTCTGATCACCCAATACCCCAAGTGGCCTCTTATGACAAGCATACGTGTATATGTTGTGGAGACCAATTTTAACTGGACTCCCCACAGGGTTACAGACAAGTAATGAGAGAGTTTAAGTACAGGACAGTTGTCAAGTTCAACAACATTTTGATAGTAGTGTTTCTTACTGATTGAGGCAACAGGCAAAAGCTGATCTGAACTGATTTCATTTCAGAATACTGAGTGTCTCAACACTCAACTTCAAGTATACAGATAAGAAACAGGTGGTTGGTGAGGAATAAGGGTGGTATAAATATCACATAATCTCGGACAGTTGCTTGTAGATAGAGAACACCATATAATGCCACAGGCAAGAATCAAGAGTGATATATCAAGTCTGCATACTCCCGCAAAGATGGATTAAAATAAGGCATTTAAATATTACTATTTTTTCACAATCTATCAATTCAAAAGTTCACAAATGTAAGTGTAAGTAAATATGTTGTGCCATCAAAATGTATTATAGGTAGACCACCAATCCTAAGGAAATATTAATTAACACAAATGCCCCAACATGACAGATGGAAGTAAGAGACTGTGTAACCATGGTAACTGAAACAATCCATGAATCAGTACGAGCACAAAACCGTTCATTGGCCTCTCAATACATCTACAGAAAGAAAGGCACAAGCACTGAAAGTCAACAGAATCTATGTAACAATTTACCATTAACAAACCTTAACAACTGCTGTGAATTCCAATTGCAATATCCATATCATGTCTATTTTATTCATTACATTACATGATGGTTTCATCTATTAATCACATATGGGGATCACAACATGCATCCACAGGAAGTGGTGATAATATCAACACAACATGCTGTATCATTGTCTAATCCACACAACGTGGTGTATCATTGTCTACAACACAACTGTACAGTCAAGACCGGGCAACATAAGCACTTCTTCCAAAAATCAGATCTTCCAATGTCCAGCACTTATACAAATACCAACACTTGGATCTTCGAATGTACGGCAATGATGTAATATTCTACACCCATAGCTCATCCACCGTACAGCAGTCCTACAAACAAGTCCAACAGTCGGAACAATTTGAATCCTGTCACCACGGTAATGGACTTCAAAATAATTTCCTGGGTTCAGTTCGCCGAGTTTATGACAAGAGCTAGCCAATTCTTTTGGCACCAAGTTTCATTGCCCCTTTTCTAGCCTCTCTTTTCTCGTTGAGCTCTCGTTGACGTTGGAGTTTCTTCTCTTCCCTTTCTTGTTTCTTGCGCTCAGCTTCAGACATGCCTGACAAGGGGAAGTGTAGTGTTAAACAACCAAAGAAACTTGAATCAAGAGTGTAGGAATAGGTTTACTTTTATAAATATAAGATGAAATATCCTTGATACTGATTACTCCTGTTGCACAGTGAATAGTTTGGTTTGGTTTGTTGTTTTACGCCGCACTCAGCAATATTCCAGCTATATGACGGTGGTCTGTAAATAATCGAGTCTGGACCGGACAATCCAGTAATTTACATCATGAACATCAATCCACACAATTGGGATCAATGAAATGCATCAACCAAGTCAGCGAGCCTGACCGCGCGATCCTGTTAGTCGCCTTTTACGACAAGCATAGTCGCCTTTTACGGCAAGCATGGGTTGCTGAAGACCTATTCTACCCCGTATCTTCTGCACAGTGAATGAGTTAACCTTTGATTGATGCCATTGTCAACAACATCATAGCTACATCACAGATGACCAAGTAAACGCAGAGAGTGAGAAGTTGTCAGGTCACAGATTAGGGACCTTGACCTTCTCTTCCCTAGTAACCTGCAAATACTTTCAATACTGACCACTTTTACCAGCTTAACCTCAATTCTTCATTATCCACACAGTGACGACTAAAAACAATTATACCAACCATTATAGTTGTAACTAATGTTATATTTTGGATAACAGAAATGGGCTTCACACATTGTACCCATGTCAGGAATCGAACCCGGGCCTTCGGCGTGATGACCACGCTTTAGCCACGAGGCTACCCCACCGCCCTAACACTTTCTTAGTAAAGTACAGATTCTAGTACCCTTTTAGGTCCCATCCAGGATTTGAACCCACACTGCCAGAGTGGGTCCACAAAGTATGTGATATAGACTACCAGTTTTCGGACTTTCATTTTTGTGGAAGCCTCGATGGCTGAGTGGGTTAGATCTCTGACTTTGTGTGCTGGGGATTAAGTGCCTTACTCTGGCAGTGTGGGTTCGAATCCTGCATGGGACTCAACACAAAAAAAGTACTAGAATCTGTACTTTACGAAGAAAGCGTTATCCCAAATATAACATTAGTTACATTTGACAACTTTCTAAATGGCATTGTATGTTCATAATAGGAGTTGTTCAAAGTGCAAAAGGTATGATATAAGCAGCATACCCCCTCCTGACCCCCAGGCATCCTGGGCCCACTCCCCACCACCATCATCCCAGCCCCCTCCAGTATCAGCCCAGGCAGCATCCTCTGATTTACTGGAGGGTGATGTGACTTTCGCTGATGCTGCTCTGGGAGCAGGGGCTGGAGTTCGGGACTTCGGAGTCTCTTTTGGTGGCGTTTTCCTCCTGGCAGAACTCTGTGATGGTTTATTTGCCTGAAAAAACATTAATTCCATCATAAATATGAATATATGGGTTAACCAAATAGAAGAATTGGTTCTCAGGCAATAACTTTTGAAAATATAGTGCAGTTGGGCGGTATTTTTTTTTTGGGGGGGGGCTTGTTCAGACTAGTATGTAACAAAATAAACAGTGTACCATCAACCTGGCCTCCCTACATAAAGAAGCATACAAATTCCAATTGCAGCCATGACCATAACACTAGATGTGCAGTAAAACAGTGCACATGTAAAGGGAAGTAACTGAGTGCTAAATATAAGTATTAGGATTGTTTTGTTGCTGTTTTTTGAAAATGGAAATAAAAACGAAATGTGTGAGAGATTTTATGATGATGCGGGCGGTGCCTGAGAACCAAGACTATTATTTTCTTTAGCCTATACTGCTCAATTTTTGTTTGGGATAATCAGAACTGTCATTCTATTTAAATTTACACTTGGCATATCATGAGAATCAGTTTCATCAGAAAGATAAAAACATCCCCCTATCAAAGGTGGAGAAGCATATAATGAATATTGCTCATGCAGTATGTACCATTGTATCTCCATTGAGGCAGACTACATATTCAGGGATGAGTATGGATATTTTCCTTTTCAGCTGAAACTTCTTTGCAATGGAGCGTGGTCCATAATTTGGGGGTGTTTATGGGGGGTGTTTAACAAATTTGTGGCCACTAAAATCTGCAGATCCGTGGAAGATTCTCACCCCTGCATATTTCAGTCTACCTTTAGAATACAGTACCACAAGCTTTTCAAACACGTCACAATAGCCTTTGATGTAATTTGTGCAATTGTGTTGCCAGATACGTCCTGTGATGTCAGGGGTCATCGAGTGTGCATTAGCTCCACTCAGTGATCTATCATCTCTACACACAGCGATGTTGAGAGTTTTCAAGTTTTGTTTACTAAATACAGCCTGCAGTGGTGCATTTTATAGCAGGTGCCAGTTTATGAAGGCATTTTCACGTTCAATAAAAAAATTCAACTTAAATCATGTGGTTGAAAGGATTATAAATGTGAACTAAAATGCATATCTTAGTTTTCGCTTCAGTATTTATCATCATGCACAGGAATGCAGTTTACTAGATATTCATTTATTGACGTTGCACACATCTAAATGTCGCTGGTCCTAAAACTATCTATCATGGGACTTCTTTTGCAATAAATCAGTTAGATCTGTTTTGACAAGGAAATGATACAAGGCTTTGTGAGCTGTGAAAGGTGTCTAAGGGGGTTGTATCTCCTTCTAATGCATTTTCAAACAATGGAGCCGAAGACATGGAGCCTACAAATAAATGCACTTGTCTGGGTATTTTTGTTTATTTTATTGTTTTCACATTTTCAGTTGCATTTATTTTTCTCACAAAAATGTCGAGTTAGCAGGATGAAGTAGTTCCATGTCAAATTGTGTTGGCTACAGGAAACTGTCATGGTTGGTTTGGTTTGTTGTTTAACGCCCCACTCAGCAATATTCCAGCTATATGACGGCGGTCTGTAAATAATCGAGTCTGAACCAGACAATCCAGTGATTAATATCATGAGCATCGATCCATGCAATTGGGACCGATGACATGCATCAACCAAGTCAGCGAGCCTGACTACCCGATCCCGTTAGTCGCCTTTTACGACAAGCATAGTCGCCTTTTACGGCAAGCATGGGTTGCTGAAGACCTATTCTACCCCGGAATCTTCACGGGTCACATGTGCTTCAAAGTGGGGCAGGCCTGAAGCCCCAAAAACTCTCCGGAGCCAAGCTGCCAAAACATGGTCACCCATCCACGGATTCTCCGTGACTGACATTGCTTGACTTCACCTGACCTGTGACCTCTGACCTGTGACCTGTGACCTGTGCCACCACATGACGCATATTCTTAAGGTGCCCCACATTCCCAAACCGAATTGCTGAGTTTCTAGGTCCTTAACACAATACAATTTCCTTCCTGGCATTTAATATGATTACCTTGCTTGCCCCCATGCTTGTAGAAAAGAAGTCATCGTTTGTAGAACTGCCACCCCAGTTGTAGTCGCTGGTGGACATCATCCCGGTATCAGCAGTGGAGGTGAAGTCCTCCTGGCCCAAGTCATTTCCCCAGTCAGATCCTCCAGACTTGGCAGCGCTGGATCTACCCAGTCCTGAACTGCCCCCCTGTCAACAGATATTCAACCTTGTATCACTGGATCTACCCAGTCCTGAACTGCCCCCCTGTCAACAGATATTCAACCTTGTAACACTGGATCTACCCAGTCCTGAACTGCCCCCCTGTCAACAGATATTCAACCTTGTATCACTGGATCTACCCAGCCCTGAACTGCCCCCCTGTCAACAGATATTCAACCTTGTATCACTGGATCTACCCAGTCCTGAACTGCCCCCCTGTCCACAGATATTCAACCTTGTATCACTGGATCTACCCAGTCCTGAACTGTCTCCCTGTCAACAGATATTCAACCTTGTATCACTGGATCTACCCAGTCCTGAACTGCCCCCCTGTCCACAGATATTCAACCTTGTATCACTGGATCTACCCAGTCCTTAACTGTCTCCCTGTCAACAGATATTCAACCTTGTATCACTGGATCTACCCAGTCCTGAACTGCCCCCCTGTCAACAGATATTCAACCTTGTATCACTGGATCTACCCAGTCCTGAACTGCCCCCCTGTCAACAGATATTCAACCTTGTATCACTGGATCTACCCAGCCCTGAACTACCCCCCCTGTCAACAGATATTCAACCTTGTATCACTGGATCTACCCAGTCCTGAACTGCCCCCCTGTCCACAGATATTCAACCTTGTATCACTGGATCTACCCAGTCCTGAACTGCCCCCCTGTCAACAGATATTCAACCTTGTATCACTGGATCTACCCAGCCCTGAACTGCCCCCCTGTCAACAGATATTTAACCTTGTATCACTGGATCTACCCAGTCCTGAACTACCCCCCCCTGTCAACAGATATTAAACCTTGTATCACTGGATCTACCCACGCCTGAACTGCCCCCCTGTCAACAGATATTCAACCTTGTATCACTGGATCTACCCAGTCCTGAACTACCCCCCCTGTCAACAGATATTCAACCTTGTATCACTGGATCTACCCAGCCCTGAACTGCCCCCCTGTCAACAGATATTCAACCTTGTATCACTGGATCTACCCAGCCCTGAACTGCCCCCCCTGTCAACAGATATTCAACCTTGTATCACTGGATCTACCCAGTCCTGAACTGTCCCCCTGTCAACAGATATTCAACCTTGTATCACTGGGGGGAACAATATATGTGTGTCCATACCATTGCACTAGTTGTACTCCTGCCAGTATCTTCCAGACTGCCCCAGTCATCATCTTCATCATTGTCCCAGCCATCAGTTGCTGCTGATACAGCTGCCTGGCTCGGCTGGCCACTTGGTGACGCTGTCGACTGACTCCCTCCAAACTGCTGCAACACCAATCGAAATTCATGATTTGAAAGCAACCAGTTTACACCAAGGGAGACAACTCACAAACAATTGAAAATGGGAGGAGGGTGTTACCAGAAGCAAGTATCAGAATATGTTCACCCATATTGCAACACCAATGGTCAGTGTTTACAACCACTCACAGTTTCGTGTGTTGCCACGTTTGTGATACAGAAACAAGTACATGCAAATTTTGGAAATCCTATCAACTGGTCAGCATGACCTGCTTGTTAAGAAACGAACTGGACCTAAAACTCATCACGAGCCAACAATGTTATATGCTTAATCTAAAAATCTATCAGATATACTTATGTTGGTGTATGCTTGGAATGCCGGTTCTGAATACTGACTTTAAAATTACATTAACTGACTTAGCAGGCCCTTTGTAAATTCTACTGGCAACAACCTAAGGGACCAGCCATTCAATCAGCCCTTGGGCATTAATACCTCCAGTTTAACATTTTGTCATTCCAGAAAACAAATCATGCCCTCCTCTGAGACCCCATGTTATATTCCTCAAGCTTAACAAGTTGTTATACTGAAAAAATGTCCAATCTCATTTAAATCAGATCTTAGTTCTTGCTACCGCTAAACAAAGATCTGAGGACATCCCATTACGGGTTACGTCAGACCGACCTTGCGCGAACTTTGACCAATCAATGGAATGACCAATCAGAAGGCAGCTTTCTTGTGCTTTACGGCACAAATTTCAAACTGGCGACTACACTTCGAAGCATATTTTGACAAATTCGCGATTACAAATTTGAAACCTGAACAAAAAAGCACCCTGGAATGACTAATAGATTGTCTATATTGTAAGCATTCAGTCATTAAACCCGTAACTATCGTTCGGAATACCCTATGTTAAAATTTTCGAGATTGCATGATTAGAAATCACATTCCGACTGTCACTTTCATAATCTGGTAGGCAACGCACTGATTGGTCGGATGAAAGGTCGTTCTGACTTGACCCCTAATGGGATGTCTTCAGACCTTTGTTTAGCGGTAGCGACAACTAAGATCTGATTTTAATGAGATTGAAAAAACGCCTTGTCCTCCAAAAGAAAAACATGTCATCCTCAACCAGAAAACTATGCCCTCCATTGAGACCCATGTCATACAATAATCTTCAATGTGACGTTTAACACCATTTTGCCTCACCTTACAATGTTGCACTCCCCGTTTCACAATTTGTCACACCAGAAAACTCAAATTAAGCCCCCCATTAAGACCCCATGTCCTACTCACGTCCATGTTCCCCCAGTCTTCCGTGTCCCATCCTTCATCCGTCTGTTGCTCCTGCTCTTCTCCTTCTTCTTCCTCCTCTTCCTCTTCCTCTTCAGCAGCAGCTGGCTGCTGGGACGATGGTGTTGCCTTGTCTGGTGAGGTGGGGGACTTGACCAGAGATATTCCCGACCCACCAGACATGGAAGGAGTTTTCTTCTTGGCTGTGGCCTTGTTGTAGATCTTGGACGTGATAGACGTCATCCCAGTCACAGCCCAGCCGGCCCAACCAGCTGATGACGATGCTTCAGATCCTCCTGTCATCACCTCTCTCTCTGTTGTGGAAATAAACAGTTACCGCGGTAACAAAGAATTTCTCATAAGATTTATTTCTCAACTGGATAATCTGAGTGTCAACAGACAGAATGCATATGGTAAAGATATCATATTAATATATGAATAGCATTTGATACAAATCATGTATTATGTACGCTTTGTATCATATACTATATGGGGTATAGCATTGTTGTGTATCATGTATGCTTTATATCAAGGAGTTGTATCGTGTGTCGTAGCAAGTGTTCTTGCGTATCAAGTGCAGATACATATTTTTTGAAAAGCGGGAATGCACACTGAGATTTGGCAATTCCCACTTTAGTAACGTGTAAAATTGTGTGAGAAATATATCCACTATAATGAGTCAGTATTGTGATACATAAGCTTTTAGTACATATGCATGTGACCGTGAAAGTATAGTCAATACGCTTTGTATAATGAATGTTGTATATCACAGATGTGCTTTATCCTTCACAATGTCACTCATCCTGGACAGTGGGAAGACAACAGGGGGATGACAACAGCAGGAAGACAACAGTGGGATGACAACAGGTTGATTACAACAGCGGGATGACAACAGCAGGAAGACAACAGTGGGATGACAACAGGTTGATTACAACAGCGGGATGACAACAGCAGGAAGACAACAGTGGGATGACAACAGTGGGATGACAACAGGTTGATTACAACAGTTGGATGGCAACAGGTTGATGACAACAGCGGGATGACAACAGCAGGAAGACAACAGTGGGATGACAACAGTGGGATGACAACAGTGGGATGACAACAGCAGGATGGCAACAGGGGGATGACAACAGCAGGAAGACAACAGTGGGATGACAACAGGTTGATTACAACAGCGGGATGACAACAGCAGGAAGACAACAGTGGGATGACAACAGGTTGATTACAACAGCGGGATGACAACAGCAGGAAGACAACAGTGGGATGACAACAGGTTGATTACAACAGCCGGATGACAACAGCAGGAAGACAACAGTGGGATGACAACAGTGGGATGACAACAGGTTGATTACAACAGTTGGATGGCAACAGGTTGACTACAACAGCGGGATGACAACAGCAGGAAGACAACAGTGGGATGACAACAGTGGGATGACAACAGTGGGATGACAACAGCGGGATGGCAACAGTAGGATGACAACAGTGGGATGACAACAGTGGGATGGCAACAGTGGGATGACAACAGTGGGATGACAACAGCGGGATGGCAACAGTAGGAAGACAACAGTGGGATGACAACAGTGGGATGACAACAGTGGGATGGCAACAGTGGGAAGACAACAGTGGGATGACAACAGCGGGATGGCAACAGTGGGATGACAACAGTGGGATGACAACAGCGGGATGGCAACAGTAGGAAGACAACAGTGGGATGACAACAGTGGGATGACAACAGTGGGATGGCAACAGTTGGATGACAACAGCGGGATGACAACAGTGGGATGGCAACAGTGGGATGACAACAGTGGGATGACAACAGCGAGATGACAACAGTGGGATGACAACAGTGGGATGACAACAGTGGGATGGCAACAGTGGGATGACAACAGCGGGATGGCAACAGTAGGATGACAACAGTGGGATGGCAACAGTGGGATGGCAACAGTAGGAAGACAACAGTGGGATGGCAACAGTGGGATGGCAACAGTAGGAAGACAACAGTGGGATGACAACAGTGGGATGACAACAGTGGGATGGCAACAGTGGGAAGACAACAGTAGGATGACAACAGTGGGATGACAACAGTGGGATGACAACAGCGGGATGACAACAGTGTGATGGCAACAGTGGGATGACAACAGTTGGATGACAACAGTGGGATGGCAACAGTGGGATGACAACAGTGGGATGACAACAGCGGGATGGCAACAGTAGGATGACAACAGTGGGATGGCAACAGTGGGATGGCAACAGTGGGATGACAACAGTGGGATGGCAACAGTGGGATGGCAACAGTTGGATGGCAACAGTGGGATGACAACAGAGGGATGACAACAACGGGATGGCAACAGTAGGATGACAACAGTGGGATGGCAACAGTGGGATGGCAACAGTGGGATGACAACAGCGAGATGACAACAGTGGGATGACAACAGTAGGATGGCAACAGTGGGAAGACAACAGTGGGGTGACAACAGTTGGATGACAACAGTGGGATGGCAACAGTGGGAAGACAACAGCGGGATGGCAACAGTGGGATGGCAACAGTGTGATGACAACAGCGGGATGGCAACAGTAGGATGACAACAGTGGGATGGCAACAGTGGGAAGACAACAGTTGGATGACAACAGTGGGATGGCAACAGTGTGATGACAACAGCGGGATGACAACAGTGGGATGACAACAGTGGGATGAACAAAAGCGGGATGACAACAGTGGGATGACAACAGGGGGATGACAACAGCGGGATGACAACAGCCGGTTGACAACATCGGGATGACAACAGTAGGATGACAACAGTGGGATGACAACAGCGGGATGACAACAGTTGGATGACAACAGCGGGATGACAACAGTGGGGTGACAACAGTGGGATGACAACAGCGGGGTGACAACAGTTGGATGACAACAGTGTGATGACAACAGCGGGATGACAACAGTGGGATGACAACAGCGGGATGACAACAGTGGGATGACAACAGTGGGATGACAACAGCGGGATGACAACAGCGGGTTGACAACATCGGGATGACAACAGTAGGATGACAACAGTGGGATGACAACAGTGGGATGACAACAGCGGGATGACAACAGTGGGATGACAACAGTGGGATGGCAACAGTAGGATGACAACAGTGGGATGACAACAGTGGGGTGACAACAGTGGGATGACAACAGTGGGGTGACAACAGTTGGATGACAACAGTGTGATGACAACAGCGGGATGACAACAGTGGGATGACAACAGCGGGATGACAACAGTGGGATGAACAAAAGCGGGATGACAACAGTGGGATGACAACAGTGGGATGACAACAGCGGGATGACAACAGCAGGTTGACAACATCGGGATGACAACAGTGTGATGACAACAGGTTGATTACAACAGCGGGATGACAACAGCGAGATGACAACAGCGAGATGACAACAGTGGGATCGTAACATACCCATCTCCTCCTCCAGCTCAGGATCTTCGGACACCTTCTCCAGTTTCTCTATGAAACCCTTGATGGCCTTGAATACCTGCAGAATCAACACATACAACACCTTGAATACATCTGCAGAACAAACACACACATAACACGAATACCTTGAATACATCTGCAGAACAAACACACACACATTACACGAATACCTTGAATACATCAGCAGAACAAACACACACACAATACACAATACCTTGAATACATCAGCAGAACAAACACACACATTACACAGTACCTTGAATACATCTGCACACCAAACACACACATTACACAATACCTTGAATACATCAGCAAACAAACACACACATTACCTTGAATACATCTGCAGAACAAACACACACATTACACAATATACCTTGAATACATCTGCAGAACAAACACACACATAACACGAATACCTTGAATACATCTGCAGAACAAACACACACATTACACAATATACCTTGAACACATCTGCAGAACAAACACACACATTACACGAATACCTTGAATACATCTGCAGAACAAACACACACATTACACAAATACCTTGAATACATCTGCAGAACAAACACACACATTACACAATGCCTTGAATACATCTGCAAACAAACACACACATTACCTTGAATACATCTGCAGAACAAACACACACATTACACAATATACCTTGAATACATCTGCAGAACAAACACACACATAACACGAATACCTTGAATACATCTGCAGAACAAACACACACATTACACAATATACCTTGAACACATCTGCAGAACAAACACACACATTACACGAATACCTTGAATACATCTGCAGAACAAACACACACATTACACAAATACCTTGAATACATCTGCAGAACAAACACACACATACAATCAACATATTGTGATATCATGCTACTTTTGAGTAAACTTATCGATACTAAACTTTTCAACCAATGACAGCCCTAACTGGGAACGTACCTGGTCTCGGACAATCTTCTCAGGGTCCATGGTCATGCAACACATTGATGGCAGAAGCCGACTTGAGATTTCCTTCAGGCTGTAAAAGTTCTGTGTGGCTGCCAGGCCCAGCACGCCCGCTTGACGAGCCGGAGGGAAGGGGTCCTTAGTTGCCCTCAGGAAGGCCGAACACAGAATCTTTTGTCTTATCTGTGAGGAAAGCAGGCCCTTGATTAGACATCATCACTGCCTCAAAATACACCTGACATGTGGGGATATTCACAATACAGTGAAACAAGTCCTTGATTACTCATCCTTATCATCACTGCCACAAAATACACCTGACACGTGGGGATATTCACAATACAGTGAAACAAGTCCTTGATTACTCATCCTTATCATCACTGCCACAAAATACACCTGACATGTGGGGATATTCACAATACAGTGAAACAAGTCCTTGATTACTCATCCTTATCATCACTGCCACAAAATACACCTGACACATGGGGATATTCACAATACAGTGAAACAAGTCCTTGATTACTCATCCTTATCATCACTGCCACAAAATACACCTGACACGTGGGGATATTCACAATACAGTGAAACAAGTCCTTGATTACTCATCCTTATCATCACTGCCACAAAATACACCTGACACATGGGGATATTCACAATACAGTAAAACAAGTCCTTGATTAGACATCCTTACCATCACTGCCACAAAATACACCTGACACGTGGGGATATTCACAATACAGTGAAACAAGTCCTCGATTACTCATCCTTATCATCACTGCCACAAAATACACCTGACACATGGGGATATTCACAATACAGTGAAACGAGTCCTTGATTACTCATCCTTATCATCACTGCCACAAAATACACCTGACACATGGGGATATTCACAATACAGTGAACCTAGTCCTTGATTACTCATCCTTATCATCACTGCCACAAAATACACCTGACACATGGGGATATTCACAATACAGTGAAACAAGTCCTTGAGTGTATTATATATCCATTCTATTTTGATAAATACCCTGAACCCATTCGCCACCAGAGCTTCATTTTGAGTCCAGTTCTAAAGACACAATGCTAAAAATAGACTTCCAATCAAATTACACTGTTCACTCATTACTGAATCAGGCGGCAATATCACCAGCACGAGACTCACCGTGTTGTGTTCTGTCTCAAATACAACCGGGAATGCATAAATGGCACAATCTTTACTGTAGATTTTTGCCGAATCCTCATTCTCATTTCAAATGTTTGTTTATTCCATTTTGTTTGCTTGTTTGCTTGTTTGTTTGTTTGTTGTTTAACATCGCACTCAGCAATGTTCCAGCTATATGGCAGTGGTCTGTAAATAATCGAGTCTGGACCAGACAATCCAGTGATTAATATCATGAGCATCGATCCACGCAATTGGATTACAATGACATGCATTGACCAAGTCAGTGAGCCTGACCATCCGATCCCCTTAGTCGCCTTTTACAACAAGCATAGTCGCCTTTTACGGCATGCATGCGTTGCTGAAGACCTATTCTACCCCGGATCTTCACGGGTAGGTTGTTTATTCCAGGCTCATGAGTGAGTGAGTGAGTTGGGTTTAACACCGCGCTTTTAACAGTATTCCAGTTATATCGTGGCGTGTCAGCTTAATGTGGGAGGAAAGCCAGAAGTGATGTAGGTCTCAGAGTTTTACCACTTCGGTGAAACCCACGAGCATGGGTATGGTGCTGACAAACCTAGAAACAATCAGAGTGAACCTGGATTCGAACCCACAAATTATAGGTTTCTGGCGTGCCCAAGGGACGCAACTCTGCACAGCAAATCGCGGCGCCTTAGATGACTGGGACGCCCGTTCCCCCTCCAGGCTCATGAGTCAGAAAGATGCTGTGATAACATAGTGAGGTCACTTCTCAAACAAAGCTAAGGTGGCAAGCAGGTCCAAGGTAATTATCATAATAACATGGCGATATGATGACCTTGTAAATCGCGAAGGACAGTGGAATCCGATGTTGATTCTTCATGTGATACACTATGCATTCATTGATAAACATTTTGATTAAAAAATCATAATCAAAAAGGTAATGGCAAATATTATTGAAATCAACATCATTTAACATGGTTGAGTTAATATAGGGAACATAATTGAAAATGAGAATGTGATAAAACAATAACATAACAATGAATACTTACGCTGGGGTTGAGAAAATGACCTATCTTTCCAAGACAGACGGTTGTGTTTGTTCTGATGCCCCCCTGTTGGAACACAGGATATAGATAAAAACCACAATGCATGTGACATTAACCAGTAATTAACTTGACATTAACCAAAACAACGGTTTATGTTGACATGGAAGTGGTCAATGATTGAGAAGTGCACACCAAGTTATGCTGTTTTCCGTGCATTAACAGCAAGACAAAAAGAAAATACATAAAGCTGAATCATGTCAAAAAGACATAAAATACTTGGATACATATTGTCAGTTTCCATCAGTTGTAAGATATATAAATATTACCTGATCATCCTTTGACTGCAGGCGAGCAAAATGTTTCATAAGTTCTTCATTCAAATTCTTATAGTTGAGTTTTGATGCTAAATGAAGCATCGCCTGTCAAAACAATAATGTCACATTAGCTGGTATACTATTTTGTTCACACTGTATAGATGAGAAATTGGCAGCATCTTAAGACTAAATCCAAGCTGTTAAAAAGCACATCAGCAAATATCCTACACAAGATTTCATTACGAGCAGGAAATTTCTTCCTTTCATTACCTGACATGATAAAGGATTCATTCATAATTAAAAGATTTGTATCAATTTTAACAAGATTAATACAATAGGATTTAAACAGCTTTGAACAGATTTCGGTTATATAACAGTGTTTTGGTTTTCAACCCTACATCCTGATCTCACCTTGATTGTACTCTCCCTGACGACTGTGTTTGTGTCAGTCGACCCTACTTCCTGATCTCACCTTGATTGTACTCTCCCTGACTACTGGGTTTGTGTAAGTCAACCCTACTTCCTGATCTCACCTTGATTGTACTCTCCCTGACTACTGGGTTTGTGTCAGTCGACCCTACTTCCTGATCTCACCTTGATTGTACTCTCCCTGACTACTGGGTTTGTGTAAGTCAACCCTACTTCCAGATCTCACCTTGATTGTACTGTCCCTGACTACTGTGTTTGTGTCAGTCAACCCTACTTCCTGATCTCACCTTGATTGTACTCTCCCTGACTACTGGGTTTGTGTCAGTCGACCCTACTTCCTGATCTCACCTTGATTGTACTCTCCCTGACTACTGGGTTTGTGTCAGTCGACCCTACTTCCTGATCTCACCTTGATTGTACTCTCCCTGACTACTGGGTTTGTGTCAGTCGACCCTACTTCCTGATCTCACCTTGATTGTACTCTCCCTGACGACTGTGTTTGTGTCAGTCGACCCTACTTCCTGATCTCACCTTGATTGTACTCTCCCTGACTACTGGGTTTGTGTCAGTCAACCCTACTTCCTGATCTCACCTTGATTGTACTCTCCCTGGCTACTGGGTTTGTGTCAGTTGACCCTACTTCCTGATCTCACCTTGATTGTACTCTCCCTGACTACTGGGTTTGTGTCAGTCAACCCTACTTCCAGATCTCACCTTGATTGTACTCTCCCTGACTACTGTGTTTGTGTCAGTCAACCCTACTTCCAGATCTCACCTTGATTGTACTCTCCCTGACTACTGGGTTTGTGTCAGTCGACCCTACTTCCTGATCTCACCTTGATTGTACTCTCCCTGACTACTGGGTTTGTGTCAGTCGACCCTACTTCCTGATCTCACCTTGATTGTACTCTCCCTGACTACTGGGTTTGTGTCAGTCGACCCTACTTCCTGATCTCACCTTGATTGTACTCTCCCTGACTACTGGGTTTGTGTAAGTCAACCCTACTTCCAGATCTCACCTTGATTGTGCTCTCCCTGACTACTGGGTTTGTGTCAGTCAACCCTACTTCCTGATCTCACCTTGATTGTACTCTCCCTGACTACTGGGTTTGTGTCAGTCGACCCTACTTCCTGATCTCACCTTGATTGTACTCTCCCTGACTACTGGGTTTGTGTCAGTCGACCCTACTTCCTGATCTCACCTTGATTGTACTCTCCCTGACTACTGGGTTTGTGTCAGTCGACCCTACTTCCTGATCTCACCTTGATTGTACTCTCCCTGACTACTGGGTTTGTGTCAGTCGACCCTACTTCCTGATCTCACCTTGATTGTACTCTCCCTGACTACTGGGTTTGTGTCAGTCAACCCTACTTCCTGATCTCACCTTGATTGTACTCTCCCTGACTACTGGGTTTGTGTCAGTCGACCCAACTTCCTGATCTCACCTTGATTGTACTCTCCCTGACTACTGGGTTTGTGTCAGTCGACCCTACTTCCTGATCTCACCTTGATTGTACTCTCCCTGACTACTGGGTTTGTGTCAGTCGACCCTACTTCCTGATCTCACCTTGATTGTACTCTCCCTGACTACTGGGTTTGTGTCAGTCGACCCTACTTTCTGATCTCACCTTGATTGTACAGCCGTGACTACTGGGTTTGTGTCAGTTGACCCTTCTTCCTGATCTCACCTTGATTGTACTCTCCCTGACTACTGGGTTTGTGTGAGTCAACCCTACTTCCAGATCTCACCTTGATTGTACTCTCCCTGACTACTGTGTTTGTGTCAGTCGACCCTACTTCCTGATCTCACCTTGATTGTTCCCTCCCTGACTACTGGGTTTGTGTCAGTCGACCCTACTTCCTGATCTCACCTTGATTGTACACTCCCTGACGACTGGGTTTGTGTCTGAGAAGCCACTGATGAGGTTGGGGAAGATCTGGTCATTCACTGTGTTAGACTGTAGGTGTTCCACAAAAAACTCCACCTGAAAGAATTAAAAGTTGAACACTTGATATAGCTCCTGACAAAAGATCAACCAAAAAACATCCAATGTTAACTCCTGGAATATGATCACCATATCCAGACTACATAAACATTTCATTATCACCACCTTCATTATAATTAATCATAACCATCAATTATCACACTCTTTAATTTTGATTTTCATTGCCATGCATCATTACATATCACCACTGATGTCAATATTCACAACCATCATCACCATTGTCATCCATCACCACCATTGTCATCCATCAGCACTATTGTCATCCATCACCACCATTGTCATCCATCACCATCACCACCTTTGTCATTCATTAATATTGTCATTCATCATCACTGTCATCCATCACCACCATTGTCATCCATCACCATCATTGTCATCCATCACCACCATTGTCATCCATCACCACCATTGTCATCCATCACCATCATTGTCATCCATCACCACCATTGTCATCCATCACCACCATTGTCATCCATCACCACCATTGTCATCCATCACCATCATTGTCATCCATCACCACCATTGTCATCCATCACCACCATTGTCATCCATCACCACCATTGTCATCCATCACCACCATTGTCATCCATCACCACCATTGTCATCCATCACCACCATTGTCATCCATCACCATCATTGTCATCCATCACCACCATTGTCATCCATCACCATCATCACCATCGTCATTCGTTAATATTGTCATTCATCATCACCATTATCATCCATCGCCATCATCACCATTGTCATTCATCACCATATCACCATTGTTACCCATCAGCTTCATCACCATTGTCATTTATCAATATTCATAACTATCATCTTCCTCAGAAACCATCTCTATCATCATCACTATCAATTAACATCATCATCACTATCAATTAACATCATCATCACTATCAAATAACATCATCATCCTCATCATTTACCATCTTTCATCATCACTATCAATTAACATCATCATCCTCATCATTTACCATCTTTCTTCATCACTATCAATTAACATCATCATCCTCATCATTTAACATCTTTCTTCATCACTATCAAATAACATCATCATCCTCATCATTTATCATCTTTCATCATCACTATCAATTAACATCATCATCCATCACTATCATCATCATTTACCATCTTTCATCATCACTATCAACTAACATCATCATCCTCATCATTTACCATCTTTCATCATCACTATCAATTAACATCATCCTCATCATTTACCATCTTTCTTCATCACTATCAATTAACATCATTATCCTCATCATTTATCATCTTTCATCATCACTATCAATTAACATCATAATCATCATTTACCATCTTTCTTCATCACTATCAATTAACATCATAATCATCATCATTTACCATCTTTCATCATCACTATCAATTTACATCATCATCCTCATCATTTACCATCTTTCATCATCACTATCAATTAACATCATCATCCATCACTATCATCATCATTTATCATCATTTACCATCTTTCATCATCACTATCAATTAACATCATCCTCATCATTTATCATCTTTCTTCATCACTATCAATTAACATCATAATCATCATCATTTACCATCTTTCATCATCACTATCAATTAACATCATAATCATCATCATTAACCATCTTTCATCATCACTATCAATTAACATCATCATCCATCACTATCATCATCATTTATCATCATTTACCATCTTTCATCATCACTATCAATTAACATCATCCTCATCATTTACCATCTTTCTTCATCACTATCAATTAACATCATAATCATCATCATTTACCATCTTTCATCATCACTATCAATTAACATCATAATCATCATCATTTACCATCTTTCATCATCACTATCCATTAACATCCTCATCCTCATCATTTACCATCTTTCATCATCACTATCAATTAACATCATCATCCTCATCATTTACCATCTTTCATCATCACTATCAATTAACATCCTCATCCTCATCATTTACCATCTTTCATCATCACTATCAATTAACATCATCATCCTCATCATTTACCATCTTTCATCATCACTATCAATTATCATCATCATCCATCACTATCATCATCATTTATCATCATTTACCATCTTTCATCATCACTATCCATTAACATCCTCATCCTCATCATTTACCATCTTTCATCATCACTATCAATTAACATCATCATCATCATTTACCATCTTTCATCATCACTATCAACTAACATCCTCATCCTCATCATTTACCATCTTTCATCATCACTATCAATTAACATCATCATCCTCATCATTTACCATCTTTCATCATCACTATCAATTAACATCATCATCCTCATCATTTACCATCTTTCTTCATCACTATCAATTAACATCATCATCCTCATCATTTATCATCTTTCATCATCACTATCAAATAACATCATCATCCTCATTTACCATCTTTCATCATCACTATCAATTAACATCATCATCCTCATCATTTACCATCTTTCATCATCACTATCAATTATCATCATCATCCATCACTATCATCATCATTTATCATCATTTACCATCTTTCATCATCACTATCCATTAACATCCTCATCCTCATCATTTACCATCTTTCATCATCACTATCCATTAACATCATCATCCTCATCATTTACCATCTTTCTTCATCACTATCAATTAACATCATCATCCTCATCATTTATCATCTTTCATCATCACTATCAAATAACATCATCATCCTCATCATTTACCATCTTTCATCATCACTATCAATTAACATCATCATCCTCATCATTTACCATCTTTCATCATCACTATCAATTATCATCATCATCCATCACTATCATCATCATTTATCATCATTTACCATCTTTCATCATCACTATCCATTAACATCATCATCCTCATCATTTACCATCTTTCATCATCACTATCAATTAACATCATCATCCTCATCATTTACCATCTTTCTTCATCACTATCAATTAACATCATCATCCTCATCATTTACCATCTTTCTTCATCACTATCAATTAACATCATCATCCTCATCATTTATCATCTTTCATCATCACTATCAAATAACATCATCATCCTCATCATTTACCATCTTTCATCATCACTATCAATTAACATCCTCATCATTTACCATCTTTCATCATCACTATCAATTAACATCATCATCATTTATCATCATTTACTATCTTTCATCATCACTATCAATTAACATCCTCATCCTCATCATTTACCATCTTTCATCATCACTATCAATTAACATCCTCATCCTCATCATTTACCATCTTTCATCATCACTATCAATTAACATCCTCATCCTCATCATTTACCATCTTTCATCATCACTATCAATTAACATCATCATCCTCATCATTTACCATCTTTCTTCATCACTATCAATTAACATCCTCATCCTCATCATTTACCATCTTTCATCATCACTATCAATTAACATCATCATCCTCATCATTTACCATCTTTCATCATCACTATCAATTAACATCATCATCCTCATCATTTATCATCTTTCATCATCACTATCAATTAACATCATAATCATCATCATTTACCATCTTTCATCATCACTATCAATTAACATCATCATCCTCATCATTTATCATCTTTCATCATCACTATCAATTAACATCATAATCATCATCATTTACCATCTTTCATCATCGCTATCAATTAACATCATAATCATCATCATTTACCATCTTTCATCATCACTATCAATTAACATCATCATCCTCATCATTTATCATCTTTCATCATCACTATCAATTAACATCATCATCCTCATCATTTATCATCTTTCATCATCACTATAATCCATCCAATTCATACCTGTTGCAGCAGTTTGACTCTTGTAGCTCTATCTGGTGAGGAGAAGAGTTTGACGACACAGGGAACTATTTTCTTTTGGTATTCATCAGCATCAAGTAGTTTTCCAAGCTGCAAATAAAAGTGGTGTTCACCATTGTGACAAATGTGCAGAGTTGCATGGTGCTGATGTGGACAGTGATTGAATGAGTGAGTTGGGTTTAACACCGCTTTTAACAGTATTCCAATTATATCACAGCGTGTCAGCTTAATGTGGGAGGAAAGCCCGAAGTGATGCAGGTATCAGACGTTTACCACTTCGGTGAAACCCACGAGCACGGGTATGGTGCTGACAAACCTAGAAACATAATCGGGGCGAATTAGGATTCGAACCCACAATCATAAGATCAATAGCCCATGAAGAGGAGGCAGGGGTTTAGAGAGGTGGATCAGATGAGCATTCGAATCGTCGTGAGCTCCATTAGCCACCTCAAAGAAATGGACAGGGAAGTCGTCGCTCCTATAGTGGGTTGCTTTAAAGGCCAAATGGTTGGCATCCAGTCGGAGTCTTGGTTCAGGTGTAAGTGCGTGTCCATGTCTGGAGAGGTAGGGTCATAATCTGGGATGAAGGATCCTTCAGAAAAGTCAGAATGATAAGCGCAATCCTTCCTGCGTACAGGAGAATGGCTCCGAGATCAGCAGTGTGACCGACACAACTTGGAGCTGGGCCTAGAGGAGCTAGGAGACATGGAAATAGGTGAGATGTGGGTGTAGTGTCCACGACAACAAGAGGCGCTGTTGGCACCACAGTCACAGGAAAAGACAGCATTGCAGAAGGTACAGTAGAATAAGAGAATAAGAAAAAGACACAAGAGAAGATGCAGGTGGCATTGGCGCTGCTGTTGCTGAAACCGAATGTGTTGAAACATGGACTGCATCTACGATTACATCCAGTTAGGACACTGGTAGAAGCAGATGTAAAAGTCCATATCCCAGTGGCGCTGTTGGCGCCATGAGTGGCTGAAATGCACTTGCACCGGTGCTGACAGTGTGGTGAGGAAGAAGGATGTTGTTGCCAAAGGAGGTGCAAGCACCAGTGTGGTGAAAGAGGTGTAGATAGGGTAAGGTCAGAGCCTAAGGCGCAGTTGCGGGAGGCTGTAACTCAGTCATAGAAGTCGGTAGAAGGGGTCTCAGTAGAGTCGGACATCATAGGGTGGTGATGTGACTACTGAGTCTGGCATTTCTCACTGGTAAAGAGAAAAGGCTTTCAGCGAGAGAGGATGTCAGAAACAACACTGAGAACGTCGTCGAACAGGGCTCCATGCAATCCAAACACACAGGGTGGAGATCCCTGACAGACGTGTTGCCATGACAATTAATGAGAGGATTAAATCTGGAATTTACATTGATTTTTAGAAGAGAAAAATTATGCAAAGCACGTATAAAATAACACGAAGACACACACAAAGATAGAGGTAATAAAGATGAATGAATTACCAATAACAAGCAAGAGAATTCACAATGCACAACACAAGAGCATGGCCACATGGTTAATTCAAAATGGTGGACTTGAACATAAATACACCCAATTACCGTGACTGAGAGCCACAAACAAGCAGGAATTAATTGCAAATAAGGAATAGGGAAGACCAAAAGGCACAAACCATAAGCAACACAACAATATCAATAAGGAAACGATTGTAGAAATAATACGCAAAGGATGCTGGAATATGGTAGAGGCTTCTCACAAACATGTCTATCTGTTTTGTGTGACAAAGCAGTAATCATGGTAATGACGTCACCACTTCCAGATCACGTGGCAGCTATGTGAGGGTACTGCCACACAAATGGTTGGAACAACTTCTCGTGCAGCTAGACCCCTCACATCTTTTTCTTCTTTTAAAAAACAGCAGTAAATGCATTTAGGAGTAATGCGTGGCAGCTATGTGAGGGTACTGCCACACAAATGGTTGGAACAACTTCTTGTGCAGCTGGACCCCTCACATCTTTGTCTTCTTTTAAAAAACAGCAGTAAATGCATTTAGGAGTAATGCAGAATAAGTTAAAACATAAAAGATTGCTGTTACTTGATCAGATATTCTCTTAATCCAATACCTTAAACAGAGGTGCTAATACTGAGGACCCGGCATTGCCGTACTCGAACGCATTCACGAGCTGGGGTAAAATCTTGTGTCGACAGAACTGGGGTGGAAATGAATCAAGTGATGGAGTGAGGTTGGAGAAGAACTTCGTCTTTTCATTCTGGTCTTTTATCTGAAACAAGAAAGAATGTAATTACTTTAGAGCATACATGGTTTACTACACAAGTGTTGGACATGACGGTACCAAATTTATGCAGAAATATCCAATCTTTAGTTTTACCTGAAATTCTTCTAAGAACAACATGGACTTGACAAAAGAGTTGTTCATGAAGCCGTCTCTACGCTGACATGCTCCCATGAACTTGGCCGGATTAGGCCTTGACTTGGGGTTGGCCCCCACAAGTTCACAGTAGTTGGGCACCAGGCTCTTTGGAATCTGTAACAATAACATTAAGACAAAACTATTGGAATTTTTTTCTTCAGTGAACGAATGCTGTGACTCCAGAGTGCTGAGTGTGTTGTTTCTTTGTCAATCAAGAAATTTAAACTAAAACAAAGGGCTTACTTAATCATGTTTAAGAATGAACACAAAATACCATTTAGAAAGTGGTCAAATGTAACAAATGTTATATTTGGGATAACACTTTCTTTGTAAATTACAGATTCTCGTATTTTGGGGGGTTGAGTTCCGTCCAGTGTTCGAACCCACACTTGCCAGAGTGAGGCACCTAATCGCCAGCACACAAAGTCAGCGATCTAACCCACTCAGTCTCCGAGGCTTCCACAAAGATGAAAGTCTGATAACTGGTAGTCTAGATCACGTACTTTGAGTACCCCTCTGATACAAAGAAAGTGTTATCCCAAATTTAACATTTGTTACATTTGACCACTTTCTAAATGGCATTGTGTGTTCATAGCTTTCGGCCATGGCAGCCGTGCCAATTTACACTTGTCAGAGGGGTACACAAGGTACCTGACTTTATGTGATCATGTAAGAAGAACTTTAAGTTACTTCTAGTAGGACTCAATAAACACACCACAGCCAATCTATGTCAGCTCAAGCAACAATACCCAATTATGTGGTACATGTGGTACATGTAGTAAGTAGTAAATATAGCAATTATATCAATACATATCATTTTTGGTAATTATTATTGAATCACCTGGAGGCATTCTGAACTATCATATTTCCATTCACATTGTCCATTAGGATCTCCTAAGAATTTCGCACAATTTAGCAATACCATGTCAAACACAGTACCTTTCCAAGTGACTTGAGTGCTGTTGTCCTTGGTAGTGTTCCATTGAAGACTTCCCATATCAGACACCCCAGTCCCCACATATCCGACGACCTGATACATATCAACAAGTTGTCAACAAGTCTATCTCTGGCATGTGTATTGTGCAATTATAGATAAAATATTTCTGTATAGAGCAAAGCTAATGCACTCCTATAATGAATGAAGTCTGTTAATTTTATAAACCTGTAACAGTTAACACTAGGATTCAAAATACATCTTAATACATACTTCATCAATATGGAGCAAGTGAGATTTTAGGCCAAGTTCCTCAAAGTTCTACTCTAGCAGATAGCCGCAGAAGACTGGCTATCCTTCAATGTCTGTACGTAACAAAAACTCCAAAAGGAAGTATATCATCAAATTTGGAGCACCCTATCTGGTAGAGAGTGGGTGATATACAATTTTTGGGGGGTTTGTTTGCTGTTTATTGCACTCCAATATTCCAGCTATATGACAGTGGTCATCAAGTGATCAAGTCTGGACCAGACAATCCAGTGATTGACATCATGAGCATCGATCAACGCAAGTGGAATACGATGACATGCATCACCCGTCAGTGAGCCTGACCACCCGATCCCGTTAATCGCCTCTTACGGCAAGCATGGTTTGCTGAAGACCTATTCTATCCCGGGTCTTCATGGGTCTTATTTACAATTTCAAGTCACATCGGTAGTATTTCAGCCATATTGTGACAAGAACATGTCATAGTTTATTGTTATTTTGAAAAGCTTTCAAAGAAGAACTGTAAGTTTGATACCAGAAATAACAGTATTTTTCTTAAGTTCTTAGACATCAAACTTTTGAATTGCTCTCTCAAATTACCAGAAACACATTACACATCTTCATTTGAAACTAGTTGAAGAATGAAATGTGTAACTATTGTATCAAACAGTGACACGAGGCAAATGATGCTTTGTAAGCACTAAGGTACACACACTCGACTCACCACTTATCTCCCCTGATTCCCCTCCTCATCTCTGCCTTCTCAGGAGGGTCGTACTTCTCCAGGATGGGGAGTATTTTGACAGGGGGAATAGACTCTGCCCCCTCAGCAGGGTACATGTACTCCACTCCGCCCAGCTTCCACTCCCCAGCCTGGTCCACGAACACCGATGCCATACACACATTGTTGTGGATCAAGTTGCAGTCATTCACCAGGAAGGACAGTCCTTTCTGTTAACAATGATGATGGGGACATACTATACTGACCAAATCAAAATTTCTAAGGTTGTTGCCAAAGGTACGAAGAGTAGCAGACGGGAATTATTTGTATTTGGATCAACAAACAAAAATTTAAAAAACCAAGTGGTCCAACTAAGGACCTGATAAAGACTAGGATGAACTTATGGACATGATAAAGACGAGGATGAAACTATGGACATGATAAAGACAAGGATGAACTTAAGGACATGATAAAGACAAGGATGAACTTATGGACATGATAAAGACAAGGATGAACTTAAGGACATGATAAAGACAAGGATGAACTTATGGACATGATAAAGACAAGGATGAACTTATGGACATGATAAAGACAAGGATGAACTTATGGACATGATTAAGACAAGGATGAACTTATGGACATGATAAAGACGAGGATGAAACTATGGGTCTGCTCTTACTTAAGCATCTTGATTTGTAGGATATGTCCCACTTTGCATTGATTGGGTACAAATTTCATTATGTTTTCGTTTAAAAATACCTTTTTTGACTACCGGTATTATGGTTTGCTATGAGGATACGTTCTGAGAATGGATTTGTCACTTCTACTCACCACGATCTGGTGCAGGCCCCATGATATGGCTAGCTCATTTTTGGCATCCCCATCATTGTTGTTCAAGTGTGTCTCAAGGGGGGTCACTGCCTCGGTGGCAAAGTATATCACCTTTTCTGTCTGCAAAAATAGTAGTAAATTCTAAATATTTTTTACATGTCAAATCTTATCCTGCATTACTACCTTAATGCTTTTACTGCTGTTCAAAACAGCAGTAAAAACTTACAGAAATTGTAGTCAATGTATCAGAAATGATTTAACCATGTAGATGATACAAGGATACAACCATTTGCTACTTATGTTTTCATATACAAAGTAATGCATTTTCAGTTCCCTGTATGTCTGTGACACAATAGAGCATGTATCCATGACACAACAACCTGTGATGGTTCAGTCTTCCTTTGCCTTGAGAAGATATATCAGTTGATTACCTATTCATGTCAACATGACATAAGATCAAACTACATCAGTTCACTATGTATGTAATGTACATGTATATCCACTTGTTCATTATACAGAGTTTGTTATGGAGATGACTTTTGTAAGATATACTGTATTCGACGTAATAAGCGCCCAGGGCGCACTCAAAATTAGTAATTGGGGGCTCTTATTAGAATATTACTTTGGTGAAAAAAACAGAGTTGAAAGATAAATTTCGCGGTTTATGCTGACAGCCTGAAATGTTTATATATGACAGATATATTTTTCCAGAATGTAATTGCCCATAATTAAGGGTGCATGTAACACATGAGTGTGTATTATACGCGAATAAATAAGTCTTATGTACATTGATCAATCAGTAGGGGTGCTAAATGAGATTGTTGACTAGCCAATATATTAGCAAATATCGCCTTGGGCGCTATTAGAGCAGGGCGCTTATTACGTCGAATACGGTAATATATAATTAGAGCTGCAGTCAAAACATTTAAATAGTTTAATATATATCTGTGTTTGTTATAAATGTGTTCTACTTTTTTACTTATTTGTGTAACTGTTTTACATATTCTTATATTTATATGTTTAAATGACAACATCAATAAGTGAATTCATTAGTGCGTTGTGCCTGCTACCATATTTTGTTGATGGGAATAAAAACATTGAAGGAAAATGCTCTCCATTTGCTTATGGTGAATTCTTCAGTGAGACTGCGACGGGGAGAACAGGCATAGGCAAATGTCCATGTAACCATGGTAACCATGTGCACAACACTGAATAACCTTAAAATGAGAGGAACACCTTGACATTATGCTTGAATCTTACCTCAATTCCATCAAGGAAAGTCAAGAAATTGGGATGCCTCAACGTCTTTATCCTCTTGAATGCTCCCTTTGCAATTTGAACCTGGTAAAATCAAAGCATATTATTGGACCCAATACACAGATTAGAAATCTCCATTGCATGTTTACCCATACTTAGTCATCAATACCAGAACTGGGTAAAATTCTTTCTTTCTTCTGATCTTGACAGATAATATCTGAGAAATAAAACATTCAGATACCACGGAAGGACAAGTTTGGTACAATGAAGATCAAGTTGACGTAAGGATGTCAACTTCTTTATTCTTTCTTTGTGACATTTTGGTTTAGGCGCTGGTAAAGTTAGGATTGCTTGATATAGGCTCAAGCATCTGTACCAAAATGTCGCATAGGAAGAATAGAGAAGTTGAAATCCATAATTCAATTCTGTCTTCATTGATACTACAATTTCTAAAGTGCCACTCTACATTAAGTCTGGTACAGAGTGTTTGAGTGTTTTGTTGTATAATCAGTGCAAAATATATTTAATTTTTGTTGTCTTAACCATGTCAATGCCTAATACCTTTTCAGTAAACATGGTTTCAGAAAAGCATTATAACTATATGATAACATAACAGTAATATTAGCACATTTAATCCTAACTATCCACATCATACCTGAGATTCACTTGCACTTTTGACATCAAATGCAAATACTGACACAGGATCTCCAGTTCCCTAGAAAATAAATTGTCAGATTCTTGATTTCATTCACGTTTGAAATGATCTCATTGATGCAAACATCATTTCGACCCAGAGTGTCAAATTTGTACGTTAGGTCAAACACACATCCCCTCATCAGTTATACAAAGACAAATAAATTGGCAAGACTGAAGTTTACCAGGCGCAGCTTCCTGCACTGATTGGCTACAGGTCCTGGATGTGTCTCTCGCTTTACTGATTCTGCATGACTTTTCAATCCTTAGGGTTAGTCGTGTTAGTGTGTGGTAGAGGCATGTAAAATATGTGAAGCGTGAGCAACAGACGGCAGCCTGAGCCAATTAGCACAAGAAGCTGCGCCCAGTAAACTGCAGTGTTGCCAAATCTTTTATGTAAGTCAACAATCGCTATGAAAATCTTCTGTATTGAGGACATGTGTCTTGAAAATTTCCCTTATTCAATAATCATGTTCATTCTCGTATAAATGAAAAAAATAAGTATCAGAACATCCCAGCTTTCAGCATGGTCGTTACATGTCTTTGAAGAAAATGTACAAAGCATCACATTAGTGTAAGACAATGATCCTTATATTGAGAACTTCATCCAACTGTACATGATATATGATCAGATGATAGAACTGTCAAATCACTGATCAATCAACAGACAACAAACACACCCTCTTCTTCCCACTGTACAGGGTCCATATCGACTTTTCTTCCAAACCTGGCACCTTTTCACCTATGTCATAATTAAAGTCTTTCGTAGGGTCCCTACTGAAGAAGGACCACATCTCGACTCTTCCATTAAACGTTCAAAACAATGACTATTTCACTTGTAATCACTAAGACTTCGTGTCAGCTCTCATGTGTCCGGAAGCGGAAACCCGAAACTGCGCGACCCCGATTTCCTTTGAACCTGAAACCGGCATGTCGCTAAAATACTTTTAACTGGTTTCGTCTCTATGGCGCACATCTTCTTTGTGCATCAGTATTTTCAAAGCTGCAATCGAAGAAAACATTACTTTTAAGCTACTGGCATTTGAATTCATTATAAATTATAACCTTTATGGATGAAATATAAGCTAAATGATGATACAGACAATCAAACATGCCGTTAAAATAACCTGAAGGCGTGATGGTGTTTTAGAAAGAACCAAGTCATTTATCTAACGATGTCTTGATGTGAACTTTGGACGTTATAATGACAGCGTGCGTGAGAAAGCCATTCGAGTACACGAGCTGAGGTCTTCTTATCTATATATAGGGTTAACCCAAAACCGTTTCGATCACGACTTAGAAAGCATTCGCACCCGACTGTTTACCCGTGATACATCATGGCCGCCACTGCTCCACTTCTGATGCGGATAATTTCATCCTCTGTTGCTGTTTCAAAGCGAGCAGGATTAGTTATTAGAGATATTCTCAGAAAGGGAGATTTGGGGATCGTCGAGAAGGTAAAATGATCAAATTACTTCATAAATTAACCTGTCACCAAGGTCGCTTTTAGGTGACGAGTCCCAAGTCCTCAGCGATTGCTCTCGTTAACAGTAGGCCAATGCTTTATACCGTTAGGCTAACCTATTAACTGGGCGCATCACTGCTATCTGTCTTTCGCGTAAATTGATTGATAGGTTGACCACTGTTGATTGATTGATTGAATTTTCTATTACTTTATGATGTAATTTGTATTAATTAATTTCTACATTTATTTTGGGACCAAATTAGATCTAGGCTTATTTTGTCAATCTGTTTTTGGTTGCCAGTAAGTTGCTTTGGTAGTGGTACTCCTTTTCTTTTTCATAAATTTATTTATTTATTCATATTTGTTAAATTGCTAAAAACTAAGTTACTGATTTTACTTATTGGCAAATTAATTTGCTAATATTTTGGCCCCTGTTAATTTAAACAATGTTTAATTTATTCAATAATTTTTTTAATCCAAACTGCTATCAACTAATGTATATACAGACCACCTAAGCCTGTGCAGGTTTGATAAATGTGCATTGATGTTTATTCATCTATGTCAAAAGCTTTCTGATAAACTAATCAATGTTAATGTTGCACTTGCATCATTGTTGAATACCCATAATCAAGATGATGACTATATCTAGATTTTTTATATTGTTTTGGCTGAATAGCATAATGTTCCACATCATCAGTCAGCATGACAAACCTGTTTTAGTTAGCTCTTAGGTCAAGCGTGAGGTAGGCTGTACTGGGCATCTGTTTTCAACCAGAATCCAGGGCAATAGTCAGAAAGTACTTTCAGAACTTTCATAGAGTAGTGGCAGATGTAACATGTACTCAAGATGGACTACCACCTCTTGTATACAAGATGGGTGCGGTTTTGTGGCACCCAGTCACTTGTATACTTGAAGGTAATTTCTTACATGGTTTTGAAAGAAATTAAACATTTTATGGAGATCGCAAATGTGTGTGGGGGTTACTATCACCATGATCACTGTGCGTAAAACTGACATATTTTTGTAATCTACAATAAAAGTACCTAAATTTATTTTCTTGAAAAATATGCACATAGACAAAAACACTGTCAAAAATGTCTAAATGTGTCCAAATTTTGCACATTCTTCATCAAATTTGACTATTTATTGATTTTTATTTTACAGTTATATTATAATTGTCAATAACTGTATGTAATATTTTTTTCTTATTTGAAATGCATAACACTTGTATAGACATTTTTGTGAGAATTTCAGAAATTCATTGTCTGTTGATCGGCAACTGACACATACAAATGACTCTTTCTAGGACAGTTAAGTGTAAGGGGGACCCATTTTACATCAGCATCCACATCACTTGTTACGTCCTCAATTGCTGCACATTTATTTGCTCTAAAGTTAACACAGGGTCTGGTGTTCTCAAGTCACAATGAAACGGTTAAAATTGTAACGGCATAGTTAAAATGTAATACTAATAGCATGGTTAAAATAAGTTTCTGGTGCCTACAAACCACACACTTCAATAATATGAAGCCAGTTATAAATGATAAGCATATGAAACTTGAAAGCCCATAATTAAAAAATAATAATAAAAACCAACAAGTTCCTGGGATTGACAAATCTAAAATGGTATTATTAATGTCAATAAAAAGGAAAAAGTCAAGCCTACATAATTACAACTGCTTTATATTTAGCTCGGGGTGAAAGGCATTTATTAGGTTTGAAGATGGACTTGTTTATAGGTCTTGATCACAACCAGTAATTGCATAAAAGCTATCAATGGAAACTTTCCTGGTTGATTGACATGGTATTTCTTTGTTAACTAAAGTGACCAGTGAGTGAAATGAGTGAAACTCAACACTGACTAAAAGAATAAAAGACAACATTTCAAATAACCTCAAAAGTATTCACCTTCTTGGCATACTTTAGTTCCAAGGGCACACATTTATGATAGAAGTATCCTGTGGCACACTTGAAAACATATTGTTTTCTGCTTGTGTAACATATACATATATGACAGAGAGACATTTACGACATAGAGACATTTAGTGAGTGAGTGACTAGAGTTTTACACCGCTTTTAGCAATATTCCAGCAATATCAGGCAGGGGACACCAGAAGTGAGCTTCACCAGAAGTGGGCTTCACACATTGTTCCCATGTCAGGAATTGAACCTGGGTCTTCAGCGTGACATTTTAACCATGAGGCTACCCGTCTGTCCCATTGTGACATTTATAACAAGAGACATTTATGATATAGTGACATTTATGACGGGTACCTGCTGTTGGTCTCAAGAGTTGGGTACAAAATGTCCCTTTGGGAATTATGTTACTGGAGCCCTCTCTAAAACTATTTAGAAACACATATACCGTATTCAACGTAATAAGCGCCCAGGGCGCTCTCAAAATTAGAAATAGGGGGCTTTTATTAGAATAAAATTTTGGTGAAGAAAACAAACAGATTTGATAGATAAATTTTGTGGTTTATGCTGACAGCCTGAAATGTTTATATACGAGAGATACATTTTTCCAGAATTTAATTGCCCATAAATAAGGGTGCTTATAACACATGAGTGCTTATTATACGCGAATAAATAAGTGTTGTGTACATTGATCAATGGGAAGGGGTGCGAATTGGTATTGTTCACCAGCCAATATATTAGCAAATATCGCCGTGGGCGCATATTAGAGCGGGGCGCTTATTACGTCGAATACGGTAATACAATCTGTTCATGCATACACTGAAGTTGACTGAAGCTCTATATTTACTTAAACATAATTATTTGGGTTGCATGAACTACAAGTCAGAATGAGCTGAGTTTCTGCTGTGGATAGATGTCATTGAGATTAGAGTGTCCCAGTTTCATCTGACTCAGCAGAATGAGTGCGGGAAAGATCTAGTTTAACTCCAGGAGTAGTCCGACATTTATGCACATAAAAAACAAGAAAACAGATTATCACTATCTCCCACCATGGGGCACATTAGAATTTTGTTAGTTCATATAGTTGTGAATATAAACTATAAAAAAGAGTCCTTTTAAGCCTTAAAAAGAGATAGGCATTTGTGAAATTAATACACACAAAAGGCCTCTCTCTGGAAAAAATAACTCAGTCTTGATATGTATCTCTCAGATATCAGTTAGCTAACTTCAGTAGTTTCTGTCGTTGAGATTAGAGTGTCCCAGTTTCATGTGACTCAGCAGAATGAGTGCAGTAGATCTATATAAGACCTTGGGCCTCTTTATTTCAGATTAAATGATTTAATGTGAAATTAATACATACAGAAGGACCTGAAAAAATTAACTCAGTCCTGATAAGTCTTAACTTCAGTTGTTTCTCAGAAAGCGTGTCCCCGTTGCAGACATATGCACCAAGTAAAATAACATGGACCAAGGGCAATAACAAATAATTTACGGGACCAATTTTCTAAATCAGTCTTTACAAGTTTCTCTTAGATAAGCATGCGAACTTTCATTCAAGTAACTTCAGTAGTTACTGAGAAAACATGTCCCCCCATTTTACACAGTGTACACTAAGTTGAAAAGCATGGGACAAGGGCCATAATTCTGTAAAACAATAATTGATGGGATCATAACCAGTAACATTAGTGTGTAAAATTTAATTTCTCTGACTTAAATAATGTTTGAGAAAATTTGTCCCCTTTGTGAAATGGAGGGAAAGAAGAACAACGTTCCTGTATCCCTGCAGAAACATAACACTTGATATTTCACTGCAGTGCACATAACACTTGACATTGCAGCGAACATTTCAGTTTGACGGAAGTATTGTCATACAAGAGTTTCCTCCCCACAAATTGTGGCACAGCCATTTATGGAACTAATTCCAGTAAAAGAAGGCAACGAGAAATATATTTTCAAGATTATTCTGTGTGTGTTAATTGGTGTAGGCGTAGCCTGGTTGTTAAAGTGTTGACTCCTCCACGGACTTGTATATGGGTCTGTGACTCCTCACATCAAAGACCAGGGATTGATTCTCTACATGAATACACTGCGTGAAGCACATTCTCACTGTCCCCAAGCATGATATGGATGGAGTTGTGCTTAAAGTGCCTTATTCTCTCTCTCTCTCTCTCTCTCTCTCTCTCTCTCTCTCTCTCTCTCTCTCTCTCTCTCTCTCTCTCTCTCTCTCTCTCTCTCTCTCTCTCTCTCTCTCTCTCTCTCTCTCTCTCTCTCTCTCTCTCTCGCACGCACACACACACACCTATCTTTTTATTAGGGACCCCAACTAAGACAGAAAAATTACATCATGTTACATGTGAGTTCATTTTTTCTTGTGTATATTGCAGATTCTTTTTACAGGAAACAGCAGCTCATAAGGGGTATATATCATTGCCTTGTAACTATTATCAAAGTAGGTTTGGTGTCATTGATCCTTGAACTGAGTTTGTTCACAATTGTTTGATCTCTGAAAAACTATTACAAGCCCCCGCTTGTCAATTTTCTAAGTGCCCATGGTGCTTATTACAGTAGAGACAATAACTATGTTCACAGCGCAGGGGGTGATGTTGATATTGATAACAGATCAAAGCATGGCATTTTGGTTCCTGGTCATATGAATGTCTGACTGTTTTGTTTCAGGGCAAGAATGACCTGCAGACAGAAGCTGACAGGTCAGCTCAGCGGTGTATCATTGCATCATTGCACAGACAGTTTCCTAAAGTCGCCATTTTTGGAGAAGAGGTAAGTTGACATGAGAGGCTATTTTACACTAGTACAACCCTATAAACTTCCTGGAGATCAAGCCAAATTATTCAGTGTTAACAGTATCCAAGGGATGGCATCTTCCAAAGGCAAGGTAAAGTTTCCTCGAGTCAAGACTGGTCAATAGGGCATGGAAAGGGCACAACTCATTATAACCACTGCTGGTGCTATGATCGAGCCATGAAATTCCAGCCAAGTTCGACAAGGGTGGAAACTGGACTTTCATAGTCAGTTAACTCCCTTGCCTTGGGAAAATGTTGGGTGATGACCTGAGGCCTATTTCAGCTGTTACTTCCTTACTTGAACTTAGACTGACAAAGTCACAGTGCGATTATCTCATCGTGGTCCACTAACCTACCATTCAAGGGGACATGAGAAATGTGTAGGGCTTAAATTGTTTGAAAGTGTTTAGAAATACATACAAGGATTCAGTATATACCATACGGTCACTGCAAGCATGAAGTTGAATACTTACCAGAGAATGTTGGGTATATTAATTTTTCAATTAATAAGGATCTTATTGTAATGCAATAGATTTTCAAATAGCTTTTCAGCATCATAATGAAAGGACGCCAACAGCCTTGCAGCCTCTGTGCAAAGCTGCATGACTAATAAAAAATCAAGCCAAATCATTGATACATTCAGAGTAGCCCATGAAACTTAAAACTGAATGGACCTTGAAGGAAGAATACCGATTAGTGTCAGCTGACCATGGAAGATTTCCACTTTGGGCGGATTAGTAGGTCAGCCACCTGGGTTGTAGTGTGTAGGAAGCTCAGGTGTTCCACCCTTCCCTTGATAATGTGCAAGATAAGACACATCGGCATACAAGTGTGCTTTCCCTATATGCCTCTACACTATGTGTGAATTTGCAGCTGTAGTTAGTAAGTGTGCCTAGAGCAACAAAATGTACAGTACATGCAGTACACACTTCTTTTTTCATATGGACAGTTGCAATGTAGATTATTAAAATCCCTATCTTAGAAAAAGTTAGTACTCTGAATACAGATCACCAGACACTATTTCAGATAAATCATCCATCTTTTGACTTCCTGGTGGTGGGACCATGGGTTTCATCACCAACATGGGCACATGTTTGTAGCCAATATGTGCTGGCACCTATCAGCTATACTGCAAAAATGTGAACAGAACATACAGCTAATGGAACATGTTTTTAGTATTTTATTTATCTTTTGTGGAAAAGATATCAGTTCATAAGGAAAATGTCACAATGAAAATCACCATGTACAAACAAAAGCTCTCAAAAAGTTCATTCTGTCGCTACTGGACAGCATACATGGTATAATAAATGTCTAGGAAGTTCTTAAAGTATTTCAAAGTGTCCAAAATATGCACTATAAATCCCCCCTGATGTGACAGCAGAGATAGCTGTACAGAGGTGCATCCCAGGATCAGCTGGTTTTAAATAGCAGATTCTGATCCTTGGTAGTCAGCACCTTGTCCATGCCCATTGCCGTCACCGACGTGGTGAACATCTAAGCCCTCATCACGTTGGGGTCTTCCCTTCCACATTAACCCAACACGCTGTGATATGCCTAAAATACATTCGTCACCACTCACCCCATTCCGTAACCTGCAAGAAGACTCGTCCCCCTATCGATGAATGTTATGTGCAAAAATACAACAAACCAATGAGAATGCGCGTATGATTTCAAGTTCTTCATCAAAGAATAATTTTTTATTTTACATGTCCTGCATCTAAAAATATACCCAAGACACAGTTAAGTGTGTTCAATCACACTGTATAATTCCGCACATCCCGATATGCTTTAATTTGCATCTGAAATATGTTTAATATATGGGGAAATATATGTAAACTATTACGCAACAAGGTGACAATTGTTTTAGGTATGCCCGTTTGCGCTAAGACGGAACCCAGTCGCAAAAATGGCCATGAGAGGGGCACAAGTCGCTATTCGGCTTATCCCGGAATAACACGAGTTGGTCACGAGAGGCCTAAAATACTTCTCAATAAGTAGTTAGAGTAGCCAAATTTGCAGGCGAAGAATTTAATTTTTGTTTTGGAACATGATCTGCAACATCTTGCTTTCTACCTCATGGTCAAAGTGGTATTTTACAAGGAAATGTTTCTAGTTGTACCTGAAATTATATTTAAGACTTGCAGATGTATGTTAATTTCAAAGCTTGATTTGACAACATGTTACATTTTCTTTTTGTGGTTATAGTCACTGAAAAATTCAATCAATTTAGATTGATGTCATCAGAGACCATATAATAGAGGGACGGCCCTCCCCAAAAGTTTATCATAATCCATCAGCGCTACGGTCTGGCATGTAACTGATACACCCCGACACCCTGCTGTTAACCTCTCTGTACCGCTGCAGATGCGCAATAGATGCGCAGACATTCACGACTGACCATTCTGGTAACCACGTAAACAATATTATATAATATCCGGGGCTAGAGTTAATTCCCTTAGCCGAGATTTCTCCGACTACGACCAGCGACAATGCAATAAAAGGACGTCTCTTAGCGGATCACAAAGATTTTCCTGGTCTAAATAGAATGACAGTGATGTTACCGCTACCAAGCCGTTGGTAAATACCTCCCAAAAAGATTCACTCAAAGAAAAAGATAGGAAATGAAAATATGACGTCTGTCCACAAGCGTAAGTTTTCGAGGGCGTGTGAAGAAAAAGCCGTTCCGATATCAAAAGTATTTTATAACGCATTCTATTTGTTTTAAAAATCAGTTAATAGATCTCATTTTATGCTGCAATAACAACAGGTATAACAATATACAATGTAGCTTCAACGAGCATGGTACCAGATATCTACTAGTATATCGTAAACTGTAGTAACGTTTGTTGTTTTCAAAATTCTTTCATCATAGTTTTCTATATCTGATCAATGAAAAACAAACTTTAAACTCTAACCTGGAACAAAGCATGCAACTACACATGTATTACTATTAAAACAAAACAAAACATCACAAACTCTGACAAATATGTAAATGTATTTTTCACAGAAAAGGACAATAGACCATCTATATATTTTACTGAATGACACCTTCGACCTTGTTGTCTGGAACTTCTCTCCCGACGACTGCCGATATAATCCTTCTTCTTTCTTGGCATTTACAAAGCAAATGATAATTTTATTATACAAATATTTCATGTAACGGATTTTTATTTTTGTATGATGTTTTCATTGTTGTGTAAATACACAAAGTAAGTAGTACCTTCATCATATTTACATTATTATGATTGGGTTTAGGCCAATATCATTTTGCTCATAATCAATATTTATACGGCATAAAAAAAATAATTGATTAAATGTAGTCATGATTTATACAGACAAAATCTACAGAAGATAACAAATATGTAGTATTGTAGTATGTAGTATATGCGCGCTATGTGATCAGGCCTAACTGAAACAAATTTAAACTTACGAAGAAATGGCGAAGCAATGGTAAAAAAAAATACGCGTTTTACAAAAACAATTCTAATATCATACAATATAAGTCACTTTGTAGAATGTTTCAAAGGATATATGCGGATGATAATCACAGACAAATTCATGTTATGTGTTTGCTATATGGTAATTTAACTTAAAATATGTGACGTAAAATATGGCCTTGCGCCAAAAATCATACCCAAAAAACTACCGATCGTATCTAAATAACGTTGGTACCAAGCCATAGGGGAAATCGTGATGAATGTAAAACTATTAAATTCAGGACCGATAATAGGAACACATTCGTCTGAAAGCATGCGAAAATTAAGAGTTGTGATGTAATTATTTCGGATAAATTCAGATTTAGTCCCATTTCTGGAGTCAAAATCTGAAATTTCGGATCAGCCCTAAATTTGTTAATGGCACTAAGCCAATTTTTAACATATCTCCTTTTTATACACCTACGTAACCAAGGACTTTCATTGCGAATTAGAGGCCGTTATTGAAAATCAAAATCTGCACTTTTGCCGATTTTACATGTGCGCCATTTTGTTCTCTCGGACAAAGACAAAGCGTGATCACAGTCACAAAATACAGTAACAACGACATGCTTTAGGGCACCAACAAATCTCAGTTGTAATGTTAACAATGTTAAGAAATACATGAGTGTAATTATGTATTGTGAAATATATCTTTTGCATGGGAAAAAAAGGCAACAACGATGACTGCAGTGAACGCGTTTCAGCTCGCTTCCGGACAGGCTGCGCAGTACAAGCCGTAGCACTGATGGTTTCGCGCATAGGCTAGAGGGCCGTCCCTCTATTATATGGTCTCTGATGTCATGTGGATAACATTGCATCAGCATCACAGTGGATTAGGTTTTATCGTAGTGAGGTCAACATGGATGTTTGTCTTGTCTGTCACTGTTTCTATCTAGATGTCAATATGTGTACACATCTATATCTAAGGCTTCATGTTCAAGATAAAGAAAACAATGTTGTCGTGTGTCACGACTCGTGGTAGTGGAGATATTGTGTCTGTTGATTGAGCAATCGGTTATCTCAGTCTCTTACATAACATCTGTCATCGTTATCAAACTATTTTATCTCAGATGTATTGATATCTCATATTATTCATTCTTTTGGGATTAAGGTCAAGGGTTCATGCCATGAGCCTCAAGATGAAGTTGAAAGATTTAGCAAATGTTAGGGTTCATACAATTAAGAGAGTTTTAAGTATCAGTCATATGTCATTTGATGTTTCAATAACTGAAGTTGTCCACTCAAGCTAGAGATATGAGGTTTGACTGATATGTTCAAAGGATGAAGTTGTCCACTCAAGCTTGAGATATATATTTTAACTGATATTTTTAAAGGATGAAGTTGTCCACTCAAGCTTGAGATATATATTTTAACTGATATTTTTAAAGGATGAAGTTGTCCACTCAAGCTAGAGATATGAGGTTTAACTGATATTTCAAAGGATGAAGTTGTCCACTCAAGCTAGAGATATGAGGTTTAACCAATATTTCAAAGGATGAAGTTGTCCACTCAAGTTAGAGATATGAGGTTTGACTGATATGTTTAAAGGATGAAGTTGTCCACTCAAGCTAGAGATATGAGGTTTAACTGATATTTTTAAAGGATGAATTTGTCTGCTCAAGTTAGAGATATGAGGTTTAACTGATATTTTTAAAGGATGAAATTGTCCGCTCAAGCTAGAGATATGAGGTTTAACTGATATTTTCAAAAACTGAAGTTGTCCTCTCAAGCTAGAGACATGAGGTTTAGCTGATATTTCAAAGGATGAAGTTGTCCACTCAAGTTAGAGATATGAGGTTTGACTGATATTTCAAAGGATGAAGTTGTCCTCTCAAACTAGAGATATAAGGTGTCACTGATATTCCAAAGGATGAAGTTGTCCTCTCAAGCTAGAGATATGAGTTTTGACTGATATTTTGAAAGAATGAAGTTGTCCACTCAAGCTAGAGATATGAGGTTTAACTAATATTTTTAAAGGATGAAGTTGTCCACTCAAGCTAGAGATATGAGGTTTAACTGATATTTTTAAAGGATGAAGTTGTCCACTCAAGTTAGATATATGAGGTTTGACTGACATTTCAAAGGATGAAGTTGTCCTCTCAAGCTAGAGATATGAGTTTTGAATGTTTATTCATGAACTGTTTCTTCCAGCAACTGGATCCAGCTGAGAAGATCCCAGATGACTTCGTCGAGACCGACATGGATGAAGAGGTCCTCAAGTTGGAGTGTCCTGAAAACCTGACCAACGTCCAGGATGATGATGTAAGGAAATGCTGAATCTGTATATTTTAACTCACCCAGGAACCAAGCAAAATGACTGAAAATGACGTTTGATTTGTACTTACTGCAAGGAATTTGCATCAGAGATTCTTGTGGCTATCGTTAGAAGCCATCACCTGGGATACCAGTTTCACTGCAAATTGTCACTGATTTTGAGTTTGCATCTCTGTCGGATGGTTCCGGGGTTCGATCCCTGGAAGCATCATACCAAAAGACGTTAAAAGATGGTACTTGTTGTTACCCTGTTTGGCGCTCAGCATCAACGGGCTAAAACAAGGACTGATCAGCTCTGAGTCAGTATACTGTGTCTTGAGTGGGGGTATTCATTCATGTTAAACTGTAGCATGGTATCTCAGCGGGCCAGCACTATAAATCGGCATCAGTCCGAACTAGTACAGGCAGCGGCATACACACATGCATCCACATCGCTATATAAGTACAAAAATCTTGGATGTAATATTAAACCAAATTTCACCTCACCTCACCTCGCATCTCTGTAATGAGGTTAAGTCTAATAAATTCATTTTTTCTTCAAATTTGATAACTGATACCTGTTCGTAATCAAGAATGAAAGTGGTCCTTGTCATAACCCTATTGTTAAACGTTTAAGATTGAGAAGGTCCCCTGATTCAAATACTATGTGAACAAACCTGAAGGACATTTTTTTCGAAGACTGCGAATAATTTTTTGCAGAAATTAAATTCCAATGACCTGCATCATGATTATGAATGAACATGAATGATAATCATCAGTTTTCCTTAAGTTGGATCAAGATTTCTGGTGCCTGTTAAGTTCACTGTCAAAGTTGTCATTCTTTTGTTTTCAGATTGTCATTTGGGTGGACCCGTTGGATGGAACATCAGAATTTACAATAGGTCAGCACTCCATTATCATGTTTATAGCCTGTACATTCCAACTTTTAGTTAAATTTAGAGGATCAGTTTGGCCAGACTAGTATCATTTCTTGTTTTGCAGATTTTTCGATGAGCAAAATGATTTAAAAGTGATATCCAAGGTTGATTAGAGGATATTTTCTCATATTCTTGCAAAAACTGCTCTAACAAAGATTCAATAAATAAATGTCCAAAAGGTAAATTTAACTCTCAAATACAGTACGTTTGCCAAATATAAGGAGGGAGAGAGTGGGGATGGGAGTGAGTTGATTGTTAGGCTTAAAAAAATAATAGGATTGGTTCTCAGGTAAAGGCTTTTGAAATTATTGTGTGGGTGGGTGGTGGTTTTTTTGGCGGGGGTTGTTCAAGCTTGTATGTAACCAAATTTTGTTTACAATAATCTTGGGGAAATCATGTTCTTAAATATTGTAGCAGTTATCTGCCGGGATCGTTTGTTCGAGATGCAGAATATTGAAACATTTAAAAAAAAAATTCTTTGCAAAATGGAAATAAAAATGAAACGTGCGGCAGACTTTATGATGATGCGGGCAGCGCCTGAGAACGAAGATTATTATTTTTTTTAACCTTAAACAAGAAAATAAATTGATTTGACCTGATTGTATCTGTTGCTGGGGAACTTAATTCCTTGTTAATGACTTCTTCTATCACCTCTGTTACCATACTGCTTCTCCAACAATTGCAATAGATGCCTCAATATGCAGGTGCATCTAAAATGAAAGCACAGAAACCTGGATTACAAGTGGATCTCAGTAGCGCAGGAAGTAGGTTGGATGAGTTACCTCCCCTAGTCCTTGTCAAGTAGATGGAATGCATTGTGTTGACTTGCTGTGCATACATTTGCTTATGACAATCGCCTCTAACATAGCCTACACAAATCTGCTGCTGTGCCTTAGTCTACTTTGGCAGAACTTGACGTGTCCCTGTGTTGCTCTTTGTTTGAACAGTTGACAGTATTCTGTTCACATCCTGACATTATTGATGACCATGTTAACTTGGACAGGACTAGTTGACTAGTGAGAGGTGACTTTGTGCCATCTCCCTAGTACGTTCAATCTCATTAAAATCAGATCTTAGTTCTCGCTACCGCTAAACATAGATCTGAGGACATCCCATTACGGGTCACGTCAGACCGACCTTCGCGAACTTTGACCAACCAATGGAATGACCAATCAGAAGGCAGCTTTCTCGTGCTTTACGGCACTAATTTCAAATTGGCGACTACGCTTCAAAACATATTTTGACAAATTCTCGATTACAAATTTGAAACCTAAACATAAGAACATTCTGGAATGACTAATAGACGGTCTAGATTTTATGGATTCAGTCGTTAAACCCGTAACTATCGTTCAGAGTTAAAGTTTTCAAGGTTAAATGATTAGAAATCATTAGTGATGCTCTGATTGGTCGGATGTAAGGTCGTTCTGATGTGACCTCTAATGGGATGTCCTCAGATCTATGTTTAGCGGTAGCAAGAACTGAGGTCTGATTTTAATGAGATTGTAGTACGTTTGACCCACTTATTAACTTCCCCATCACTGAATCACCTACAAGAAACCAGTACACATGAAAAGTGTCTCGGTATTACACTGTAAGCAGTTAAAGCCATGGTGACTTTTGGTTGCTAATAAGCTTAACATTTCATGAACGTTTATCTTATGAACAAGATTGTATTGCTGTTGGTATATTTTGTTGAACAGTAAAAATAGTTGGTAATTGTTTAGAATTATTTAGAATGTTTATAACATATACATGATAGAGGCCCTCTTTTCTGTTCTTATTTAGTTATTTTGAGATCACTAGAAAAATGGGTAGATACTCTGAGCTGTCATTAATAAATGTCAGGATTTGAATACTTTATTCTACTCACCGCTCATACTCCCCACCCAACAGATCCTAAGCCCCATCCACAGTTCATATTGCCCACCCCACAGATCCTAAACCCCATCCACAGTTCAAATTGCCCACCCCACAGATCCTAAGCCCCATCCACAGTTCATATTGCCCACCCCACAGATCCTAAGCCCCATCCACAGTTCATATGCCTTCCCTACAGATCCTAAGCCCCAACCACAGTTCATATTGCCCACCCCACAGATCCTAAGCCCCATCCACAGTTCATATTGCCCACCCCACAGATCCTAAACCCCAACCACAGTTCATATTGCCCACCCCACAGATCCTAAGCCCCATCCACAGTTCATATTGCCCACCCCACAGATCCTAAACCCCAACCACAGTTCATATTGCCCACCCCACAGATCCTAAGCCCCATCCACAGTTCATATTGCCCACCCCACAGATCCTAAACCCCATCCACAGTTCAAATTGCCCACCCCACAGATCCTAAGCCCCATCCACAGTTCATATTGCCCACCCCAAAGATCCTAAACCCCAACCACAGTTCATATTGCCCACCCCACAGATCCTAAGCCCCAACCACAGTTCATATTGCCCACCCCACAGATCCTAAGCCCCATCCACAGTTCATATTGCCCACCCCACAGATCCTAAGCCCCAACCACAGTTCATATTGCCCACCCCACAGATCCTAAGCCCCAACCACAGTTCATATTGCCCACCCCACAGATCCTAAGCCCCATCCACAGTTCATATTGACCACCCCACAGATCCTAAGCCCCATCCACAGTTCACATTCCCCACCCCACAGATCCTAAGCCCCAACCACAGTTCATATTGCCCACCCCACAGATCCATATTCCCACCCACAGTTCTCCAGTCCAACCCCACAGGTTCTATCCATAGCAAATTTCAGTCTTTGAACTTACCATAATCAATCAAGCTTAAGCATGATTTTGTGTTTTGTGGACAAGATTGCAGATTGTTCTCTTTGTTATTGTTGTTAATGTTATTGCCAAAGTGATTCTATGGATGTGATAGGTGTGATAGCATACTAATGCTGTTAATACTGTGAAAGGTGTCACAAGGTTCATTCTTATGTTCGGCATTAGCACATTAATTTCAACTATGATGCAAGACATATTACCGGTCCCAACGTCCTGTACCAGGTGTTTGGGTGCATGTTTTTGATTTCATAAACATAACATGCACATATGCCATGTACAGATCCAGGAATGATCTAATCATGTGGCAGGTAAATTAGGAGACAAATGTCAATTTTTGAACTTATCCTCATTCACCTGAACACACCAAACATCACCATGGTCACCTCCCCGCAATCTGGGTCATGCATGTTAACCCACACACGCTGAACACGTGGTTTCCCCCGCCAACTCATTCTCTTTCTAACAGCCACCTTGTGGTGACATGTTTCTACACAAGGGGATTCATTTTTTTTTTCATTTTCAATTTCAATTTACCCCCTTCTTTTCCTACTAGTCATGTTTCATCATGGATGAAAAGTCCACGTGGGGTCCTGTGTGTCTTGCTTGCAGACGTTGTTTTTTTACCATCATACCCGCATGATGTGTGTTCTGATTGTCAATTGATGTTGCAGCACATTGGCGCGATGTGCCCAATGTGTGGATTTGCCTGATGAATCCTTTTGTATTTACTTGCACAAATGTTGGGGCTGTGAGCTAGATAGGCTCTCTAAAATCTCATACAAAATAACTAAAACCAGGAAACTCCGGTAAAAAAGCGAAACTATTAGCACCTTCATTGAAAACGGATTCGTTGAACTCCGCTATTCCTCTTCCTCTTGCCGAGATAGAGTTTGAATGCACTCACCTCTCACCTCTGCTTTGGGCATGTGTTGTTGGGTAGTGGATCGACGATCCTCTTGTGGATATTGTAGATCGTTCCTCTTCTCATCCTTACCTATTGATTCAACCACCGAGACAGTGATGGCGGGTTTTGACGAAGTGTAAAAGGAGATTCCAAGTTGGTTGGTCCTATCATCAATGGGAGATAGTAATACACAAATCTTGTAGAATCAATTAGCTGGATACATTCTGAATCGATTATAATTTTAGCTTAACAATTACACTCACTCACGTATGAACATGTTACACATATTGCAACACAAATGTGTTTTCCTCTCTTCACGTACATGTGTCTGTGTGAGTGTGTCATCTATATCCATGAGCTTTGTCTTAGGACACTAGACAGTGTTACTTAATATGGTTTTGGGGGCGGTCGGGTAGCTTAGTGGTTAGAGCGTTCGCTCGTCACACCGAAGACCCGGGTTCGATTCCCGACATTGGTACAATGTGTGAAGCCCATTTCTGGTGTCCCCCGCCATGATATTGCTGGAATATTGCTAAAAGCGGCGTAAAACCATACTCACTCACTCACTCACTAATATGGTTTTAAATCACATTTTACAATAAGTTGTATATCTAAAATACTTGTCCTATCTCACCCGACAATCCCCACATCACAATTCCTCTAGCCCATTAAGCTCCAGAAAGAGAATGAGTTGGGTCGGGAAACCATGTCTTCAGCATGAGTGGCTCAACCGGCAAGAAAATCATGCATGACCCAGATTGCTGGGAGGTGACCATGGTGATGCTAGGTGGGTTTCGGTGAATATGTTTAGTCACGTTTCCACTTAAGTATTATGAATATACAATTAATTGTAAAATTTACAATTTTCTTAAAATTGGGATTATTTCCTATTTTCAGAGGTTTTTGAACATTGCATTCAATACAAGAATGTAAAGTGAAGCCTCTTCCTGTTTTTTGTTTTTGTTATCAGTGGGGGCACGGGTGGCCCAGTTGTCTAAGGCGCCGAGATTCGCTGTGCAGAGTTGCGTCCCTTGGGCATGCCAGAAACCTATGATTGTGGGTTCGAATCCCGGTTCGCCCCGATTATGTTTCTAGGTTTGTCAGCACCATACCAGTGCTCGTGGGTTTCACCGAAGTGGTAAACGACTGAGACTTGCATCACTTCGACTTTCCTCCCACATTAAGCTGACACGACGTGATATAACTGGAATACTGTTTAAAGCGGCGTTAAACCCAACTCACTCACTCACTCACTTCTGTTATAAGTGGAATTCAAGCAACCACAGCACAATCATTACATTAGTTAACTATTTTAACATGGAATAGGAACTTATTTCAGTTTCCCATTTGGGAAGTTTTACTGACAATTGCTACAAACTTGGGGCTGAATATGAGCCACTGAGCAGGCCTAGTTAAACCGTTGCAGAACCCTATCTTGTTGGGCAGGTGTGAAAACAGGTCATTCATATTGTTTAAGGTGAATCTTTTAGTGTCATGGTTTATTTGGAGAAGTAGTAGATACATATTTAACATGTTAAACGTGACATCTCTAATCATGCTAATTGTTTTGAACCAAAATGATTGCAGGCTTTACAAATGCCTTTTCAACCCAATAATGTAATTTTGCAGCCCAATCTCATTAATATCACATCAAGTTTACTCCAATAAGATACCTCTCTGCGTGAAGAACTGAGGACACTCCATAATAGGTTGCATCAGGTGAACTTTCTACTGACCCAGTCAGTGATGAGGCCTCTAAATTGTCGATACAAATGAGTGAAGCATTCAGACTAGCATATCTGATTTCTGTAAATTGAGAACTAGGGCTGTAACAATTCACCGATACCTATGATGACATAGGTTCACACGATACTTGAATCATCAGTTTGTGAGATTGCGATATGTTATAAATAGATCAGGAACCAATAGAGTTACCTCCCTTAATGGCAGAAGTAGCATAGTGCTACCTGTAAGCATGGCAGGACACAAGGACGTGGTAGCTGGGACACACTCACTAACTGTTACATTTGATAACCATCCCTTCATTTAAAACTGTTTTGTTCTTGTGGTTTTCTTTAATAACAAAAAATAAATGTATGAAGAAAGAGGTAGAGCTGTATTTCAGTGATTTCAGCATTTTTTACTTTTTGATGTTGTGTATTGTGATACCGGTAGTATCATCAGTCTGTACCGTGATACGAGGTGATACGAGGTGATACTCAGCTCTATTGAGAACAGGGTTGAATGAACTGAAACAACAAGTTCTGAGTGTAGATAAATAATTCCAAGCCATTATAGCGTTATGGATATTTTACACAGCCTGTCATGTTTGAAAGCCATGGCATCACCAGGCATCTACACCCAAAAGGTACCCGTGAAGATCTGGGGTAGAATACGTCTTTAGCAACCCATGCTTAGTGTTAAATGTGACCATGCTTGTTGTAAGAGGCAACTAACAGGATCGGGTAGTCAGGCTTGCTGACTTGGTTGATGCATGTCATCATATCCCAATAGCGTAGATCGATGCTCACGATGTCAATCACTGGATTGTCGGTCCAGACTCGATTATTTACAGACCACCGTCATATAGCTGGAATATTGCTACGTGTGGCGTAAAACAACAAACAAACAAACACCCATAAGGAAGTACCAGTCAACGAATATTTATGTTCTGCATGGGTTGTCTTTTGCTCAAAATGAAGCCAGACCATCTCAGAAAGAGGACAACTAATTGGAAAGGAAAGGAAAACTACACTACATCCTAACAGTACCATTATACTTTTAGAAATGACATATATTTAATGTTTTTCAGTTTCATTTGGTCATCATATCAGCTGAGAATGCCCTGTTTCCTATGTTGTCCTACAGGTCTGCTGGATCATGTGACAGTGTTGATTGGTGTAGCAGTCAAGGGCAAGGCGGTTGGAGGAGTGATATATCAGCCGTATCACAATTACCAGCTGGGGGATGAAAACAACTTTGGGCGATGTATATGGGGAATTATTGGTCTAGGTGAGTGACATGTTATTATAGGCCTACCCATGTGGCTCTCACGCAGCTAGGCACTCATTGTTGTGAGGGGATTTCAAGTGAGAACTGCCCCTTAGCGACCTCTACTAGTTGTCAGGCTTGGTGACTTTGTTGTCAGCATGTCAGCATACCCTGACGATGTGAATTGGTGCTCATAATATCAATCACTGGATTATTTGGTCTAGATGATTATTGACAGGCTATGACATGCATGGGGACCTGGTTTGGAATAGATAAGAGGCAACTAATATGGATCAGCCGGTCAGAATCGATCACTTGCTTGATAACGGTGTTCGAACCTACACCGAAATGTCGCTCCTGATTGTAATAAAGAAGTTGTTCATCCATATATCTTATCCTTACTTAGTACTCTAAATGCCTCTCAAAGAACGAAGAAGACTGACAAGACAAATCTTATTTTCTGTTTTTACACAACATTAATCATGCTTTCATGATTTATGTTTTTAGGAGCTTATGGCTTTACAAAACAGATGCCCCCAAAAGATCAAAACATCATAACTACAACAAGATCACACTCTACTAGAACTGTTACCGAAGCAGTAGAAGCAGTGGAGCCAACAGAGGTGGTGCGGGTAGGAGGGGCAGGGCATAAGGTGAGTTGATCAGGTGGTTGGGGTGGGGCATAAGGTGAGTTGATCAGGTGGGTGGGGTGGGGCATAAGGTGAGTTGATCAGGTGGTTGGGGGTGGGTGGGGGGGTGCCCTAAGGTGAGTTGATCAGGTGGTTGGGATAGGGCGTAAGGTGAGTTGATCAGGTGGGTGGGGTGGGGCATGAGGTTAGTTGGTCATGTGGGAGGGTTTGGGCATAAGGTGGGTTGATCAGGTGGGGATGGGTGGGGCATAAGGTGAGTTGATCAGGTTGGGATGGGTGGGGCATAAGGTGAGTTGATCAGGTCAGGATGGGAGGGGCATAAGGTGAGTTGATCAGGTTGGGATGGAAGGGGCATAAGGTGAGTTGATCAGGTGGGGATGGGTTGGGCATAAGGTGAGTTGATCAGGTGGGGATGGGTTGGGCATAAGGTGAGTTGATCAGGTCGGGATGGGTTGGGCATAAGGTGAGTTGATCAGGTGGGGATGGGTTGGGCATAAGGTGAGTTGATCAGGTCGGGATGGGTTGGGCATAAGGTGAGTTGATCAGGTCGGGATGGGTGGGGCATAAGGTGAGTTGATCAAGTGCGAGGGGTTGGGCATAAGGTGAGTTGATCAGGTGGGAGGATGGGACATAAGGTGAATTGATCAGGTGGGAGGATGGGACAGAAGGTGAGTTGATCAGGTCGGGATGGGTGGGGCATAAGGTAATTTGATCAGGTCGGGATGGGAGTGACATAAGGTGAGTTAGTCAGGTATGACGGGGGCATGATGTGAGTTCCTTTTTCATACATGAAATAGTGTAGAAAATATTGGAAATATTGCAAACTGTAATATCATAGTTATTCATCCGGTATGATCATTTGATATGTTGTTACTTGCTGATTACAGGTGCTGCTTCTGATAGAAGGGAAAGTCCATGCATATGTGTTTGCCAGCAAGGGCTGCAAGAAGTGGGACACCTGTGCCCCAGAGGCCGTGCTTCATGCGATAGGGGGGTCCCTGACAAACATGCTGGGGGAACCCATCTTGTACCATCGGGATGTTCAAAGGAAGAACTCCGAGGGGGTTCTGGCTACATTAGCCAATCATGAGTGGTATCTCAATAAGATACCCGAGGACATTAAACAAGAGTTCCGACCAGAACCACCTGTCAGTGGTGACAGTGGAAGCAAGATTTAGAACATAGGAACACTTTATAGGCTATTATTTGATTAGGCAGCTGTGTATTTTAAGCATTCTATAGAAATCCTAGAAACCAGTTGTACTTGTAAAAATCAAAATGGTGATGGTAGGATTAAAATATTTCAAACTCAAAATGGTTTCCTTTGTTGTTTAATGGTGCTTAAAATCAGAATCTGAATATGTTATTTGTAGAGGAAGTAATTGTCAGTATTGTGATACTTGTAAATTCTTTGATACCTGTAAAATGTTTTGTCAGGACATTATTTTTGTGATATTGTCTAAGGGCGTCTTTCAATAGCTAACTTGTGAGTATGACATTTACCTCACCGCTGAAATACCAATGGCAACGACCTTCATGACCCGTCTCTGGAGCAGGATATTGTTATGAATTTAGAATACAATGATGGGTAGAGACTATATTACAAAATAGATCAGCAGGCATTTTTTAGGTGGCCCTGTGGCAACAGTGTTGGCTTGCCCTGATGGTAGATCCGGTTTAGTTTCTTGTCCTTAGGCATCATTCAACATCTGGTGTTCCTACCTGCTATACCTGGCAATGATGTTGATAGCGCATAGGGTTTTTAGAGAAGAAAGTTTGTATTTTTCATATTGCATTTTTAGATGTGTATAGCAAATGATGTTTAGTAGACGGTTGCCTTTGATAAGCCCTTGCTGACGGATATGTGGATATCACATAAGAACATTTGTATTCAAGCACAGTTATTTGTTATGATCATACTGTTTGTTAAGCAGAGCTTTTATAGTGGTACTAGGTATGACAATCAAAAATATATGGTACCTGCTTTAGTTGCACAAAATAGATGGTACTTTTGATACCACAGTTCCTGCAGTTATTATATACCAAAAGTTTGTAAATGTTATAAGTTTAATGTTGTTAGTTTTGCCTTCTTAAGATGTGCATAGATGAAAGATTTAATATTTACATATATATTTTCTATCTATACGCAATACTCTTGTAATGAAGACATGGAGACAAAGGTATATCCCTGTAAAACATTGGATGAGAAGCCATGTGATTAAATACTCCAAAGATGTGGGAATTTCAAAGAGAGCAGATTTCTTCTGTGTGGAGAACAACCTTGGTTTGTAGCACACAGCTGCAGGAAATCAGGAGTTGTGAAGATGGATTCATAAACGAGTCTCTGTATGGATGTTGGTTTGATACATTCAGCTTTATCATGTTTATGTATCCTGGCCAGTAATCACTCGTGTAGTGTCGTATCACAAGCATGTATCACAAGACTGTATCATGTCTCACCGGTTGTACTGAGGGGACAGATTCTCACACCTTACATTCAGTTTCAGATGAATTCATGGTAAAACATTGTGTGTTTTTAGATTTGCAAGTTTTATTAAGTATACTATAAGTTGAAATTTTAACATTTGAAACCTGACTAACAATGTCAGTTCCAAGTGAAAGAACATTTATAAACACTGTAAACAGTCAAACACAATTTTATCAGTAAGTTTCAATTCTCTCTCTCTGTCTTTCCAAATATTGCCTACCATTAGGCTCTAAAATCGAATAGGTTCTGTTTTATGGTCTTGTTTAGTGTTGTTTAGCCTTGTCTGACCTAGTGATAAATACCCCGGTATAAATGAAGTAACTGAAAGAACCAGCATAAATAAATTACTAACATCAATATTTTAGTTAACATGGTGGGTTCAAAGCATTTTAGAATTGTCTGGGACTGGTTGAGGGAATGAGTGTGTGAGAGACCCCTCAGATAAATGTAACACCCAGTGCTATGATATATGAAATGACATAACCTCACTACATATATAATATCACTGCCTAACTGTATCTCACCCTAGTGCTATAACCCATACTGTTGCTTGTACATCCCGTAGTTTCATCTCAACTATATATGTTAATTTGTGATGTAGTGTTACTAAAATTTCATGTATTTTAAGGTTACAACTTACATTGTTTTATGCAGCCTGTATAACTGTCGCACTTCTTCTCAGAATATGTCTCTGTGTACATTTTATTGAATACATACGGTATGTCTTAATTCTTGTGTGCATAATTCATTTACATTACAGTTTTTTTCCAACTGAAAGACTGATTCCAGCACAATGTATATCTGAGCATTGGCTGGTTACATTTTTTTAACATTCCATGTGATTTTGTGCTGCAGATTTAATGTAGTGTTAGATGTTGAAACAAATAACACTCACTACCTTTAGTCACTATGAGCTCAGGGCTTTGACAGTGTCATCAAACTTGTCTATTTCCGTTGTGTTTTCCTTATTTTAGATATCGAATTGTTTCATTGTGATTCTGTTTCCAGTTTCAAACTCCCAACATGTTTATGCCAAACCTAGATCTATTTTTATTCCTATCAATGTACATGGTGACCAAATATATTTCTAGATTAATACAAATGCTCAAAGGATAATTTAACTATGGAAAATAATAAATTTTGAAAACCAGGTAATCCAAACCATGATTATTGAAAACCTTTTTGGGAGAACCAGTTTATTTGCATTTTATAAACATGAAATTTGTCAATGCTTTTCAGTCCTGCCAGTCCATAATCACCTGTCACAAACCAATCTTTATTGACCCAAATATGACTTTCATCTCACTCGTCCACTCTCTTTTGTTAGGACTTTCCTTGGAGGCCATTTAGTAATGAACTGCAATTTACATCATTTCCTTGTTTGTTGTGAAGATATCTTTTCAGAAGTGGGTAATTTGAAAAGACACCAACTTATGTCTGTACAAGATGTGTTGATCATTAAATTGTAACTTGTGAAACCTGCTTTGTGGGTTATTGTGTGCTTGGAAAGTCACACATTTTAGCCATGTCTCTAGCCGTCTTCCGACTGTGCTCACCGATCATACATGTTTATACACTTTGTAATAATATTTTGTTAAACACGTTATGCCATTTATTTGTTTCAACTGCATATTAATGTGCCTTTTTTTCATTTGCTTTTTGTGCACAATCATTCAATAATGTGCCTTCTTGTCAGTGTTTCATAGTTAAGCCTGTCGGCAAGTGTTGCAATGTTATAAACCAGAAGATACTTGGTCTGTGACTTGGAGTGTGTATTTCTGCAAGAACAATACCAAGGAAGTACCTGCACATGGTTGTGAACATATTTGATACAATATTGTTTCAAAGGATTGTATTTTGTCACAAACATCGGGAGTTTTAGTTTCAAAATGTTTCCCTTCTTGTGTGTCAATATGGACTTAACATTGGAGTGCCATTTTACATAGCAATTTATGTAAACATCTGTCATGTATAACCGTGTTTAGGAAATACTTTTAGAGGAGAAAGAAATTGAACATGTAAGACGATCTTATGTAATTGCTTGAAATGCATTTGAGAGCTGATGGGATCAGTTTTAATGACGATAAGAGACGCCTCTGAAGTCTTCCTTGGGAATAATTTTCTTTTATCATTTCATACGTGATCAGTCTTATAGTTGTATTTGGGTCCTGTCATCATTGTTGCTCTACTCAAGATTAAGTTTTCATTTTCTCCATGTCGTTAAAGATTTAATCAATAAAACGTAGAACTTCTGCTAAATGCCTTATCTTTTCTAGTAGCCACTAAAGAATTGGTTCACATCAGTGATCACAGCCATATTGAAACTATGATCTAGTTGAAAACTACAGCGCTGAATCATGGTCTTCCTGTCAAGGACTTGAAAAACAGGATCACTTCACAGCACAGTGCATGGTTAATGAATGTGATAATGTACTGTTAGTCATCCTCAATTTCTGTTAAAAGAACATTTGTGATGAACTTAATCAACACCTGTAAATGATGCCAAGATTTGACAAATACTAGGTTGGAAACATGTCTGTTTGGAAATGCAATATCCAGTGTCGTTTTCCTTTATGCCTATAAGAACATTCCCATCATTCCATATTCTAGAGGCAGGGGTGTTAACTGACTATAAAAAGTCCAGCTTCCACCTTTGCAGAACAAGGATGGAATTTCAGAGTTACATTTTGGCTGGACAAAGGAGTCATGAATAGTCCAATCAAAATCGCGTAACAAACTAGACAACCGGAGGGTAAACATAGATTTCAAAGTACGATCGAGCCCATAAATTCCAACCTCGTTCGGCAAGGGTGGCAACTGGACTTTCATTGTCAATTAACTCCCTTTCCGCAGGAAGATGCCATCATACTTGGCTGCTGTGCAATTCTGATGTCAATGAACAAAAGACAATCCTACTACACTGCAAAGAATTTATTCATTTGCATTTGTTGATGTATTCCATTGGTTAACCAAATATATACATATGAAACACAAAACATATTACATCATCATGAATGGCCTTCACATTTGGACGTTTTTAATATTCTATTACCAGCTATGCCACAATGTGATCAGTTATATTTACAAACATTACATATCACGAAATTGTCCCATGTTATATGAATAGATAAGAACTAACCAAAAGAATATCTTGATATATCAACGGACTGAAAGAAACATGGAAATTTAAACCAAATATTAATCTAAACACAAGTTTTAACATGGAACTCCTAACATGATAAATCAGTACAATTACAACATTGTAGACTGCAAAAATATGAACACAACATTACTGAAGGGAAGTTATCAGTAATATTGAAGAATTATTAAAACAGGTTAGTAGTTAATACTTGAGTCAACAAGAGAATATTAAAGCCAAATCACTTTGGTTTGCAATGTTCCAGATATCTTGAACAACAATACACCCAATCTCATTAAATTCACCTATGGTGGTGTCCTCTGATCTTCCCGCAGAGAAGAATCGTATCAGAGTAAAAGACCAAATTTACATGAGATTGAGTGAGTGAGTGAGTTAGTATGCTTTTACTCCGCTTTTAGCAATATTCCAGCAATACCACGGCGGGGGACACCAGAAATGGGCTTCACACATTGTACCCATGTCGGGAATCGAACCCGGGTCTTTGGCGTGACTAGCGAACGCTTTAACCACTAGGCTACCCGACCGCCCCTTATATGGGTTAAGACAAGGACCCTTTGACTTTCATGCTTGGTTAAAAAACCCAGGACAGATCATATCGGGGGAAATCTTGGTTGTGAACTGAAGACAAAAAGTTCTTGCCAGCAAAGGGAGTTAACTAGGTACAGTTAGTGGAAATCTTATTTCACTAGTCATCAGAGTTTGCTGCTAGTTCTTTCTGAATGGGATGAAAATGCTTACATTTTCTATCAGCTGTATTCAGTTCCAATTAGAAGAAAAATTGAAGCATTTGGGTGAGTACTAGAGAGTTAAGTTTAACGCCGCTTTGAACAGTATTCAAGTTATATCAAGGCATGTCAGCTTATGTCCGAGAAAAACCTAAAGTGATGTAGGTCTTAGTTTTCCACTCTGGTGAAACCCACCGTCATAGGCATGGTGCTGACAAACTTAGAAAAATAATCGGGGCAAACCGGAATTTAAAACCTACGATCACAGGTTTCTGGTGTGCCTAAGGGATGCAACTCTGCATAGCAAATAATGGCACCTTAGACAACTGGGCCACCCATGCCCCCTCTGGAATTACAGCCCTCAAATACTACTTGTCAATGAAGACTACTGTCACTGGATCTTCACTTGTCCTCAGCACAATATAGTAGATCCTGGCTGTGGCTTTAGTAAAACCAATGTAGCATTGTGAGTCGGGTTGCATGAATAATAAGGCATGGTCAGCATCATTCATTAGAAATTTATTATTAATTGACTGAGGTATCTGGGCATATTGGTTAAAAACTACAGAGACAGAATAAAAAAAACTTGATAAACCCTAGATTTGTTTGTTTGTTAAAGAATTTGTTTCAGCATTTTTGTAAAAAAGAAGAATTTTGTATTGCGACTGTTCATCGTCTATAAATGTTGGTTAAATATCCCTCTGTTAATTTTCTTTTCTTGGCACAGGAGTCCCACACTGTTGACTAAAATTGATGTGAACATGACAATGGTAATATTTGTTTATTTGTTTGTTGTTTAACGCCGCACTCAGCAATATTCCAGCTATATGACGGCGGCCTTTAAATAATCGAGTCTGGACCAGACAATCCAGTGATTGACATCATGAGCATCAATCCACACAATTGGGAAACGATGACATGCATCAAACAAGTAAGCAAGCCTGACCCCGATCACGTTAGTCGCCTTTTATGGCAAGCATGGGTTGCTGAAGACCTATTCTACGACATGTAAATAAAACCCTTTGACAACAAGTACATATTGCTGCAGAATATAGCTTTTGCACATGTTTTGCCACAAAACAAAGATCTGAGGACATCCCATTATGGGTCACGTCAGAACGGACTTTTGTGAACTTTGACCGACCACTGAAATGAATAACAAGAAGTCGACATCAGCCAATTGGAAAGCTGCTTTCTCGAGCCTTACAGCACTCGTTTCAACCTGGCAACTTCCATTTCAGACTAAGCTTGAAAAAAATGTTCTCGATTAAAATTTTGAAAACTGAACAAACGAACATTCCGGAATGTCTAATATATGGTTGAGATTGTATGGCAGTGCTTCCCTCGTACTGTGTAATGCCTCCTCCGTTCAAATGTTTATCCTACGGAAGCAAGAGATAGACGATAATTTTGACGGAATCAGTCGCAGGGCCGTAACTGTCGTCCGGATACCCTGTGTTCACGTTTTCGAGGTTGCATGATTAGAAAACACATTCCGACTATCACTTTCATGATCTGGTAAGCGACGCTTTGATTGGTTGGATGAAAGGTCGTTCTGATGTGACCCGTAATGGAATGTCCTGAGAGCTTTGTTCAGCAATAATGAGAACTAAGATCCGATTTTAATGAGATTGTAACTTGAAGGAAGTCTCCATATCCAATACATCAGTATTTAATAAAGTATAAAACAAGACATAGTTGCTGTTCCCCAGACTTCCAAACTTGATGCAGTAAGGTAATGACCCTCATGTTGGCTTGGGTAATCCCTGTCCAGACTTGGTGCAATGGGAGACAATTTTCATCTTTATATACACTGGCACATAATAGTTTCCATTACTGCCCTCAGGCATGATACGGAAACTATTACTAGTTTAGGCTTTGAACACAACTGCAACATACATCACGATAACCTACTCCTCATGACACACGTCCGAGTAACTGGTCAATCTCAACCAGATATTGGTATTCTTCTTCAGCCCACATGGTCAATACTGCTGCTGATCTTTTGAACGCCATAACATGTACAATTTAATTATCAAAGCAATCATCAGCATAAAAGCTTCTGACTTGCCAAGTCTTATTTTTGATTTTTGCATATTCACACACATAATACATGTGTATAATAAAATTCATACATATCCAATAGCACTGCTTAACTGTCCTTGGTCCATTAATTATTTACCAACACACTGTAACACATTGCACACAGGCAAATTGGAAGGAAGTCTGTATTTACATAATACTGAATAAGTTAACTGTCTACTGCCAACTCCTCAATCCATGTCATAACAAGGAGGAGCGTCTGAAGGATCGCAGTCTCCGTAACACAACGTTTCCTGACTGTCTTGTTGTTGGAGGAGAGTCTACTGATTCTTTCTTTGCCTTCTTTGTGCTCTTGCTACTCTCTGGTTTTATGCGATGTCTGCTGTATGGTGTTTTAGGTGTGGCCACTCTGTTTGGACAGGACCTGAAATGAATAACAGTAATAAATCAGTGTGCATTTGGGGACAAAAAGGGAAAATCAGTATATAATTTAGCTGTCTGTGGTTTGACACTGAGTTGGAGAAAAGCAGGCTTGGGGCTATGACATGAAATATGTTTAGTTACAAATGAACAAAGTAAAATTGGAACATTTAATTTATATACTTATTTAACCACACATACTTTCTACAACAACCAAAGCAAGTTACTGTACAAAACCAATAGCATGTTAAAGATTGGACAACTACGCATTTATTGAATTGTGTTATGAAACATCCTTGTAAACTGATCAAGTATGTTACCTCAGTGTAAAATGACCCCTCATTTAGAACTTGGAAGAATTACACATACACATAAAATTGGGTTTCATATTAAACAGTAAAAGGTTATAGAAAGCAAATAGTTTATGATGATGGCCATGATATATCTGTCCAGGAGAGAACAGCTACCTGACATGGTCTTCTAGTTCCCACTGCCACAGTTCCACATCACAACCCTTGTTCTCACACAACTGTACACCCAGACATCTCATCATCTCCAGATTGTCATCAGGAATATCAGGTCTGCCAGGCAAATAATACATGTACAATAACATTAAATTAACGATGTCACTAATACTCCCTATATTTCGTGATATTGATGTATCTGCAAATTTTTAATGTCAAGAAGATGATGTATGAATACTTTTTTATGAATATCGATACAAAAGCAATGTTTAGATTTATTACAATTACCATGGTTGAAAAGGACAATGGGAAGGCAGGAGAGAAAAGTTGGCATTTGTACCCAATGACAAATCATGATATTAGAGAGAACATGTTCTCATTTATTTATCAGCCAGATTACATTAGCTTAAGTTTTTAAATAAACTGTTAACATGATTAACTAGAAACATATATCATCATATGTAAAGTTCTGATTAACAAGGTCATAAAATTCTGTCATCAGTGGTCGTAGAACGGAAAATCATCAAAATGCAATACATCTGTAGATTATTGTCATAATCCATGTACTCTTTCCTTAGCAAATAAGCACAATACTGATGTCAATATAGTCACGGAACATTTAACATGCTATCCATTATGAAAACAGAAATTAATCTGCTCAAATTTATAAGCAGAACACTTAAACATAATGTAAATTAATTGTTAACATATACCCAGGTCGTCAAGTTGAACTGTTAACATGATAGAACTCTCTCTGATTTATATACAGCTAATTCCAAAAAGATCTTAACAGCAATAAATTTACAATGTGACAATGGTCAGCAAACATTATCATGAAGTACTCTGTATTCAGAAACACAGTTTAACCTTACCTGGTCTTGGGGAAAGCGCTGTCCATTTGACAAGTTGGACATTTTATCATACTTGTTCTTATGTTTCCTCCTGCATCATAGAGACAGTCAACACAGAAGTGGTGTTGGCAGTACCCATAAACCATGTGTAGTTTAGGACACAAACACACAGCACAGTTGAACCTATAACATGCACATTAACATAATAACCTTACACATAATCATCTTTCAAAAGAATATTAGTAGGCCCTGACACAGGTATTTGTAATGTTGGTATTCAGGACCGGGATAAATACAGATCATGGAGTAATAAGCCAATTGAAGAATAATACCTCTGTTGGAGTAAGTCTCATACCCAATTTAGTTTACAATGTTTCAGTATAGAAACATATGCATTTTAGTATAAAGTGTTTTTTCAGTGTCATTCATGATAAAATCTTCAGTTTGAACACAAAATTGTTCTGAGAAATCTTTTATCAACCTAATACAGAATTCGCCATTGAATGGGTGCATGTTTGTTGCCTAAGTCCAGCATTATTCCAGCTATATGTCAGCAGCCTGTAAAAACATCAAACTTGAACCAGACAATTCAGTGATTCATTTTATGAGTAGCCTTATGATCCACACTGTTGGGATATGTTGTGACAACATCGACCAATTCATCAAGCCTGCCTGCCCACCCAATCCATTTAGTTGCTTCATACGGCCAGCTTAGGGACATATTCTAACCTGGGATCCCCACATGTATCATGAGAGATATTGTGCCACATCAGTAATTAGTGATGGTATGAAGATATCAAAATTGTATATATGCTGAAACTAGTTACAGACAATACTATGTTTATGATACTATACTTCTAGACATCTAAGGCTATATATTATGTAGGTGCATGGTCTGGTCACTCAGCAATGATACCAGAGCCATGGACCCTCTGCTAAAATGAATGTCTGGTAGCATCATTATTTGATAGTGATTCATAAACATATGCTCATGATTAGTTATAATCATACAATCGATTGTTTATTACAGAGATTTCATATCAATACAGAAAGGGGTTTGTTGCTTTTATTTACAATAGTGAATAGGCCTAAAATGGGTGAAGTAAATTATCTGATTGTTAACATACATATTAAATGGCCGATATCAAAGATAAAACTTCACTTCGATGTTTTTATTGAAATTATATAGATTTAGAACACCACAATTGTCATTGGAAAATATTGTCTGCTGCATTTAACAGCATATTTCAACATGTTCAAATTGGATGCAACTACGCAAGTTGAATGACAGTCAATATATATTAGGTCTAGCTGCATTTGGTTCACGAATTTTGTGAACGTGTCAGGCGGTACAAGGATAAATATGTCAAACCCTTACAATGATTCGTATTGGGTCCCTGAAAATGACTTAACTGGACAGCCCTGTACGGTACAAACGAGACATCTCAACACATTGTCTATTGTTTGTGTCGATGTAAACATGAGACAAGCTGACGCCCCATTTTGGAAGGTACAGATTCCACTCAAATGATCACTAGGCTACGTATAGGCTAGATGAATAAGAGGAACAATCTTAAACAGTGACATTACCTTTGTTCGTAATTGTTTTGGGTTTCTAGAATAGACTCTGCAAGACCAGACATTATAATAACATGAATAATTTGACTTTGAAAACGCTGGCTTCTGGGCTTTGCAAACTCCCGCTTGACAGGCCACGTGACCAAATCACAACATACGATTGGATTCCGTGAAAATGCGAGCAGAAGGTTCGAGGATATCCTAGTTGTTAGGGAGGTCTCATTTCGCGAACCTGAAATCAGACGTGACTGAGGCCACGGCACTTGACTATGGACACTAAGGCAGCATACCACTAAAAATAATTGATCATATTAATCAGCTCAATTCTGGAAACGCAAATAAATGTCACATATGGAAATACAGTGCGCGTGGTTTACTAATTCTTACTTTCACATAGATCTATGTCTGTGTATTCCCTTATTTGACAAAGAGTGAATGAGTGAGTATATATATAGTTCTACGCCGCTTTTAGCAATATTACAGCAATATCACGACGGGGGACACCAGAAATGGGCTTGACACATTGTACCCATGTCGGGAATCGAACCCGGGTCTTCGTCGTGACGATATTTGAGAAAGAACATTTCAAATGAAAAGAAACAATTACGTTTCCTACCAGTAACATGAATAGGTAGAATAGGTCTTCAGCAACCCATGCTTGCCGTAAAAGGCGAATATGCTTGTCGTAAGATATGACTAACGGGATCGCGTGGTCAGGCTCGCTGACTTGGTTGATGCATGTCATCCATCCCAATTGCGTGGATCGATGCTCATGATATTAATCACTGGATTGTCTGGTCCAGACTCGATTATTTACACACCGGCGTCTTATAGCTGGAATATTGCTCAGTGCGGCGTTAAACAACAAACCAACCAACCAGTAACATGAAAAAAGTTTTTGTTCTCCTAAGAAGCAGGCTCTGTTGATATTTCTGCACTCATACACATTTGAATATTCCAAATAAATAACTACATATTTAGTTATTAACATAAATATATGGCTCTTGTGTTATATTTTTGACACATCAATATTACACGAGGTTACCTTTACTTTCATTTCAATTTGTTTTCAGGAGAAACCAACAAGTATTTCGGGCAGGCGAATGAAACTTCTTACATTGATTCGTTTGATTAATTGATGTGTGAGTTAGGTTTAAACCCACAGAATTATTGTACAGCTCGTCAGCTTAATATGGGAGAAAAGAAATAACACATGTCCGCTGAGCATCTTGTTAAGTGTTCATGCCCAACCGAATGCAAGTACCTGGAACATTTTGGTGAAACCCACGCCTAAGGGAAGCAACTCTGCACAGCGAATTGCGGCGCCTTAGACATGGATCACTTGACATACTTTTAATGAAAACGAACACGTACAAATATCTTCCTAGGGAAGATGACTAAATGTCTATGATCTTACGAGCAAGATTTTTCGAAAATACGACTTGTTTGAGTACTTTTCCTTGCTCTGCCTATTATAAATGTTTGAGTGTTTATGAAACTGGTACAGCTTAATGAGGACAAGAAATCACGATGGTCTTACCACCATCCTCCATTATCCAGTGTCATTAATCTCATAATAGATTGGAGATATATTATACTTGATTATCGAGGATTTTATACTATATATGAGAAGCAACCTTTGATATTCATAATGTGGACATGTGACTGGTACATATACAAATTATGCTTAATGAAAAATGATAATTAATGACGTTCGATATGCAAGTTCATTTCAGCCAATAACGAACCTCCTATATGATATGAATAATGTGTCCCCTGGGGATCCGGGTTAGAATAGCTCCCAAGCAACTAGGGTGCCAACCCTCCCACCCTATAGGCATCCGGCATCCCAATTGAATTGCCGTGGCACCCAGTTTGATAACTCTTGAGTCATATCAGTGTACACAGCTAGTACAAGTAAATTAGACTGGAATATTTACATACAATGCATTACCATGCGTGCTTAAAAGCTTTCAATCTCATTAAAATCAGACCTAAGCTTTGTTTAGCGGTAGCGAGAACTAAGGTCTAATTTTAATGAGATTGAAAAGCTTTGAGCTAAATATGTTATTGAGTTGCCATTCTTTGCAAGATAAAGAAAAGACGCAAAAAAAAATTCAACATTGAAATAGTGTCAACAGATTATGGCATCCAGGCGCACTGCACTGTGGCGTCCGGAATACCACTTAACAGGGTTCGCCATTCAGCGTACCAACATCTTCCCGAGGCAGGGGCGGTCGGGTAGCCAATGGTTAAAGCGTTCGCTCGTCACGCCTGAGACCCGGGTTCGATTCCCGACATGGGTACAATGTGTGAAGCCCATTTCTGGTGTCCCCCACCGTGATATTGCTGGAATATTGCTAAAAGCGGCGTTAAACCATACTCACTCACTCACACTCACTCTTCCCGAGGCAAGAGAGTTAACTGACTATAAAAGTCCAGTTTCCACTTTTACAGTCAGTTGACTCCCTTTGCCTCGGGAAGATGGTGAGGTGAGGTGAAATGGGGTTTAACGTCGCGTCCAAGACTATTGCACTTATGTACGTGTTTGTCTGCTTGTACTAGTCCGGACTGATGCCGATTTATAGTGCTAGCTCACTGAGATACCATGCTACAGTTTAACATGAATACCCAACTCAGACACAGTATACTGACTCCGAGCCGACAAGTCCTTGTTTTAGCCCCTTAATGCCGAACGCCAGACAGGGTAACAACAAGTCCCATCTTTTAACGTCTTTTGGTATGACGCGGTCGGGGATCGAACCCCGGACCTTCCGCTCTCTGGGCGGCGGCTCTACCACTAGACCACGGAGGCAGCCTCTCGGGAAGATGGCGTACCAAGGGCATCCTCAGCAACCTATGCTGGTCCTAAAAGGCGACTAAATGGATCTGGTGGTCAGACTCAGTGACATGTTTGTGGGGTGTCATTAACATATACAGTAAACTACGGTTATAACGAACTCAAAGGGACCACAAATTTTAGTTCGTAATAGCCGTAGTTCGTTATAAGCATATATACAGCATATACACAACAAATGTCCGGAACTAAAAACTAAGTTCGTTATATCGATCAGTTCGTTATAAACGTAGTTTACTGTACAAACGACGTGGATCGTTGCTCATAAAATCAATCATTGGATTGTCTGGTCCGGCCTCGATTATTTACAGGTCACCGCCATAAAGCATGGTTAAATCTCATTAAAATCAGACCTCAGTTCTCGCTACCGCTAAACAAAGCTTTGTTTAGCGGTAGCGAGAACTAAGATCTGATTTTAATGAGATTGTTTAGCGGTAGCGAGAACTAAGATCTGATTTTAATGAGATTGGCATGGTTATTGCTGAGTGCCGAATTAAACAACTGTTAACAACTAGCTAACTTCTGTTTCCGACTGAATAAGAGTATATGGACCCTCTTGTAACCGGAGAGCATCTTCCGTTCTCTCCCCTAATACAGTCAGCAGCGGGGGCAAAGTCTTGGACGCCTGGGCGGGCTGAGGGAGACGTAGGCACCGAGGGGCGTGGGTGTATGGTGAGGGGCAGGATCAGAGAAAGGTGTATCTGAGGAAAAAAGGAGTGTCCGTCATTTGGATACTATTCCCTGAACGACAATACGAAAGTAAATATTGGGATCGTCTTAAACACGAAGTTCAAGAGAAATCCGCCTACTCCAACACGTTGTAACTGGCTTTGGGGTTTCCAAGGGACCGTCAGCAGCTACCTACATAAGTACTGCCGTTCAGTGTCGCCATAGTAAGCCTGAGACATCAATCTGCAACTCACATGGCCGTGAGAGGTTCTCGAAATCCAGGAGCGATGGGTCCGAGGACCGCAGCGCCTAATCACTTATACATAGACTCGTGTCCGTCGCACAATCATACAAGAATTAAAGCAACATCTTCAGCCCACCTCTGTATACACCACTAACTTGACAGGACAGCTTCGTCACCGAATGGGCAACTGGAGCGACCAGGGTTCGACTGGATCTCATGACCTAGCTTAACAATGCGTATAAAAAGCTCTTTTTAAGGTGTTCGAGTCCGACTTGCCTGTTACGTACCCTGAGGTATTATTTTAATTCGTTAAAAACATTACAGACTATAATCACATGTTTTTTCGGTTATCGGAAAATTTACCGACCGGTGAGTCACCATTCTTTTGATTTCCTTTACCCATTATCTTAACTCCGAGACTTTCTGTCTCCAATGTTTCGAAATTCGGTACCTCTTTACCAAAATGCAAACACAGCCTTGAAGCTATCGGGGCGTTAGAGGCCATATTGAAACTCCAATTTATGAGAATTGTCTAAGGTTTTGGGGATGCATTTCCATTAGAATTGGTCTTCAGCAACTTGCTTGTCGTAAGAGGCGACTAACGGGATCGGGTGGTCATACTCGCTGACTTGGTGGATGCGTGTCAGCGTATCCCAATTGTGTAGATCGATGCTCATATTGTCAGTCACTGGATTGTCCGGTCCAGACCGTCGTAGTGGAGCTCGGATAATGCTGAGTGCGGCGTTAAACAAAAAATAAACCCACAGCTCGGAATAAAATCAAATCATTAGATGGCTTAATAGATACAATCATAATATATACTAACGAAGTAAAAGGGGATTGATTATCCCATATACAATATTCTGCCTAATTTCAAAGATTTCGTCCCCCATACCGTTTCTGAAGATCTTTGAACCATAGAACAATTCTTCAGAAACGGGGGAAAAACTTGAATACGTTTGTTGTGCCCTAAAACAATGGTCTGACTGGGAGGGATGAAAAAGTGAGGGCGACCAGGTATCATTTTGATTCCTTAGAAACATATCAGACTATAATCACGTGATTTTGACTTGATCGAAAAAGATAATACTTTCCTGACGGTGTAGGGAAAGTTACATGGTCATGAAATGAGACAAAATGACATTTCCATTTCTACATTTTTACATATTTATACATTAAGTATGTCATAAGATCCCATATTGTCACCGGAGTACGATGGAACGCAATCAGTAACGAGATCTGACAACCCCGTCATGATTCTAGTTGCCTCTGACAAGCGTGGGGTACTGGGGACCCATTCTGCCTTTCATTACTGGTCTGTACACAATTATCGAGGTATTCTAGCCAGACACCAATGATTTTAGAGCGTAGAAACTTGGGGAATCGCCGATTGTCTCATGAAAATTCCCTATGA